GTATCTCTATTATCCCATCAATATGTACTGGATTCAGTTACGAGGATGAAGCTATGAACCGCCCTTCTCTATCCTCAGCCAATACGACATGCAGTGTAGGATCTGTGACGCCTGTCACGTCACCGACGACCTGGGAGCTGTGCGAGACCACCCATGCACACGATGCAAGTAATCCGGAAGAAGATGGATTCTATCGCACAGAACCCATAACACTCTGCCTTATATTGACGCGTAGAGCCGGCTGAGGCCCAAGCAGAAAACTGACGCTGATATGCACTGACACACAACAATCACCAAGGACCAAAGGAAATAAACCTAAACCCCGTGATATGGGTGAAGGCGGTCCGAGACAACTGAAGGGTATTTAATAGTTCGAGGGGGAAAGGAGGAGTAAGACGCCGTAGGGTAGTCCGTAGGAAGACCTAGAAAAATAAAACAAAACCTTGACGCCTGAAACAAACACTAAGGGACGCTCCGGAGTATTTATCTCCGGAAAGTCGCAGACAAAGTCGCAAACCACGAAACCGAGTGTAGGTTCGGGCCCACGGGAGTAGAAATTGCTAGAGAAACTTGGTTAATTTTATTTCGCTATGTGAGACTCACTGGAGCTAATTGGATCGATGGCGGAGATAATTCACTCGACGAGTCAGGCCTATTGGCAAAGCTAAGATTGGTTATAATTCGCTAAGTTCGACGCTTTCGAACTTCTCGGGTCGCTGAGATCGTAACTCTAATTCTCTGAGATGGTGAAGTCGAAACTTGTTTTTCTGTACACTACTTTGTACAATTTATACTACAGGAATGGCTTTGCGACTGTTCGGAGATAAATAACAAATAAACGCCGCTACCCACAGGATTGCTCAGCACTTGCCACCGCTATACCATGCACCATACGACTCTCTTGCACTCCCACTTGCTCGTCCCAACCCCTAGAGGTCACCTTGACGCTCTGCCACCTGATCCAAGCGGTCCCATCACTCCGTGTGACGCTCCGGTCACGTGCTAATTACCTCCGGCCGCTTGCTGACTGATGCTGGCCTCATGGTGACTCGTATGCGTCCGCACCTTCGGTATCTTGACGGAAACGAGGGGGAGTGAGTGCTGGAGGGTGGGCATGAGGAAGACGCCCCTCGATAGAAGAGTCTGCGGGTCCCGGAGCTAATGCAGCTAGAAGTCGCATTGGTTAAGTCGCTCCGGAGCTCCTGTTTGCGGAGATAAATCGCGGAATGGGTCCGTGTACGCCTCAAGGATGTTCGGAAGTCCGGAGCTAAAAACAGAGCAAGTCTTTAGAGCCCATAGAAGCCTAGAGGCGTGTGAGCGCTGTGTCGAATAAGCTCCGGAGGGCTTGTACGATGCACTGAGTCCGCGTTTTCGGGGGTCAGACTATCCCGAGGCTTATCAACGCGTAGAGCCGGCTGAGGCCCAAGCAGAAAACTGTGTGCCGCAAGTTCCACCCAATAACGAATATCCGCAAGCATAGACCACGTGCCCAAGGGCAAGAACTTGACACAGATATCATCACTCACCATTGCAAAGCAGCCCCATTCACTGCGTACAAACACATGATGGCCCTGGTAACACGTATACTTCGAATTCAAGCGGTATGCGAAGTTTGCTTCGTGGACGGTACAGCAAGCATGAGCGGGTCGGAAGTCGGTCTCGAATAAAAGCGATAAGCAAGACCCGCAAGCAGTTCATAAACCACGACCCATCTCCTGCTGGAGGATGGCATACCAGGACTAGGTTGCAGGTTGATGGAAGCGTTGCCCATATGTGAAAGGACACGAGCCATCCCCGACTTAAGGGCCCCCAGAGACCAGCCATTCGCAGAACCCAGTATAAGTATGGCCTGACTTAATCGCAGGATACAACCGCTTGAATACTGCTCAGACATAATCCAGGATTACGCATCACAAAACGGCAGTCCAGCAGATCTTACATGAAGGCCCTGGTCGGGACGATGCAGAGGGCCAGAGGCTGTCATCGAACCAAACATAAGCACAAGCTTCAAGTCGAACTGTGGAGGAGGTCCGTGACCTTGTTCAAACTTCGCGGAGAGACGGACAAAGCCGACACGATGCCACCGTAACTTCCATCCCGCCACAAAGTTACTTGTTCCTTTCGCTCAGAGCGCTAGCGCTGAACATGCTAGAAAACCATCTTGTTGTCTACGAAGCTCTAGAAAGCCATTTAATCGGAATGCCAAAGTTCCCATCTGGATTGCTCGCCCAACGACTGGATATTGGGGAAGCTTCTATCTAGCCTAGTTCCCATCCACCCTCTGCGCATGCAAGTGCGGCGTGGCAAGTGCTACATGGCGTCTCATGCATTCAGTTACACAACTTATCTTGAGGGACAGCACAATTGCTTCTAAACTAGTGGTGCAGGGTCTACTCTCCTCACCGTCGCCCTTTTTCTCTCCACAAAGGTTAGAACCCTCTCAGGAAAGCAACAGCTGCCCAGAAGTCAAGACCTTTTGATATAATCAAGAATCCCACTATTTAGCGCTCCGCGGATCATTGAAGCGGCTTCATCAAGCTCAGCCATCGTCCCGAGGCAGTCTTAGCGATGGCTCTGGGCGGCGATCATTCTCCTCTTGCCTTGTGTATTGTAGCTACACGGTAGCGAAACTTTTAGCTGCCCCGTAATTCGTCGTTTGCTATGACATGGCAGACTGTTGTCGCTCGACATATCTCTTGCATTTCTACCTCGCTTAAAGGGTGCCTTGTACTGTGAAGGCACTCCAGCTTACTTTCAAGGCTGTACAAGCAAGCCGTATCGTTCAGAACGGTCTCGACTTGACACCTCGAGTCGAAAGTGGCACAGCCAAACTCTGCAACACCTGTAATAAATCTACCTGCATGAAGAACGGGACAGATGATGTCATGACGCCCTGATCAGTATGTTTCCATTAGGATGCTACACCCAATCCACATCTGCACTTACGCGACTATGACCCCAGGGTCCCTGTAGTGATGCTGACTTTGCTTACGAATGCGCTCTGTATGTCCTCGGTAGACTTCTTTGCGACAGGAGGGGGACCACTGGGGACCTAGCCAAAGTCAAGCTACCATGAGGATTCATCAGGGAAGGCCTAACACTGGCTTGGCACGCTTGATTGAATAGTCCGAGGTGAGAGGACGCTCGTTGTGACGGGTGCGCTTGTTGCGCAGCAGCATCCTTACATTGTTCGTTCCCAGGTAAGCAGTTTTGTGTATTCCCTTGGTGCCGAACCAGTATTTCTTTTACCAGGTATTTCATTCAGATCTCTACGCCCACACTTGTCCTTACTCTTGGGGAGGTTGGGTTTGATCGCAAATTCTCTGGGTTCAGTAACACCTTCATGCACGAAGGCTCTAAGGTATTGTAATGTGCATGAATAGATACTTCCGGAAAGACCCTCAGACAAACAAGATGGAGAACCATCACCGTACCGACACGAGACATTACTGCTCAGGTCCGTTCATATACGTATCGTAAAGAGAGAGGGAAAGAAACAAGCCAAATTTCTGCAAAGTAACACCTGACCCTAAACAGACTGCCCATTATGCGCCGGGTGAGGGGACGGGGTTCCCTGATAGGTCGAGATATTTGAGGGGTGGGCATTGAACGTCGGAGACGTCGGCTGCCTGGGAGGCTGATACGGGCTGGTGGGTACTCCATAAATGGGTACGTTGCCAGCAGGATATTTCTCCTCGATAATTGGCTTATCCGCATGCACAGAAGGGTGGAGGAAGTTGTTCTCCCTTACGGAAGACAGCCAGACCTTGTTGCCTCGAGACGTGCCTATGATCGCGAAAACAAGGAGGACGATGGTGTAGGCCATCACTAGGGTGGCGAGGTCAGTGCTTGCTCGTGTTCTCCGAGGATACCATCAACACACGGATTATCCATGTGAGGAAAGAGAAGCCTTGCACGGCAGCGAATTCTTGGCATCCCTGGTTGATTTTGGCTAGGAAGGAGGAAAGGTATTGAACTTCCATATGGGCAAAAGATGTCTTCACCAAAGTACTCACGATTGATGTAGCCGCAGCCAGAAGGGAAGATCAGGCCATTGGAGTACGTAGCCTCCGCGGCGGTGGCAATCCACAAAACCCAGAGAACAACTGTTATTACCGTGAGTGAAGACAACTTGTCATGCAGAGCGGGACACACAAAGCCAGCTCAGTTCGAAAACGACAGTGGAGGTAAAAGCCCCCTGCCGTACAGTGTCGAGGGTCAACCTACACGCAGAGTCAGCGAGTGAGTAGCGAGTTATTGTGAAACGCTTACATGATAGGAAGTGAGATGATCGTTAGGGAAGCGGAAACCACGGCCAATATGCAGAATATGAGCGTGACATTGAAGTAGGTCTCGGTCAGGCTCATGAGATCCGCCGCGATGCCTAGGGCGATGACCGAGAACACCAGTGCCAGGACTGTTTGCAGGGAAGAAGCGCGAAGATACGGTGAGTCTACCTGCATGACTGTAGGAGCTCTTAATCACGCACCAAAGATCACCAGCCGGAGAACAGAGAGGAAGGGCATGGTGTTGGTACAGACACTTCACTGGCTAGTATTACGATGGAAGGGATGAGGGATGCCAGTCACCAAGCGGGGGCCTGGTACTTGTATGCTCATCTTACCAGGGTTCATCCTCTTAAGTGTTGGGATGCCAAGGACACGCTGAAGCGCCGGGCGCTGCCCTGTCAAGAAATGACAGCGCTAAAGACTAGCACCAAGCATTGCGGGGCTGTGGTTCCAACTCATGTTCCCTATATGGGTAGGTGAGTAGGATCGTTTGACAGAACCTTGAACGCCAATCCCACCCCTGTGGGTCACTCGCTGTGTGAAGCCACGCTCTCACACCTCTCCAGTGGGGTTTTCGATCATCAAATTGGATGTACAGTGGTACGTGTTGATCAGCTGCTGAAGGCCATGGTGGCGTTCATGTTACAGTTCGACCGATGGCCGAGGTTTATCACTCTCATCCCCATTTCGTCTGTCGCCATTGGGCGTCTGTTGTGCTTTTCACCAAAGAGAGGGGGAGCCCGGGGGCAGGGGCAAGGACGTAAGTTCTTACTAGGCGAAGTACAGGATGAACAAGGAACACCATTATATTATAACTGCTAGTACAGCCAGGCAGTGCAGTTTGCGCATCGATTCACGTGTCTCACCATCATTAATTCAGTGGCTGCATGAACGCCTGGTCCGTGGGCATTCCGACTGACTGCGCCTACTGGGGGCGAGTGCGGGCAAGCTTCAGGCAAGAGGACGGTTCATAACCCATATATGCATACGCATCTCAGCCTGAGAAACCACAATTCGCTGCCAGTCGTGGCTTGGCATAAACACACGTTGACCTGTAATTGGCTTACAGAGTAAGTTTCGTCCATAATTAAGAGGCCCATGTCTTTGCTAAAGGCGCCGAATCGTCGATCTCCTCGGTGCCTGGCAGTGCCTGGAGGACGGATACAGACCGGATCAGGATGTCAGACTTGAATGCATAATTTAAAATCAGATATGCTACAGTATACAATGAGAACATCATGCCGCCCAGCAAAGTCTTGGGGGAGGAGCATCCCACCTCATTCCTACCAGTAGTACTCGGTTTTCAGAGCTATGATAGCACCGTTCTTCAAGAGGTTGAATGCTCCATAAACGTTGGCAGCGGTAGAGAAGCAAATGGCAAGAGTGTCTTCGGGATCGTACTATCATTGAGGGGGTTCTGCAAAAAGTATCGAATTCGGCCTGTAGCATTCCGCGCACTTGACGGATTCTTACCGGATCTTCCGCATATTGTGTGTAACCTAGTGATGAACGTCCTCATTATTTTTGTGCATTTTTATGCAGCCTGTGGAACGTAGGAGAGAGATGCCGGTTCATGTAGGGGGTTCTGCAAAAAGGTGTCACATGCGGTCACAGTGGGATCTCGCCGCGAGCGATGTCACGCTTTTGTCACGATATCGGCCCGGGAGATGTGCAAAGTTGCCTCTCTATCTCGACACACTCGTTATTTACTCTATCGGGCTGGTGTATTGTACTATAGACAGCATATTCATGATACGCCAAGCCATTCCACTGCAGTCCGTTGAGAGTATCACGAGAGATCTAGTGGACACTGTTTCTTTCCCATGGCCTACAGGACCCATTTTCTCTCCCTCTCTTCAACCACAGCAGATATTCCCATTCTGACTTGGCAGAGGTTCTATTCTAGTGTATATATACCTGCCTGAGCTTACCCAACATTTTTTGGTTGAGTGTGGAATGAGATATAAGGGGGTGAGGGGGTTCTGCAAAATTTGCAGAACCCCCTCAATGATAGTACATCTGATCCCGAACAAAGATCCCCGCTCTCTGAAGTTTTTCTCACAAGGAGTCCGACGTCGCGCAGCCGTCCTGCCTCACATTGAGATAGCTGACTTCACATGCACATCTTGTCTCATCGAGCATCGCAGAGTTGCCGCCCGAGGGCACGATGCATGTCGGGCGACACATCGCTGATACGCCTCAACGATAGATGGTTAAACCCACTCGGCGCGAATAGAGGACCACTAACATCGCCTCAGACACAGAGGGGGAAATGGGATGACGAGCCTGTAATGCCTATCTACTCGAAATAGATTATTAGCCTTAGCGATCGACCGGTACCGACTCGGACAAGGTCTAAAGACGTACCCAGCAAGTGCAGTTGTGAGTATGGTCACCAACCACAACGGCTGCTCAATTAATCAAGATCGATGGAAGGTGGTTGATTAAGCAAGTGAATATATCGAACATGATACAGTATGTATCACCACCAAGCATCGTTCACCGGTCATCGAATCTATGCTCTAGTTCCTGGGCCGCCTCCTCCACAGGGGGCATGTACAAAGGCCCAGGCTTCTCCGCGACAGTAGGGAACTGCGGGCCGACGCCAATCGCCTTTACCCGCTGCTCCTGCAGCCTCCTCAAAAACCGCCTACCACCAGCGTAGAAGAAAACCAAAGCGCCGCCAACCATGTAATGGCCGTACCAGCCCAGCAGGCTCCACGCGCGGAACGAGTCACGCAGTGTCGCTAGGATGAAGGGCCCCGTGGTGTAGTTGACCAAGAGGACGGAAGAGACTGTGCCCGCGAGATCGTAAGCGCGCTTCGCGGCAGAGATGGCGTCCTTCGGTGGCTCCAAGGTGGGCTTTTCCTTCACCTTGACGGGGACATTCTGGGACGGGGGCAACTGAGGCGGCAGGAGGAGAGGGCGGATGTTGGACCGGCAGAGACGGCCAGCAGTCTGGATGAAGCCACCCAGAAGGAACGCCAGGTAGTACCCAGGGGCGATGCCATGCTGTTCCACGTAAGCATCAGTGTCCCAAATTACTTTCTCGTTACCAAACTTACCCAAAGAGCACTAGTGGTGAATGTGATCATACTGCTGCGGAAACCGGGTTTCTTGCCCTTCGGCGTGACCCGCTTGTATACGCATTCTTTCAGCCAGATGGCGGTCTTGATGTTCCATGAGTCAAGAAGAACCTTGAAGTTGGGCGCGAATTCGATGCTGCGGATCTTGACGTTCCTGGCGCCGTTCCATGTTGAGTTACCGTAAGAGTCGAAGCCGGTAAATCCGTAACCGGTTAGGATAGACGCGCCCTGTAGAGTAGTGCCTTTGCGTCGGCAAGAGGAGAAAGGTTATGATGACCCGTTTGCTTACCTCTGTCAGTGTCCAGACAGCATAGTACTTTGTGCGTTCGAAGAAACCGCAAAGCTGCCAGTAGGCGATCCTAAAAGGTTGTTACAGCGGGTCGCCCAAACCCATATTCTGCGCCGTGCACTCACCGATATAGAACGTGCTTCTTCGCAAACCAGGGCTTTAGCGCGACAGTGTAGTTGAACGTGCCGTAGCAGGTCGTATACAAGCCTAGGAAAATCAAGGCCTTCACCATCTTCCTGTACGCCATTCTCTTCCTTCCCCGGGGGATGAACCTGTCCTTGTCTTCCCGCTTGGGCTGGTTACCTTCGGAGATTTTGAAGATGGAGCCGTCAATGAGGGATTGATACGAATTGTAGTCCAGGTACGGTCCAACCAACACTCCAGGAAAATAAAAGCTGGACATCCCGTGAAGACAAACGGACAGGACAGTAAGGCATCGTGAACGTACGCATAGCCTAGAAAGGACAGGATCGACGGGAATTTGTCGTCTGGAATGTGTTTCTCGAACTGCCACTTGTCCAGGTCCTGTATACGGAATTTAGACGATGACATTGATGAATTCAGCACGAAACGGGCGACTTACCTCGCGAGGTCTCCTCCCATCATACACATTCCAAGCAAAAGTCGTCAGTTTCATCGTCAGGACCATCTGCGGTCCAGTTATCTCAAACGTTTCGTATCCATATCCGTACACTGCACGAATGATGTGGCTGCTTGCGTTAGAAACTCGGGGCAATTCCTCAGGGACTTTACTCACTTGATCATAAGATGGCCCAGCACAAGACTAGCTAGAATCCGTAAGAGGCCTCCTCACGAACATGGATCCATTCCTTACGCAAATACGATACATGGCATATCCGGCCGCCTCACATTCTTAGCCACGTAATATGTAGCAAGAATGCTAGCGAGAAGGTGAAGGAAGCCCGTCCATAGGTTCAGCACCGGCAGGAAGTAAATTAGAGCAATTATGATGTTGAATATATGTTTCAAAGCCTGCAGGGAGGAAGGTATCCGAATGAAGATGCTTCCGAGTGGGTAGGAGAACAACAGGCAAGCAATAAGCTGCCAGGGAGTTAGCCCTGCGCCACGAAACCATGAAAACAACTTGGACGGGCGTACCTTGACCTGGTCAATCGAGGCTCCTGTGGCCGACGCCAAAGGCTCGAATAGTCTGTCCATGTTGTGTCCGGCAGCGCCAGAGAAAGCTTCAAAGCCCAGGGGCTATATACAGTACAAACGTGCCAAGAACGCGAACTTGGAAGGCTCTCTTGATGACGCTAGGAAGCGTTCATTAGGCTCGCTCTCGGCCACGTGCGTTCAAGTTGTTGAGCTCAACTTTCCGCTCTGTGCTCGCGCTGTTGCAGGTGGAATTGAGGATGTTTCATGCGTATTAATGGTATGGGGGCACGAGCCTTGCATCAGAGGAATGAATGAACGAATGGTTACGGCGGTTCATGCAAGAGCAAGTAGCGCGGCTACGGCATAAATGTATCTCGGGCATGGAAGACAGCATACAGAATCATTGAGCGATGATAGATACACATAATCGTGAGTAGAGAGAGCCCATATGCCATACTGCAACCACGTCCAAAATGCCCTGAGACTCGACGTCCGGTTTTCAAGAGTGTGCTTACACCTTGAAACCACGAGACTTTCGGCGACCACGAGCACGCTCGAACTACAAACATATCAGTCAGAGATGAAGCAATAGAAGAGGCAGGCTAGAGACACACTTTGCGGCCCTTGGAAGTCGTGTACGGCTTCTTGTGCTTGTGGGGGCCCATGCCGAAGTGCTTGACGGCCTCCCGAGAGTTCCTCTTGCCCCGGAGCAAGATGGTGTTGGCACCAGTGGGCGCACGGATGGCAAGCTGGTCCAGAGTAATAGCCTCACCGCCAGCCTTGAGGATGCGCTCCTTGGCAGCCCTCGTGAACCGAAGTGCGGCGATCGTCAACTTGGGGACGGTCGTCAGACGGACATCGTCGGTAATGGTCGAGACGGAGACGACGATCTTGGAGTCGAGGTCGGGCGCGCCGGAGGTCTCCTTCACGATTTTCGAGAGGGAAAGGGGAGGGCGGTTGGTCTTCGAGAGGAAAAGGCGGTGGAGGAGGACCTAGAAGTCACATATGCAATTAATGAATGCGGAAGTGCTTTCTGCGCCTGATAAAGACCTTGTTGAAACGCGAGTCCGTGCGGCGGGCCAGGAAGCGATATAACTATTCGTTGCTCCGTCAGACTCGATGTATGCGCGAGTGCCATAACTACGCACCTTGACCAGCAAGAGAAGGTACGGGTCCTCGCTCTTGGGCGCCGTCCTCTGGCCCTTTTTGACGTGGTGCTTCTCGATGTCGATACCCTAGATGCCGCATGATCGTCAGACACGTCCCTCGCCATCGTCGTCAACGTCGAACTCACCATCTTGCTCTTGCTGGATTGTCGGTGTACGCTGCTACGGACGGTCCGAAGCGGAGGCTCAAAACTATGCAGTTGGTCCAGAATAAGGTTCGGCGCCGCGGCAATCGGCACGTTCCACGCCACGGCACACACAAATAACGCCAAACTCGGCTCAAAGTTCAACATCCACCATGGTGAGTACGCGTCGCCCCACACGTTGCGGCTTCTTGTCTTTTTCCTCTCTCCTCGTCGTCGTCGACAGTGCCTGACGAACCGCTTGCCCGTTATGCAGTACGCAGAGAACACCCCCGCCGTCGACCCCTACTCCGACGCCTACAATGCGCCACCGCCCGCGGCGATACCCGCTGGCGGCGACCGCGACGCACCGAGAGGCCGCTCTCGCTCGCGCAGCCGGAGCCCTGGCTATCGCAGCCCGACTTACAGGAGCAGCCGCCGCTCCCCCGTACCGGCGCCAAAGAGGCCTTCTCATGCGCCTATAGTTCGTGTTCGTTTTGGTCCCTTTGTCTACGATCCATCTGACCTAGCGAAGCAGGCGCCCAATCCCTCCAACGTGTTGGGGGTATTTGGCTTGAGCATCCGCACCACCGAGCGTGACCTCGAGGACGAATTCAATCGTTTCGGTCGTGTTGAGAAGGTTGTAATTGTATATGATCAAAGGGTAAGTCAAGTACGGCAGTCTAAGGTGGCATCTGCTGACGATTACGCTTCAGAGTGACCGTTCTCGAGGCTTCGGTTTCATCACCATGAGCACCGTCGAGGAAGCCACCCGATGCATTAAGGAGCTTAACGGTGTCGTGAGTACCGGTATTCATCGGTTCGTCTTCCTACATGTCTAATGTATCTTCATTAGGATCTCAACGGTCGTCGCATCCGTGTTGATTACTCTGTTACGGATCGGCCCCATGCACCCACCCCCGGAGAGTACATGGGTCACCGCCGACGCCGCGACAACAGGGACTCCTACTACGGAGGGCGCGAACGCGACCGTGACTATAGGGACTCTTACAGGGACCGTGACTCGCGTCGTCATGACCGTGACAGGGACTACGATCGCGACCGTGACCCCAGGGATAGGGAATACGACCGGGACCACTATGGTCGTGACAGGGACTGGCGGGACCGTCGTAGCCCTCCCCCTGTGAGGGAAGGCGGAAGGCGATACTCACCCGACTACCGTCGGAGGAGGAGTTACTCTCGTAGCCCGCCCAGGGGCAGTAGCCCCAGCAAAGGTAGGGACTATGATGCAGGTGGTAGCTCCGCGGCCAACGGTGCCGGCGCCGACCCTCGTTGGTGAAGCAGCCATGGTGTAGGAGCAAGGTCTGCAAGGTCCCCTTGAATGTTGAAGAGAATGCGTGCAAGAGGATCGTCATGGGCAAGGGCCACCGGGTGAAAAGTATCAAGCGTTGAAGAGTGTCTGCGGAAGGTGCTGCCGCAAGCCCAGGTTTCTCAAGTATTTCCTTCTTAATGCTCGCGAAGACTGCGAAAGTGGACTCCTCCCATCTACAATAGCACAAAACCCAAGTTGTCAAGTTTCCTTCGTCTGTCTTGTATCAGTTCGCTCTGCTATCTTGTTTGTTTGCAAGTACAAGGACCATCCCTCGTCGAAAGTGGGACGCGGGGTTATCTCGTGGACGTGTCTGCGGCGCTTGGGTAACTCGTCTGAGGACTACTGACTAAAGGTGTCCCGGAGTGAAAAGGCAAGTCAGAAAGCATAAGAAGTCTCGCAATTGCGGATTCCACGAGAAAACAGGCGCTAGTTGCAAATTTGGCAAGCTCGCTAAGTTTGTGCCGCTGCGGTCCTTTGTCCTCGAAATGAAAGAAGATCGGACGTTCGCGAGCCACGCCTTCATTGACAGTCTCCCCGCTGTCGCGAGGTCGGCTGTTGGCACTTCTGGCGCCTTTGCTCAGGGGGATCCGCACAAAGCCACAACCTGACAAGCCCTTCCTTGCAAGTCGGCTCCTTACCGAGAATAACGAGGCGGTGCTAACTCTTTACGGCAACATGGATACAGGTGTGTTCCTCTCCTTTGTTGTCTGCTGACTGCTCTGTTCTCGACATCGTGCTTGCGACCGTGCCTTCTGTTTCATCGGACATATCCTGTATTTGCCGCCTGTTGTCCCACAGTGCATGTACGGATGTATTTATGTCACCAGCTGCGGTGAAATGGAAGTCTGCCAGATAATACGATGGCTTTACGGGAATGAATCTATCAGGAGCTCCCGCTCGTTGGACTTGGTACCGTTCTAGGTCAAGCCAACGCGACAATGAAGTTCTGTATCGCTTATGTGGCGTGAGAGCATCATCCATATCCTCTTCTGCACGCCTGCAAATTGAGAGGAGTTATAGGACTCAGACTTGTCAAAAATGTCACTGGTCGCGTCGGAATCGTTGCAGACGTTCTCGAAGCCGTTGAAATCGACGTCGGCGCCGTCGAAATCGTATGTATTGTCGCTGGCATCTCTGCCGTCATGTTACGCTGCATCCACCTCCGCACCGTCGAACACCATACACCTGTATGATACGTCCGATCTTCGAGTTATCGCCACTCTCGGTGGTCATGAAGAAGGGGTTACGTCCCTTCGAGCGGTGGACACTGTAGGCGGTAAAAACGTCCGTAGGCTGATTTCCTCCGGGAGAGACGGGACTGTCAAAGTATGGGATGAACGGACTGGCTCGGTGGGCATTCAAAGTGAGGGGTTCTACCACATCTATCTGTCGCATTTTGACGGACTTAGAAAAGCTTGGCTATAGTGCAATCCGCTGGGAGGGGACGGGCTTTGCTGTGTTGTGATGTATCCTCGGACGGGGTCACTGTTGTAGCCGGGACGGACTTGCAAGGAGAAGACGCGCTTTTGCAATACTGGCAGGTCACTTTGGCACCAACTCTGTCTATATTGTTCTGAATGAATTTTAGGGACCCACGGTTCCCAGTTGTACCCCTTCGCAGCCATTCCTCGACGCACTCGGACGATATCACCGCGCTGCACTTCAGGCATGAACGTAGCCCGGGAGAACACAAAAATATGCTACTCTCCGTATCTTCGGATGGTTTGGTGTGCACCTCAGATGCGGATGAACCAGACGAAGACGAAGCGGTTCTGCATGTTGGTAATTGGGGCTGCAGTATAGCTCAAGCGGGCTGGATGTCGCCTGGCAGTAACGGCAGTGCTGCGGCTTGGGCCAGTAGCGATATGGAGACATTCAGCGTCTGGTCAAATGAGGTGTGCAGCTCATCCCTTCATCTTTTGTCAACGCCTTGATGCCGGTGATTCTTGCAGATGGACCTCGTGCAGGATCTGGACATCCGAAGTCCTTCGATCCATACTCCTCAGTTAACATGGGTGACAGACTATCTCATCGGGTGCCATCGCTCCGTGAGGGATCTGCACCTCTTCGTCGGCTCAAACGAGTGCGTGTCCAGATCTCCAGGTCTAGCTCTCTCGACTAAGTCAAGTGGTAGAGGCGACATCGCATTGATAAATAGCAGCGACTTGTCCTCGGCGGGTGCACCTTGGCGGACACGCGCTGTGTGGTCGGCTGGGCATGTTGGGGTCGTCCGATCTCATCTTTGGGATGAAAGAGTCAGTGAATCTTTTTGTCCTCACCGATTGGTCGAATTCATATTGCCTGCTTCATAGAATAACGTCCTCTTGACTGGAGGTGAAGACTCGAAACTCAATATGTGGCCCGGGCCGCCAGTTGAGGCACTACAACCGGATGAGGGCATGAACATCGACTCGCCACCGCGGAAGCGGGATTACGATGTTGAGATGGACGACGGGAGCGAGACGCTCGATCATGTATGTTCTGATTTCTCATCGAACCCTTGGGAGCTCTTCTGAATGCGGCGCTGTTTACTTCTAGGGCATGAAAAGAGTGAGAAGAGCGTGAACATACGCGGGTTGGGATCGTCTAGGCTCGCTATCAGACTGAGTTCCTCTCTGTATCGGCATAATTATACGAGTGGAAATATCATAGCATATGTGACACTTCTAGCTTGGAACTGTTGAACTGCTCTCAGGCTTTCTCACCTACTTCATGTGTTGATTTTGCATGCGAGTGCTTCTTTGTACAAGCAAGGCGATTAATCAGTAAGATGCCCGAGATGAGCCGACCGCACTCAGACATTACCTAGTACACCGGGGCTCAATTCCTCTACCGAGCATGATAGGAATTAAAGCCCAGTACCAAGCGGCCCTCAGCGACTCAATAGAAACCCTGTATCGTCACTATTACTTCCCAATACAAAACTCCCTGAACAAGCTATCCAGCACATCCTCCACGCCAATCGCACCCGAAATCTTCCCCACCGCCTGCGCGGCGTACCGCAGCTCTTCCGCTGCCAGCACGACATGTTCTGCCGCTACAAAACCATGTCAGATGAAGGAAGGAGGAAGGAAGGGACGAATGAACGCACGCGTCTCGAGGAAGGCGTCGAGGAACCGCAGCGCGGACTCGAGGTGCACGCGGTGCCGCGCGTGGGTGAGGAGGGGCTGCCCAGCTTGGGAGTCCTGTATTAAATCGTACCTGGACAGCAAAACCATCTTGCTTCAGCTCTCGTGTATAAGCGGAAAGTGAAGCAACGGTCACCGTTTGCGCAGAGCCTCAGCAAAGCCGTCCAGAAACTCCTTCGTGCCCTCGCCCGTAGAAAGACTAAATGCCCACGACTGTCTATCACCGATGATGGAAAGCGGGACGGAATGTGTCAGGTCCTGTTTGTTCAGCAGGACGAACGTGTCGGGGCCGACAAGCGGCTCCAGTGTCGGCGGAATCTCCACTCGCGATTCATCGGTGAGGACCTCTGGAAGGGAGAGCACGCAGAGCGAGACGTCCGCGCCTTGCACCCTGTGGGCTCGTAAGTAAGCGACGAGAAGCGGAGGTAGACAGGATAAACCGACATGTTCCTCGCGCGGTCCACTCCAATCTGCTCCACTACGTCCTCGGTATGGCGCAGGCCTGCTGTGTCCGCGACGATCACGGGCAGCCCGCCGATGTCCAGCGAGAGCTCGAGGATATCGCGCGTGGTGCCGGGGACGGGGGTGACGATAGCAGCTTCCCTCTGCGCTGTGCAATTGGAATCAGCGCGGCGTGTCAATGAGGGAAGAAGGATGGGGCCTACCTAGGAAATTGAGGAGGCTGCTTTTGCCTGCGTTCGGGGGGCCGAAGATGGCGAGGCGGATACCGGAGCGGAGGATCTCGCCCCTGCGGCTGTCGGAGAGGTAGTTTTCTATCTTCGAGCGTAGTTGCTGTACCTTGGCTCGCGCTGGACAGCATATTCCAAGAGTATGAGAATGCCATCATTCAATGACGCCTATTAGCGCACCAGCTTCGTAGACACCCTCTTCGATATCCTCGCCCTCGCTAAAGTCGATGATGGCTTCGACCATAGCCAACGCGCGTATAATTTCCTCTCTGAGGTCCTCAAACCGAGCCCGGGCGAGACCCTAGCTAGTGGTTCTCCTCAGCATCCAATATTCTTCAGTGATCAACGTAAGTAACAAAGCTTACTCCAGCAGCGCTGAGCGCGAGCCGCCTCTGCGTGTCCGTCTCCGCGTCGATGAGGTCCTTGAGGCCCTCGACCTGCGTGAGGTCGAGCCGCCCGCCCTCGAACGCGCGCCGGGTGAACTCGCCTGGCTCGGCGGGGCGGCAGGAGGGGAAGCGGGCGAGCGCGGAGAGGATGGACGCAATGACGGCGCGCCCGGAGTGGACGTGTAGTTCGACAACGTCTTCTGTGGTAAAGGATTTCGGGGCTAATTCGAGGTGTAAGTGTAAATCACGGAGGGGCGCAGGGTAATGAGGGTAAGGACCTTTGAAGAATACTGCGAGCCCATCGTCGAGAGTTTCGGCTGTCTCTGGATGGACAATTATGCAGCGCTCCAGCCTCCATGGACGTACTCCTCTCTCCCTGGCTTTCTTGCTGGTCAAGCGCACCATGCCCTGCCAGACGTCCAGAGCAGCGGGTCCGGAGATTCTCACCACTGCTACACCTGCTTTGCCTGGCGGAGTAGAAAGCGCGTATATCGTTCTTCTCTGCGCGTCTGACAGCACAAGACTGGGTTTATGATTACTTCCATCCAGCCCGTGTTCTCCAGACGCGTCAGTAGACCAATGGTTCCTAGAATAGTTTGGCACAGCAGAGCCAGTACTTAGACGCGCCCGAGCTTTACAGGAACGCCAGCTTGGTACGGCATAAGCAAGCGAATTTCGACAGAGAGATTGAAAGCTGCAGGATCTAACAAATGGCCGCAAAGACGCGTCGAGGGCGGCAATCCTGGCTAGCATCCTGAGGGGAGGAACTCGGACGGGTCGGATTACCAGCAAAGGCACCTTGATCGCCACATTTGGGCCGTTCTCCCACGCCGTTGTACCGCGTTTCGATTTCCTTCAGCTTTCCAGTTTGCCGTCGCGTGTTCCGTCTGTGTCTCTTTGTCTGTCCGTTGTCTAAGCTGCTGCACCGATTTTCGACCTGTATAAATTCGTTGAAAGCTGTAATCAAAGCGCTAAGTCAAGATGGGGCAGTCAAGTGCGTCTGAATCCCTCAATCATCTGCGTTTTATAGATGCTAAAATACGGGCGGTATAGCTTCACAGTTTATGGAGGACATGGAAAGGACATCCAATTGTACGCTATAGAAAGTCTATATGCCCTTTCATGATCCCTTGATATAACTTCTTCGTGCGGGTAGTCACCGCGAGTGAATTGGAACGTCTGAAGAAGAGGTTCATGAAGCTCGACAGGTGCGCTTCCTTCCGCCACTCATCCGCGCATCCGAAGAAGAGGGACTGAGATTCACTGCATCGCGCTGTCATTGAAGTGATGGCTCAGGATCGATAGACCGTGACGAGTTCCTGCAGATACCCCAGATCGCAAACAACCCACTCGCATCGCGGATGATTGCGATCTTTGACGAAGAGTACGTCTGTCTGTCTGTCTTTGCTTGTGACCGTATCAATACGCGATTCTGTTTCGTGATTGTACAGCGGTGGAGGCACGGTGGATTTCCAAGAGTTCGTCGGTGGCCTGAGCGCGTTCAGCAGCAGAGGAGGTCGGGAGGAGAAGCTACGATGTGCGCTGCCCTTCCCTTCTGTCCTATCCACGAACTTGACTGATAGTTGAATCATCTATGATAGTTGCATTCAAGGTGTATGACATGGACCGTGACGGGTACATCTCGAACGGCGAGCTCTTCCTCGTGCTGAAGATGATGGTCGGGAACAACCTCAAGGTCTGTCCCTGTCCTTGCCATGCAATCACCCGCCGCCTCCCTGTAGCCTCCCATTGCTCTAAACCCCATTGCAACCGTTCCCTATGCAATTCCATCGCCCCCAATCTTGCTGTTGTTGTTGTTTGCAAGCGCTCTCTTCGTTTTCCTGTGGAACAGAGACATCAAGCCAGTGTACTAACATGGCCATCATAGGACCAACAACTACAGCAAATCGTCGACAAGACGATCATGGAGGCAGACAAGGACGGCGACGGGAAGCTCAGCTTCGAGGAGTTCGCCCAGATGGTGTCAAATACAGTGCGCTACTCTCCCTCTCCCATAACCCCCATCTTTCCCAATACTTACCCCCCGTCCCCAGGACATTGTGAAACAAATGACACTAGAAGATATCTTCTAACCTATGTATACCCCTCCCACCTCTCCTCTCGTGGATATCGGCTCTGCCTACGTTGTATCATCTCTCTCCCCCTCGTCTCGGTTTCGGTTTCGATCTCACACATACGCATCGTCCGTCCGTCTGTCCGTCCGTCCGTCTGTCCGTCCATCCGCTCTGCAATTGTGCTTATATTAACGGGTGTAATGATTAATGAATGAATGGATCGATCGGTTGATAGCACACGCTCGCGGTTTGCTTTGTGTTTGTCTGCTAGGCCCGGGATTCAGAACTCAGACGCCCCCTCTGACGTCGACGCTTGGGATCTCCCAGGGAAGCTCCGCACGTATACATGCATGCCTGGATCCGTGCTCGGGCGGAACACCACAAAGCAAGGAACCCATCCATTCATTCAGGCGCGAAGCCCCAGGATCCCCCAACTAGCAGGTCAGAAACGAGGGCTCGGTTGTGTGTTATGCTAATAGCTGCTACTGCTGACTAGCACCGGTAAGTACCATGGCCGCAAAGCAAAGCCAAACTCTACCTGCTACACCTCGGGCTGCCGTCTCCCCGGCTGGCGCCCCACATTGGGTTGGGTTGAGTTCAATGTAACCTTGCGCGGATATCTGAGGATTACTGCAGCGAGGACAATCAATGTATCACTGCATCAGAGATGGATGGATGGATGGATGGATGATCCAAGGATTCGCCGAGGCCGTACATTGCGCAAGGCAGACAAGGATACGTATGTATGGTATGACGGACGGAGCTGGGAATGAGAAGACGAACGAAACGGAACGGAACACAGACAACGATAAAGTACAGAAGTACGTATACACTACACTGGGGACGGGCATTACAGGTATCGACAGGGCCATTAGATAATATGTACGCACAAAAGTCACAGGGGATTATGGGACAGGAGAGAAGAGGAAGAAAGAGATATGGGATATGTATCGTCATTCGAGTCCGCAAAGGGGTGGGCAAGCCAAATAACCCAGCGATGTAGTGGTAAGCCAAGGTCCGAGGGGGAGGGGGCGGGGAAGGCGAGATCCGCGGTGAGATGATGGAGGGCCCGAGAGGGGGTCATCTGATGCACGGGAGGGGAATCGCCGAGTGGTGTGAATCGTGAACTGCGCCATGATTGCGGGTAGGCAGGGAGATGGACGGGCGGTACGAACGGTTTTCGTGGACGCTATGCGATATCTGGCTGGTAGAGTAGAATGCAGAATGTAGGATGTACACCGAAACGCAGGCGGGGTTATACACAGAATGGGGGGAGATCATCGGTCGAAGGCCATGAACTGGGAGTGGACTGGCACCGGCTGTGCCATGACGAAGGGCGAGTGCGCCGCGGGGCGCCCGGCCTGCGCGAAGAACGCGGGCGCGTGCGCGTTCTGCGCTGCTTGCATTTGCGCGACGTAGAACGGGTCCTGGGTCGCGAAGATGGATGTTGGCTCGGCAGAGTACGTGTACGCATACGAAGGCGCCGTATTTCTTTGGGGGAAGGCGGGCGACGCGGGTGTCTGATGGTGCGCCGACGCCGGCTGGGCATGGTGGAAGGATGTCTGGGACGAGGTAGAAGCAGAGGACGTGGAGGGCGACGACGGCCAGAGCAGCTCCTCGACCATCTTCTCATCCTCCTCCATCTCCGTGATATCCTCGTCCATGCTGCGCTGCGTCGTCAGACTGGCGACGCTCGACTTGCGCCGGTGCGGCATGTGCGACCAGGTGAAGCTCGACGAGGGCGTCGACGCGGTCGGGGTGTTGCAGTGATGCGCGTACTCGGCGGGCTCCGCGTGCCGCTGCGGGGTGAAGAGGGTCTGTGCGAGCTGAGCCTATTTCCCCGCAAATACATCAGCAACTCTTCGATCCCCCGCACACGCCGAACGAATGCTGACCTGCAGGGCGGCGAGGTCGAGCGCCTCCTGGCCGATGTGGTTGCCCTTGAGGGACGCGACGAGGTCGTCGACGGAAAAGCTCATTGCGTGTGTGTTGCAGTGGCGGTGGAGAGCGAGGGGCTACATATCGACGATATAAAAACGGGAAACACATGAGCTCGGAGCGACTCGGTCCGACGGGCTGGCTCCTTTGTCCGGCGTTCGCCGACGTTTCAGGCCGGGGACGGCATTGTGCTTCCGGCGCGCCGGCGCTGCAGCCTCTTCGTCTCTTCCGAGTCTCTTCCGCTCAGCGCCTCGGATTGTTACTGCAGTTGCAGCGCGCACTCACGTCATGCCACGGGTGAGCGTTACGGCGACCTCTGTCTATCAATTTTGCATCCGGCGTTTATCCACCTTCAACCACCGGCTCGTTATAGCTCTCCTACCTGCAGCATGTAAGTATATCGGCCATCGCAGCTGACTGAGCATCGCGGGTCGCGGCTGTACGCTGCACCGCTCGCAGCAGCCTTCATAATGGGCAACGGACAGCAATGTCATGACGGCAATCCTATCTTTGTTACAGCAGCCATCGGGGCGGGGAAAAAGACAGTCGGCACACATACATACAGTACACACACGCTGCCCCGTCACGTCCCTGACTATACCCATACCCGCGAGTGCCCCTTCCCACCAGGGCGGACGAGCAGGCAACGGGGCAACCCCCATTCCAGCTCCAGGCATCCCGCGCGCCCATCTCACCCGATAACCTATCTCCCGCGCGCGAGATGCAGCCAATATAGCCGGCCTCGACCAGGGTGGACCTGCACCTGACGTCAAGCGCACCCAGACTTGTGTACTCCCTTCGCGGGGGCCTGGATCCCGAGCTTATGCAGCTGCAATCCCATGCTTATTTGCCTTGTCCCTCTTCTCCGTCCAGAACTCGAGCGCGGTTCGCAAACCTTGATAAGTTAAATGAATGAGAATCGAGAATCGCCCGGGGTCGTCAACCGAACAGGCCCGAGAAGATCGGGGCATCAGCGGCGAGGAATTGTGGGTACTCGTCCTAATGCAGAAGGGCAGATCATAGTTGTTAGTGTGCGAAGTGAGATTATCGTAAAGGCAGAGCACGCACTGTCAGCACGGATGGGCAGGCTGCTGCGAGCTCTTTTGCCGTTTGCTGCAGGCTCTTCTTTAGCTCTACTGCGTCTGAGAGATAAATCCATGCATGAGCATCCCGGAACGTGATCTGAGAGAGCGCGAACGGCGCTCACCGTCCTCAGGAACGCTATCAGACTCCCAGAGCACGACCCAGCACTTTGCGACCCCCTCCAATATCGCCTCCTTCCAGCGGTGCATCCGCGGCGCACACACCCGCACGACAGTCTGCAACGCGCGCAGCGCAAGCACCCTATGCTTCGTGCTAAACGGTGCCAACTCGAACGAATCCGCGAGCAGGGGGTGCGTGAGTTGCGGGACCATCGCCTATACTCTCTGAGCTCACTCTCTTTGATTTCAACCCTCGTACTAATGGACGCACCTTGAGATACCTCACGCTCCCCAGCCTCAGCGCCCGCACGACGTCGGGGAGCACCTCCAGGCTTGCCTCGACCGTTTCGCGGTCGTTGGGCGCGTACAGCCAAATCCCGCCGACGATGCTCTCACCCAGGAGCGAGCAAAGCTGGTTGAAGCGCGCCGCGGAGCCGGGGGTGGTGGTCAGCTCTGTTAAATTCAGCGCGAGGGGCACCGCCGCGCGGACGAGCGCGGGCGTGGCGGGGTTGTGCAGATGCGTCAGCGTGGTTTTCATGCTCTGTGGTCAGGGGGTTAGAGGAGGGTGGGGAAGGGCAAGGCGGGAGGGGGGCACACGGAGAAGAGGAGCGCGTCGAGCCCGGTGCGCCGCAGGAGCGCCGGGGGGACGCGCGCGAGGAAGGCGGCGAGGACGCGGAGCCCGCGGAGCTTGTGCGGCGCCTCGTAGTCGTCGAGGAGGGTCATCAGCGGGGGGACGACGAGCGGCCATACGCGCTCGTACGCGTCTCTCTGTCGATTGGTGCGTCAGCGGGCAAGACCGAGACAAGATACAGGGAAGGGGCGTACGGGGATGTGGCGGACGCACCAGGCGACGAGGGCCGCGGCGCCGGGGTGGTGTTTCCACTCCTGGCCTTCGTAGTGGTCCTGCCGCGCGCCGGGGCCGCCGGCGGGGCGCGGGAGGGTGCGCCCGGTGGACGCGTTGAGCAGGGGGTGCGGGGTGGATTGGAAGAGGGGCTTGACGTGGGTGGCGAGGATGTGTTCGAGGAGCGGGATTGAGGGGTCGGGGAAGTGCGCGAGGATGTCTGTGTAGGACTGGCTTAGTGACGGTAGGGTATATGATAGATAGCATAGAACATACCAGAGGATAGCTTAGTGGCCGGCTCTGGCGCCCAGGGCTCTTCGTTCTCAAATGCAACGACTTTCGCGATGACTTGGCCTTGTTCCTCCACGCACAGCTTCATACCGCCGTCTTCCTCCAGCTGCTTCTTCAACTCATGCAAAACATCGCAAGCGCGGATTTTCCATTCGTCCAGCTGAGCAATCGTGTCCGCCTCTTCTATGGCATCGTACCGCGCAAACTCGGGCGGGACGGTGAGGCGGTCGAGGAGCCACTGGATTTTGTGGTGGTGGTCGAGTTGTGGGTCCATCGAGAGGCGTCACGTGCGTTCTCGATCGCGTTGCGCTTCTGCTTCAGTCTCAGATTGTGGCCAACCACAGCATCCCGTACTGCCTCTGCCTGCCCTTGCGTGCTCTGTCTGTTCTATGCTACGTCTATAGGCTACACGGAAGGAAAGGAATCATCTCCAGAACATATCCCTCTGCTAGCTTTTAGCAAAGGCGGTCTGGATCACTATGAACGATTCACTATCCAGTGAGCTCCCTTCTTATATTGCAACAAGCCACAATTGACCACACTTCTCAGACCCCTTTAGCATCACCTACCCCACCGCCGTCCAGACTTCCCTCCACTCCGGAGCCCTCTTCGCGCGCTTCGACCCCTCAGGCCGCTTCGTCGCTGCGGGGCGCAACGACGGCACCGCCGTCGTCTGGGACCTCGACACGCGCGCCGCCGTGCGCTGGCTCGAGGGCCACGTCAAGGGCGTCACCAGTGTAGAGTGCGTATCCCCCCCTGCCTCGGCGCCCCGTGCGTTCATGCGCCGCGCAGCTGGTCAAGACACTCCCGCTTCGTGCTGACCGCTTCCAAGGACTGGAACCTCGTCGTGTGGGACCTCGCGTCGGAGACCGACCCACCAAGGCGGCACGCGACGGTCAGGTTCGACGCGCCGATTGCCTCGGCGTGGTTCCACCCGCGGAATAGGTGCGTGAACTGAGCTGTGGTCATGGCTGACGCGGTTCTCATGCGTGTGTTATTCATACGTCACGCTACAGCCAGATCATGCTCGTCCTTCTGGCATCGGGCGACGCCTACGTCGTGGATCTGCGCAAGTCCCAAAGGAGCAGGGTCGAGCTGTGCGAGCCGCAGGAGGACGAGGACGAAGAGGCCCAGATGCACCGCCCGCGGTGCGTACCGCCCACCTGACCTTGCAAAAAGTTCTCTCATCCTAGCTACCCAACTTACCCCGCCCGTCCCGCAGGTCCGCGATTACCGTCGCGCGCTTCGACCCCTCCGGGAAGCACATCTTCGCGGGGACCTCGACCGGGTCCGTCCTCGTGTTCAACACGCGCACGAAGACCGTGCGTGCTCCTTCTCTTCCCATCGCTTCCCGGTGCTGACATCACAGGCACACGTTCGTCGTTCGCTAGATGGTCGGCCGACACAAGATCGCCGATAAGATTTCCGCGGTGGGCAGCATCCGCGGCATCGAGTTCGCCAAGTCCGGGCGGTGGGTGCCTCCATTCACTTTTGCACGCCTGCGAATCCGGGATCGCTGATGCACGGCGCCGCCGCAGGCGGATGGTCACCAACTCGACCGACCGCACGCTCCGCCAGTTCAGCGTGCCGACGTACTCCGACCAGTGGTGCCTGGAGTGTGAGATCGAGCCCATCCACCGCTTCAACGACCCCATCACGAAGACGGCATGGCACGCGATGTCGTTCAGCCCCGACGGGGAGTGGCTCGCGGGAGGTATGTGGTAGCTCGAACGGTGCAGCGCTCGTCGGTGGATTCAGTTAATGTTAGTGTCACGTTATTATAGGTGCAGCGGATCCCGCGGCGCATAAAATATACATATGGGATATCGCGAATGATGGCCAGTTCGCGAATACGCTGGATGGCGGGCGGGAGCCCCTGGTGTATGTGCACGTATGTTCTGTCGTCTCTCACATATTCCCGCTGCTGTACTAACCAACTGGAGTATTACCAGTGGCATCCCAGTAAACCTGCGATAGCCTCCACCACGAATCTCGGGAACATCCTCATCTGGCACATCCCCGTGCAAGAAAGATGGGGAGCATTCGCCGGTGGCTTCGAGGAGATAGACGTGAACGTGGAGTACGAGGAACGGGAAGACGAGTTTGACATTGTAAGCCTCCCATCTTTCCTTTGCCTCGGACGGCCTCGATAAAGTTATGTGGTACCACAGGAGGATGAAGAAGAAATGGCAAAGAGAAAGATGAAGGAGGAGGAGCAGGAGGTGGACATTGCTGGGGTAGATGGTGGCGGTGCGCAGCCTAATGGTGTCCGGATAAATGGGGAACATGACGAAGATATCCTATGGGCTGACGAGGAGCCTGATGAGGACATGGAGGGGTGGAAGATGAAGATATTGATTGAGGATGACCAGGATGGCATATAGTTTTGCTGGTGACTCTATTTTGGGCAGTTTGGGATGTGATCCTTGATCTCTGCCTGTTTTGGCCCTGTGCTATGCTGATACTATATTTATATGGTGGCAGGAGGATCTTGGAGGTTGCAGACCAAGCGCAGATCACTCACAAGGTGTGGTGCAGCTAGTTCACATTTGCAATCCCCTCCAAGTGTAATGGTTAGTGTGTCACTGCCTGATCCTTGACTGTCTTTCTCTTCTCCCTCCGACTTTTACCCTGCTGCTCCCTGGATGAAAGGATATTGATTCATTCAGCTTCTCTGATCTTGTAGTGCATCTATGCCTGTTAGCAGTACTGGGTGTAACTTGGGGGAAATACAGCATACGCAGCAGGCTCGAAGGTCTGTGCCTGGTACCCCATTGGAAGACCAGCATAACAGCCAAGCTAAGAGAAACAACAAAGGAGGAAAGACATGAATTAATAGAGGAATGGGTGAACCACATTCATGAGCACCAGGTGCAAGTAAGAAGACAAATACAACATAGCTAACATCCGAAGAGCTGGGAACACAGTACCAGTGGAAGAGGAAGCAATACAAGAGAGGGAGAGGTACACTGGAGAGTCCCTTGGGACTAAACCAATACTGGGAGATAGCACTTCTGCAGTAGAGTGGCTCAACCAGAGGTCAAAATCCAGAGAAATACAGCACAGCTAGGGAAGTCATAGAGTGCTACAGAGCACATACAAGGCAGCAGGACATGATGTAGGACTCTGCACAACTAATGTACTGCTATGGACTTCCTAAGAGGACTAGAGACCAAGCAGAGACTCCTAGATATGACCACCTGCCATTAGGTAGTAGAAGAGGCTCTGGTTTCTCTAGAAGCGAACAGATGCATACTGGTGTGGTTGGAAGATAGTATGAAGGACAGGACCAAGATGGGGCTCCCAGACTGTTGCACTGGTCTGAGTAGCTAGGGAGCAATGACAAACAGTCTATAGCGCAGTGGAGAGCTGTTCTGATATCTGGGGAAGGCAATGCAAAAGGGCTACTGCCCATGGACCCTCGAGCAACCTCAGCTTATATATACTACCAAAGAAACAGATATAGCTCACCTTAGTTCTACAGGCCTCAAGATTGTTTTGGTTACAGGTTTCCATCCATGGACTATCTCTGGTGTCTTACTCCCCTTGTCGGAAATTCAAAACCCGCCTTGCAATGGGCATCCATTCCCATGGTGGTGCAATGCCATTGCAATCGGCTTGCCATGTGAGCTGCCCATCGCAATCGCGGCTCACTGCACACCACTTGATTTGCATCCCACGGGTCATCCATAAATATAGAATATTGCTGCAGAACACCCTAGAAAGGTGTTTCTTGGGCTAGCCCATGGATTGTATTGTTTGGACATCTCCTGAAGTAGAAGCACCATGCTATATATATAATTGCATAGTATGTAGATCCAGTGCACATGGTGTAGTGGTTGAGTTGTCCATCTTTGTTTTTCTTATGTAATATAGATCTTCAAAGGTCATGAGTTCAATTCCTTCCATGCCCACCTCATAAATTTATTTTTTGCTATTCTTGGCCCTGTGGATAACCTCAGTTGCAATGCCATTGCAAATTGGTTGCAGACACTCGTACTTTATTGCAACCGGCACACTGCATAGGAACCCTGGGAACCCTTGCAAGGCGGTCCATAGGACTTCATGGATTTCCAACACTCTACCCTTAGAACTTAACTCCCCTCCAGTACTCCTAGACTGCTGCCACCCATACCACACCATCCATGCTGCACAAGACTATGACCCACAACACCAGGGAGATGGGTCTCTTCTTGTGAACAGGTCACTTTCTTCATCCAGAATGGTTCAACTCTGACTTCAGAACTGACTATGTAACCTCAAGGCCACCTCACCATTTCAGATGATGTGCAGCAGCCAGAATGATCAATTTGGCAATCCATGCAATCAAAGCATGTTGCAACCTGGTCAGTGGTGTCATCAGTCTGGTGATTAATAAAGCTGCACTAACTGTTCCAACCATTCCAATCATTTAACTGACCACATGTATGACCATCTGAGCATGACCATAGGAGGGTTCACAGGTGGAGAAAGCATTAACACCAGATGATTGAGTCCATGAGCAGCAGTGAGTGGTCCCCATTTGAGCACCTCAGGATGATCATAAAGCTCAAAAACAGAATAAAAGCTGCCTGCCAAGATAATGGTCCAGGGAGCCTGGTAGCAACAGCCTACCAGCCCTCATGCCTAATGTTGGATCACACTAGATGAAAAGATGGGAGATTGATGGGTCAGGCCTATTGGCAAAGCTAGGGTCAGAAACAAATTCACTAAGTTTGATGCTTTCCAACTTTGATGGTTGCTGAGGTTCTGATACTGGAGCTCTGAGATTGTTGAGAACAAAACTTGTGTTGACACTACATGATACTGTGTTTTATATGCAACCAAGCAATCACACAACGTGTCAGACAAGAATACAAAGATTAACTTCCAAACTCCACACATACATCATATGCCTGCTCACTGGTACAGACAAAGTCCATGCACCTTAATCCACCATCTCGCTTCCATATGGTCTCCTGCAGTCTCCATGTGTCCTACATTTCTTCCAGAGGTCTTCAAAGTGTATCTTTGAGTCTGAGCCACCAATTGAATAATCTGCAGATGTAGTGGTCATGTGTGCATTAGCTCTGGCTGCACCAACATTGCTATTGCAACTGCCAGACCCATAGCGATGGATTGGTCACATCTACTTGAGTTGCACCATAATGGACCTAATTGGAGGCAGGCAAGAATGATGGCATGCTGGTGATGAGCACTGGCAGTGAATGAAGGGGAAAACCACCAACAAACAACCACACAGCAGGCTTGAAGGCCTGCACATCATTGGACACCCCAAGCAAAAGGGTGACCTAGACCCAAGGAAAAGGGAAATGGATGGGATGAATGGGGGGACTCCAGTAAGGGGACCAGTGACGAGAGTAAGATAAGGGGAGAGGAAGAGGAAGTAATACAATAGACAAGGAGAGATGCACCCAAGAGCCCTTGGGGGTAAACCCAACAAATGCTGGGGAGTAGGATACCCACAGTCATGTAGGTAACCCAAGAGCAGTCTGCAGGAGTAGATGACATTGGTAGAGGCCTAGTAAAACCCTAGAGTATGAAGGCAAGCTGGTGGAAGTTGATTGAAAGGGTTTAGCACTCAGGGTGGCTGCCTAAGAGGATATACTGGAAGTTGATGGAGCAGTAGTAAAACACTGAGACTCATTGGGGGGACTCTCTATACATTGGGAAAGACAAGACAATGTGAATGCGCACACTGCAGAACTCTAGAGAAATCAGATACTGCTGGAAGCTGAACTGTGGCTGAGGCTGATGAGACTCTTGCTGAGACTAAGACTGAGGCTGGAGACTGTTGCTAATGGCGAGGAGACACTTTGAACAATGAGGGACAGTCGATACTTTGGCTCTAAGCTAGGGGAAAATGAATTCTGGGGAAAATGAATTCTGGGGTAATCTAAGGAAGTACAAGTTTATATCTCGAGAATGGTGCATCATACAATTCTGCAAACCATTGCAAACAATTCAAATGCATGGAAACAGTAGGGAACCAAAGAGGGGGTGAATTGAACCAATAGGAGATGAGCTATGAATATAGGGAGGTCAGGTGGAGGGAGAAGCAAAGGCTCAAGTACAGTTCATGGAGTGGGAAGAAAGTAGGAAGTGGCAGAGGGATAGAGCAAGATGAAAGGGGAGATACCAAGAGATGGGAGAAGCCAGGGAGAAAGCAGAGCCAGTGTCCCCAGCTCTCATCAAGTCTCATATGAGGATCCCTTCCTAAATAGGCATATGTCAGGGAATGACCTACACCTCATCAGAGCAAAAAGGGAGAGGGACTAGAGACTGGATGGCAAATCCTAGAGTCAACAACTAGTAGACAAAGCTCCAATCCCTCCAGAAGCGAGTGGATGAGTTGTAGTGTGGCTGGTGGGTAGTATAGGAAGTGGGTGAGCTCCCAGGCTTGATGGAGTGGTCCAACTGTTAGGGATCGAAGGAGTATAGTCTGTGGAGTAGAGGGAATGTGGTCTTCAACCTGGTGAAGGCAAGGGGAAGATGGCAACTCCCATCCATGGGTGACAAATGAGTGAGACTGGTCCATGGATGAGTTGAGTAGCAAACAGACCGGACAGCTGGAGTAACAAATGTAGATAGCTTGCAGTGGGGATAGAGGTTGATGGATAATAAGGGGTACAAGCTTGTGATATGGACAGTAGAAACAAGGGGGTGCTGAGAGCTGTTTCCACGAACAGAACTTAGTGGTGTGTATCATCACATGAACCCGCTTGGAGGGTCTAAATACCAAACAAGGCTCCTGGGGGCAACTGTACACCCACCACTCACTACGTTGCTGGGTCACATGCATATGCATTTTCTGTTTGCTGTCAGCCTCTTTCTCACTGGTTCAAAGTTTGTTTGACCACCTGCTTGATTGACAAAACATTCTTTTATTCAGAGTCCACTCTATTGTATGATGAAGATGCCTGCGTGTGGGCTGCCCCACCAAAGATTGTGCAACCACTTGAGACACACTGCACACCCAAAGGCCTTGAGGTTGACATGTCCCTGTGCATATGGGGCAGAAGTTCATTGTTGTGTCCAATTTGTCACTCTCTGCCAGAGATGCTGATGAGGATTCCATGTCAGATTGGAGAGCTATTGGAGAGTTGAGGACCATTGCACGTTGTCACCACCACCTTGAAAGTTTTACCTAAGGGTCACCCATCATAGCTCATCACAAAGAACATGGACTTGTTGGAGTCAGGACTGGAGGAGATGCAAGGCCTGGTTCCAGGGAGTGCTTGGAGATGCAGAGTGCACTCAAGGTGCTCGCTCACTGCACTCAGGGGAGTGTGTTTGATTTCGCATTTTGGGGCTTGCAAGCTTGCACCATGTTGTGCATCTTGCACCAGCGGGTGCCACTTGGGAAGTTACATAATAGACACATTGTCGCTCACTGCAGTTATAGTATCTGTGGAGATGTTTCAATGCCAGGGTGGTAAGAGGCTGAGGCAGTTTGGACACACATTGCCCAGCTTCCACATGCAGGAGAGAGATGATAACTGCATTGGATGAGTACAGCATCATAACATGTGCTGGTCAGGGGGGGCCACTGCAGGTGGGCCTGACTGATAAGGTGAAAAGAAAATCTTATATATTTGTTGTATCTACTCAATGTACAGTATGTTATTGCCCTTTGGGCAGCTGACCGCTCAGGCTTGGGGCAAGTGTGCTCATCTTCTGCTTGCTAGGATTATTTCAACACTGTGACGCTACATTTTTAAAACTGAAGCCCATGACCCAACCCACACCTTATCCAACCTGTCAAAATGGGTTGAGCATGGATACAGGTACAGTTATGCCTCAGACACCCAGGCATATACCTGTGCTATTCACTACATCAGTGGCACCAAATGTGACCTGTACCTATACCCACCTGCACCTGCACTAGGGAACTGCACGGGTACACCCATGGGTGTCCTGGTGTGTACCTGTACTGTATCACACCCATGTGCAAACCCATGTCTATGGGTTGGGTACAGGTACACTGATATTCACTAACACACAACAACCACAAAGACCAAGGGAAATAACCTATCGCACCCAGTGGTATGGGTGGAGGTGGTCTAAGATGACTGAAGGGTAATCATACAGTTTGAGGGAGAGGGGAGGAGTAAGATGACATGGTGGAGTCTGTAGGAAGACCTAGAATAATAAAATCTTGATGCCTAAAACAAACAATGCTCTGATGCTCCAGAGTATTTATCTCTGAAGATCGCTAAAAGACCAGACTGCAGGCACCGACACCTCTCATAGGATCATGCACGTGGGGTGGTACTGGACTAAAGATGCTCTGTTAATTTATTTCTTTAAACCAGCACTCACAGGAGTTAATGTTCGATGGCGGAGATATTTAATTCGATGAGTCAGACCTATTGGCAAAGCTAGGATTGATTATAATTCGCTAAGTTCGATGTGTTCGGACTTTCACGGGTCACCAAGACTGTAACTCTGATGCACTGAAATGGTGAAGATCAAACTTGTTTTTACTTTACTCTACATCATGGATTTTATACTCCAGAAATGACTCAGAAATTGCTCAGAGATAAATAACAAATAATTGCCGCAATTCCCTGACCGCTCAGCACTCCTCTGCTGCTATACCACATACCATATGATTTCCTTGTATCACCACAGGCTTGTCCTAACTGCCAGAGGTCGCTTGGATGCATCAGTACCTGCCCTAAACCTTTCCATCAAGCCATGCGACATGCGAGTCACATGCTAATTATCTCCGGCTGCTCGCTGACTGATGCTGGCCTCATGGCTGTGGATTTACATCCGCAAGCTCAGTAATTTGACTGAGATGAAGGAGGGGAAGTGCTGAAAGTTGGAAATGTGGATGATGCACAACGAGACAGAGGACCATGGACGCCAAAGTTAATTCTTCATGGAGTCGCATCCTGAGTCACTCCAGAGCATCCGACCTTGGAGCTAAAGCTTCGCAGGGGCCGCATTTGCATCGCGGATGGTAGGAAGTCCGGATTTAAATCAAGAAAACATCTTGAACCAATCCTAGCCTGAGAGCATGTGATTGTGACATCAAATAGACTCGGGGAGATGTGGGTAGGGACATGTGAGTGCAATGTCAAATGGACTCTGGAGGCGTGAGCGGGTCACAGGTACAGCCCAATGCAACCCGTACCCATACCCACAAGTACCCCTACCTGTGACCCACATGGGTTACCTGGACCTGTGCATTTCACTAACCTGCACAGATTACATGAACTCATGCAGTTCACTAATTCAGGGTCCTGCTGTAGTGCTATCCAACCTTGGGAATTGCAATGCCATCATGTTGGAATGGCCTGGTACTGGCCTGGGCCATGGTTCTAGACTTCACCTGTGTGGGAAATCTTGATATCTCAATAGAATTCATGAGAAGACAAGAAGAGTGTCACAAATATTTGTCAATAAGGCCAAACATTGCAGCCATATAAAAGTGAGCGCTGATCATCCATCAATTTTGTTTCTGGCCCCACCTTGCTCCTGTTTAGCTCCACAATCAAGTGTCTTTGTCTGCAACTTTCTTTATTGCCAACTATCCTCCAGAAAATACTTCATCAGCTTTGTTGAAATCAACAGTCCCAGTCATCCACTGTGATTTCTGGCCTTGGCTGATCTGCAACATATCTTGTCAACTATTCTTGCCAATCCTTGCATCATGCCACGTTCTGTTAGCCCTCAATACCCAGCCAGAGCCAGCTGGGTTTCATCATTGCTGGCAGACTCTTCGACTATGACTCCATCACTGGGCTTATATTCAGGTATGGTCCAATCACTGATATCGTCAAATTACCAAATTTCACCACTGATATGGGCTACTAGTAGCATCCTCCTCTGCTATCTCTGCTTCTGCCAGAAGTACAAGCATCAGTGACAATCCAACCTGTACTACTACAATTATATCTCCTACAACTCTAGAGACTGGCCCAGAAGGGAAGTGCGATCACAGCTCCCAAGATGATCTCCCGGGCTGGACAGTCCTGGAACCTCCAGTAAATTGCAAGGACTCTGATGACGAGGACAAACAATCCAAACATATTGTTCATTTGAAATCATCAAGGACACCAAATGCAAAGAGGTATGGAATGATTGCTCCGAACTCAGAGTCCAAAGCTCTGCTAGGCTAATCACTTTCCTAGCAGGAGGCCAAAACTAAAGTCGACCAATGCTTCTCCAAAGTCGGACAAGCCTCAAACATCTCCATCTGGCACAGGGGACTCAAGCCCCATCATCGCACAATCCAATATTCTCCTCAGCATACGCCAGCACAAGCTGATCTTTGACGGTGTTGAGATCACGACACCACCCGCAAGACCCTCAAGACGAGCTCTGCAATCTGACCAGTTACCCTCGACAAAGGAGGAATGGACAGCCTGGCCACGACGGTCCACGAGACTCGCTGGTATAGCTGATGAAGACTCCATCTCACGCAAACATAGACATCAAGTGGGTAGCGATGTCGAAGACGGAGGCGAAGCTTCTCCCGCTATTTGTCCGTCGCAGTCACCGCCAGCGGACAGGCATTCGTTGACGCCGTCGGTAGCCCGCCAAATATCAAACGGCCTTGAGCTCTCGGGCCCGGGAAGCTTAGTCGCAGCATTTAATGCTGCAGCGCTTCATAATAAACCACGCGAGCCGCCCAAGAAGCTCGTACCGGTGGTGGAGATAGTTCGCAGAGTCGCACCCCCGTCGCCGTCGAGGGCGCGCGAGCTACGGGCGAGGAAAGATCACCTGCAGCTGGCGGACCAGGCGCCCACCAGGGAGAAGAGGAAGTCGCATACGGTCGAGGCCTTAGACGAGGATTTGGACGCGGCGCTTGAGACGCAGGTCGCGCCTGTCCGGTTCAGGAAGTCTACGAGGGTCGCCGAGGCAGCGGATCGGGTCAATGTCATGAGGGCTGTCCGTGAAGCGCTCGACGGCAGTGGAGAAGACGAGGGCGAGGCGCTCCGAGAGGCTAAACGCCCGCGCATCGTCGCTGATCCGTCGAAGGCGGTCAGGTTCGTCGGGAAACTGGAGGAGTGCTTTGGGCCCGGGGTGCGCGCCCCTGGCGCTCTCGACGCGAAGCCGAAGAGAAGCATTTTGAGGAAGGTGAGCGCCGCCTGCTTTGTTTAGGGGCTTGTGCTGTGAAGGGCGATGAACGTTTGATCTGTCGACGAATGCTGGTTTCTTTGACGCCGAGCAATGCCAGTTTGATTTGACAGAATCGCACTCCTGATTGGATGGATTGGAAGCGGACGTTGACCGCCGATCATAGGTGCACAGTCAGGCAGCATCGACGCGCCCGAGCGAGACGCCGCTGCCTCATGCTCTGAACACTTCCTCTGGGGAAGCCAGAGCCCCAGACGAAGACACCCCGACTAGGCAAACCTGTCAAACTATTTCAGTATCAGGTTCACAGGGATGTGATACACCCACAGAGCTTGGACCCATCGAGACCACGCGATATGAAACGGGAGAAGAATGCTGCATCAATTCGAATGCTAACGATAGTATGTCGGGATCTTTCGGCCGGGGCTCAATCGCGGGACAGACGCCAGATGTTCAGGAATGGGTGAGGTCAATCCAGAGACTTGTCAAGGGTAAAACAGTCACTGGCCGCGACGTAAGTCCTCGGATAACATGGAATGGGTCATTCATTGACGCGCATAGGACCTAATACATTTGAGCAACGTTCTACATGACATCGAACGACAGAAAGAGAGTTTGAACCAAGCCGCGCTCGAGGCGAGTACCATGCTCTCTGTAGATAGAACATGCGCAGAAGCTGATTGGTTTGCGCTACATGCCTGCTTATGCATCCCGCGATGACGCTGCATCGGCGGAAACAGAGCACACGGCTATGGGCAAGTATAGCGCAGCTGGGAGAATTGCCGGAGGTTCCGTTTGATGACGAGTATGGTTTGCGGGGAAGGGCGGCGCGACTGGACGAGTACTGGCGCCACCATCATCAGCGACGGTAGCCCGCCGCGCAGGTTTCGCTACGATGTAATGGGGGTAATGCTAGGCGAGGCGGTTGCATTCCGAGGGCGGCTGGGGCGCGGTTGAGTCGGCATCGGAGGGATGATGGAGTGGCAGGAGGGGATTGTGGCGCCGAACCCGCGCATGTTCGCGTTCCGGTCACGCCGTCACGTTGACGGTCACAAGTGGATGCTTGCTTTTTTCGCTCAACAGGATACACTTTCGATTATATCTTCTCGCAAACGTCAAAGTCCCTTCTACACCTGCTATATTACCATACCATTCTCCTCGTCGTTCAAGCACCTTTGCTCGTCGTTGCTCTCGCTCTTGAACGCACTCTAAACGTTAACGTCCGTCGCTCTCCTCAAAGACAATATCATGCTCGCGCTGGCCCCTGCTCTGCAGCACAACCCGTCTGACAGTCACCATAGAGCGCCTTCTGTCCATTCTTCCGGATCCTCTTCTCGCCCGTCGAGACCGCTTCCCCGCAAGGCGGCCTCCTCTTCGACGTCGACGACGTACTCTTCCGCATCATCATCATCGACAACCCCTTCCGCGAGCAGGGCGTCCAGTGTGGCCTCGTCTCCGCCCCAGTCGCACCGAATTCGGCCGCCACTGCAAACTTCATCGTCCTCATCAGCGGCGTCGACGTCGCACAGCAGGACGGCATCCATACCCGTAGGAGGAGTGGGTCCACCGGCCAAGGCTCCTTCAGTGGAGCATTCATCGGCTAAGTCTGGCTCTTCCCCTGCCCCCAGTCAGTCAAAGACTCCCGAGACGAAAGCGGACTCGCCCGGATTTGACATCCACACATACCCCTCGACCGACCTCCTTAAGCTCCTGGCATCCCTCCTAACCCAGATCGCCGCTACCAATGACGCGCTGGGCACTTCCTCTCCCACCTCTCCTACGTTCCAGTCCCATTCTCGCTCGTCCTCCGTTTCCGATAATGCGCCACACTCGCCTGTATGGGATACCTTGACAACCGCTTCGAAAACCGCCCTTTCCGTACCGTCATCTTCCCTAGCCTTCCATGCTCGCAACATTCCCACCATCTCACTCGAAGCGTACCTCCTGCGTATACTGAAATATTGCCCAACGACAAACGAGGTGTTCCTGAGTCTGCTTGTCTACTTCGATCGGATGAGCAAGTTGACCCAGGAAGCCACCGGCAAGACGTTCGTGATCGATTCGTACAATATTCACCGGCTGGTAATCGCTGGTGTCACCGTAGCGAGCAAGTTTTTCAGTGATGTATTCTACACGAATTCGCGGTACGCGAAGGTACGTAACCTTGAATTGCCCCTAAACGCGCTGCACATCCTGAGTGGCCGCACGCTCTATAGGTCGGAGGCCTCCCGCAGGCGGAGTTGAACCAGCTCGAGCTGCAGTTCCTCTTACTGAACAACTTCAACCTGATGATCACGCCCGACGAGATGCAGCGCTACGCCGAGCAGCTCATCATCTTCTCCCAGTCGCCGTCGCAGCAGAACCGGAAGGACCCGTGCGAACCCACTCCGTTGCCGCTAACAGTGTCGGACACGAGGCCTGCAGCCCCGATGCAGGCCATGGGTGCAGTCGACACTTACGGCGATCATGTGGGTTCATGCAAGTCGCATGCCTCACCGGCTCCTCCGAGGGCCTCCGAAGGGAGCGAGGCAGACCATCCGTCCAAGACCCCGAACGTCCGCCCGCAGGTTCTCCATCGGGGTTCCTCGTCTGGCGCGTCCACGCACTCGCGCTACTCCTCCGTCGATTCAGCGTCAGAAGCTGGCGACACGGAGACGGAGTATGACGGAGAGACGGACGACGAGCCGACGATCCGGCCCAATGGCTCTGATACACAGAGTTTATACAGCGTTGGGAGCGTCGATGACCGGGATGACAGCATGGGAAGTCCCTGAGGTTGGGTTCCCATCTGCAAATACCAAATAGAATGCGGAACGAAGATTAGAATGGGAAAACGTGGTTGTGGGCGCTGTGTACGATGCGAGGATGGTGTGTATTACTGTGGAAGTTGGAGGCGTTAAAGGTAATTTATACCGGTCCATGGAGCCCTCGTGTTATTTCTCCAAACCATAAACCCATTTCCAATGTTTTCTCATGTTTGCGTTCAACGTTACATTATGATTGTTTACGACTTCTCGAGGCTGCGTGCTTTGGGCCAGATTTCCTCATTCTCCCCTGCAACGTCCCTGTTTCCATCTCTCCTGCACGATCCATATCCATTGACTTTCATGACCTGCCGCGCAACTAATCAAGAATGTCGTGTCTTGTGTGTATGTGTATACAGTATACTACTTAGTAGTTTGTCAATATTATACATAGTCTTTTTTTTCCGCTTCTTCGCCTGACGATGGATGCTGCGGTCCAACTGTACATCATCAGCATGTTCCACCTGTCAGGTTGGTCGAGTCATTACACATTTCGGTCACGGAGATGACAGTTCTGACAACAATTATCATGCAGTAGTCTATGGACAAATCTATTGCTAGGGTACATCACGAAACGGAGTGTCTCTGCCCCAGAGTTCGAAGACTTCAAGCTACGCTGTTTGCTGCGATTGTGCAAGCCCAAGTAGCTCCGTTGCTCGTGCACGTAAGCCGTGTTCATCATCGAAGGGTATATCATTTTTTGGCAGCTGGCTTATGTCGGTGATGGCTTGTCGTAAGCCCGAACTCTAATAACGAAGGTGCGTTAGCCCTCTACTACAGGTCCACGGACGTCGCCTTTGCTAACCTGTAGGATTTCAGGATCAAGAGATGCCAGTGCATGCTTGACTTCTTCTAGAATGTTGCTGATGAACTGCATATCCTGCCGCCGCTTCAGTGTCAGCAGCTAACACTAAGAGAAAGAACTACTGATCCATAGGACTTACCTCCCGCTCAAGTCTGATTTTACCTTTGGCCAGTTTCAGGAGAGCCTTGACCCAATCGTCGATAATAGCAAGGTCCAACTTGTAACTGGAAGGCTTGTCGACTTCGCCAACCAGTGGAACGTAGGTTGAAGATGCTGCACTGGCTGCCCTAGGTTCTTCTGCGAGGATAGCTGGCTCTGATGTGAGCAATGGAACTGCTGATCGGGCCTCGGTCTCGTCATTCCCAAGAGGATTCTCCAGTACAAGCGAGAACGCCTCCTCGTCCTGGTCGAAATAATCTGCGGTGCTCTCCGTCACAGCGCCGCTCTCGGGCTCGCTCGCAGCAGCACCATCCTCCTGCAAGGCAAATGCTGCGCCGGTGGCGGGTGAACCATACCTCGAGCGAAGGGTATAGTTCCTAGCCTATAGTGACGCGCAAGTGAGTCAGTACACCATATGCTGATTTATACTACCCCAAAAAAGCCCATCGAGTGCAATATGCATCACTGCGATGCCGCCGCCTAGATGTCGTTGTTCAACTGGCAAAGCACAAATAAACTTACCTTGCCGGGTTTTCTCTTGGACGAGCCTCTGTCAAGGCTTCCGAAGCCGAACATGCTCTCTAGTCTCTCCGCGAACATCACGGTCCGAGATTGATGCGGAACTATACGAGGACGTTCTTGAGCGTTTATCAGGACGCCCTGTCTCGGTACCAGTCTGTTGCTCTCCGTCGAGAAGTCGTGCTCGGTCTGCGAATCGTCATTGCGAGGATGCTTCTGCAAGTCTGGCCCCGTGACCAGCTGCAAAAGGTCTGGATGCCTGGAGTCAACCTTGGACCAGAGTGCGGCACGATTTGAGCTTAATGATACGGGCGCGACTTCTGTCTCCAGTGCGGAATCAAACTCTTCCGGGCTAATAATGGCATTCGCCGGAACGTTTGAAAGCTGTGCGTCGATCTCTTTCTGCTTTGCGATCACATCAGCCTTCCGTCGGAGAAGCCTGTGCGGTTTGAGGACTTGAGCCTTCCGTTTCTGCGGAATCACAGGTGCAACAGCACGAGAAATAGTTCCTGCAGGTGGCTCGTGATGCTTGTTGTTGGCGAAAGTAAGGGAGAGAGCGGCTGCTAGACTGAACGGGCTGTGGTTTATTGCAGTATTTGAAGTCATTGTAGGGGCTGATTGCTCTGGTACCTTCGGATCTAGAGCCCGAGAGGGAAGGTGTGGCTTGTCCCCTACAGAATTGTGGGCTGGCAGAGGTGCATGAAGCGATTTTGATGAGACATCAGGTAGAGTACGAGAAGCCTGAGGTGCCGTTGTAAGCTTACCACCTGAATGCTATAAGGTAATTTATGATGCTCAGGCTCTCCTATTGTATTTTCATGATTTTACTCACCAGTGACTCAGATTTTGGGACCAAGGTGGTATCTTTGGACAGAGGGGGGCTTGTGATTAATACTCCAGCAAATAACTTATGTTTTGAGTCTTCCTTCTGTTGTGACAAAGGGGAATCCATCTTTCATTATATGTGAGCAAGACTGTTTTAAATAGACATAAATCAGCCAAAATAAAGGCATACCTCAGGAGAATTCTCAAGCCGCAATGGTTCCAATGGTGACTTTGTGATTCTTGGTACAACAGCAGATTCAATGATATTGCTGTTCTCCTTTGACGGTGATCTAATTCCAGGTTAAAAGATATTGAAAGGTGAGATGATGTAACTCAGAGATATACCTTTCCTCTGAACTCTTAGAAGCACTGAATCTTCTGGCCAGCTGACTATATGCACATATTAAAGTCATGCTTCTGTTACATGCTGTAGCAGTCAACCTACTGTTCCATCTCAAGCTCAGAGATCAAATTTGATGCTTTTATTCCTCTGGGGGACAGGAGGGACACAGGGAAACTATATCATAAAGTCAAAACCATCTTTTAGTAATCCACTGAGAACATACTGCAGATATCAGATAGGGCCTGTACTGCTTAGGGTAGTTGTGAACTCTGGTGCAGAGTCGAATTTCACATTAGCTTGTTGTAAACACAAAAACCAAGATAGTGACCTACCAGAGATTTGCTAGGACTGTCAGATCACTCAATCAGAGCAGCCAGACAACTATGAATGACTTGACTTGAGGGCTAGCGAAATGTGGCACATGGACCAGAGATATGACACCTTCTGATGCAGCAACTTGAAGAAAAGTGCCAATGAGTACCGGTGCAGCGCGAAGAAGAAGCACGACTGAACTATAAGTCTAACCACACAACCACGCGAAGCACGTTATGTTGGGGGTATACGTAACCGCCGAGGCTGCAGTGGGACCGACGGACGTGAAATGTTGTGGCAAGCCGATCAACACGAACGTGTTTGACATTGGAGGTCCATATTTACCTGTATTGACACCTGTGTACACTTATTTGGCTGGGCTGTTTGGTCTTTGTTTCCTTACAGCCGTATATGGGCATTCCCTCTGGAAAAAGGAGTTGAACCTTTGACTGACCCTCATGAGAGGTATGTTTTATCCATCTAAACTATTCAGCGTCCGGCATCTCTGAAGAGCAAATGTTGCAACAACCTGACCACCTCACACCCAACTTTGACCAAGAAATCTCAATCAGAACATGAGATAGCCTCACTAGCCAACACACTCAGACAGTATCATGGAAGTCCATACACATATCTAATCACTGTAACTCTACAACTCATCTCTCTTTTCTTCCGATGAAGAGTCGAAGGGAAGACACAACGCTGGCGTAGTCCCCGTTAAGTGGTACTCGCACTTCTCAGGTTCCGCGACGGTATGAATCGCGTTCTCCGTCCCACAAGACAAGATAAGCTGCGGGAAGCAACCGGAGTCTATCAGGGACACTGAGAGCCTTTGCAGTCAACCTGAAAGACGTACCATGACACTACGGTTCGGACCGTTCCAGCACTTGGTGCCACCCCTGTAGAGCTGCTTGGTGTAGTACTCCGGGTTACCTGGCTGCGCATCCGGGTTCCAAGAATGGAATTTCCTACCAGGCATCGTCAGGACAACATTAACAGCGGATGTATCAAGCTGATATACCCTAAGCTGAACGTTTGACCACCCTTGTTCGGTTTTTGCCTGGCCTCGTCGAAGAGGCAGACCTCGTAAGTATAGCTAGAAGTGCATCAGTCCTCCAAAGGTCATGCATTAGAAGACAGCGCTTACTCTCCGACATCCTTCTCCAAGCATGTACCTTCGAGCTTCTTCCACTCACCCTGGGCGCCGTAGCCTTCGGGGTCAAAGAGATCACTGAGGTCATCTTCAGCCTTCTTCTTGTCATTCTCGGCACGTCGCAAGGCTTGCTCCGCTTCAGTCAGAGATTGTCTCAACTTTGTGTTTTCTTTACGAGAATATGCGAAGGTTGGTCAAACTCATTATACAGAGGATACGAGACCATACCGCCCGAGTCATCTACACCACGGTGGACGATACCTAGGGTCCGCAACCAAGAGATGACGGTCTCTCGGAAAGTCTCGTATTGAGGAACGAGCGCGTCGGGTAGATAGGCGGCGAGATCAAATACTACCGGCAAAGTTCAAAAAGGAAGGACGCGACAATATCAATCAGGGACTACTCACGAATAGAATCCGTCATAGGCGAATTGACATGCTTCTCGTGTTCGAGAAGTAGCGACACATAGTCGGTCTTGAGGAGGTTGTCCAGGTCTTTCTCCAGGTCCTCAGCAGTCCACATACCCTCATCGAGTTCCTCCTCGTCATCCGACTCGGTCTTGACGACAGCACCCTCGTCGGAGCCCTCTTCCTCCTTCCTTACATCATTGATGTGGGGCAGACCGGCGAGACTCTCCCAGCCGCGGACGGCTTCGAGTACGGCCATATCCTGGTAGTTGGGATTGTACCCAGTCCGCAGGGCGTCGAGGATTTGCCCCAGCGCCTTTTTGCGCTCAAGGTGTTTTTTGTGTTCCCTCTGCAGGGATTTCAGGGCGTTCGCATGCTCAATGAGGGTTTCATATAACGCTAACACCGCCACTTGAGCAATTGAACTGAGACAGGGAGACTGCACATACGAGAGGCCTTCTTATGTTCCAGGGCAGCAGCGGATAATGATTCGGAACGCTCAACGATATCTAGGCACGTCAGTTACAACGCGAGGGACAGTAGGGCAGGCTGCATACCCCTAAGCCTCTCCACTTCCTTTTGCCGTTGCGCAATCTCTTCTGTGGTACTCTCGATGAGCCCCTCCAGGCGTTTCTTTTCTTTCTGTGCAAATGCAATGTATGAAGACCTAATTTTGGAACCCTGCGAAGTCAAAGCGAGATGACCTTGAGCGAAAGTAAAGGTAAGCGTCCTTTCGACCTGCCTTCTTCCGCACTTTCCGCACTTCCTCTTGCGCTTTCCGGTAGGCTTCCCCGACCTCCTTACAGATGTTCGGGCACACACCCGGTAATTCATCAGATCCGTCACAGCACTCGGCCTCTACCAAACGTTCAGCAGCTGAGCTTCTTCACGAGAATGATTGGCCCTCACCGCATAGCCCATCATTTACTCTCGAAGCAGGAATGATCGAACCAAGGTGTCCTTCATTTCGGCAGTAGAATGTACTGTTAGGGCAAGCGCCAGTTCCTATGCGTTCGCTGTCCAGCTTCCCACCAATGCTGGCGAATCTGCGCCCTGGAACACACCTGGCTCATCACTTCCGTCTGGACAGTCACAGTAGTCGTCGTTTACAGACGACCAGAGTATTTCCTTTGACCCGTCTAGGCACTTCCACGTTTGCGGTGAAGATGAGGTCTTCAGTGGTACGTATTGAGAGAGAAGGTTCGGGTGAACACCGTGTGTCTTGTCTAACCCGGCAGCGAGAGCACTCGAAGCAGCCAGGAGACTCAGCAAGGGAGTCACAGCTCCGAGCTTCGGTTGCATAAGGATTCGGGCCTCTTTCAGTGATCCAGGGCGCACACAGCGTGCTAGAAACGCGACTCGGGAGTGCTACAAGCCTACAACAGATACAGCTCAAAGTTGCTGGCGCGGGTAATGCCGACTTTGCCACCGACAGACTATCCGGTCCGGACACACAGAATACGTTTGATTGCCGGGTGTGGCTTCGACTGCCACAACTCGAGGGCGTCTGTGCTCGTCTTGCGCTTTGCCAGTCACCATGGCTGAACGGGGTAATACACGCGCAATATTTAGAATACGCCAGTTGACCTCTCGAAGATGACAATGGCGCTCAGTTGTCTGGATCCCCTCTAGTCAGAGCTCAGCAGCATCTCAGAGCACGTCTCAGCTCTCGAATATACTCTACAAGGAACCAAGGAAAAAGCGGGCCCAGCCTCTCTCTGATTAGACCGCAGCAAGTATCCTTACTCGTAAAGAGCCGCACAAACTGTCCTTTTCGACCGTCACAGCGGAGGACAGGAGAACTGGCGTCGTTAGGAAGCATCTTCTCTTCAACCTGAGAAAGTATCCGAGCTAGTGGTGCCGCTGTCAGAAACAGAAAACGTTGAAGTTGCAAATCTCTACTCTCAATGCCGCTCGTGCTCAGCTGACTGAACGCTTACTTGAAGCACTCACCAGGGACACGGATGATTATGAATGCAATATTGCTTGCAGTAGCGGAAACTGAATCGTCCGAACAGAGGCGTGTTGCCATTCTTCCGGAGATGAGGGCTGGCCAAGCAGAAGGGATTCAAATCGCTCACCCCTCCTCGGGATTTGAGTTGTGGGTGACTGGCAAGGTCGATTACGCCGTCGTCGAATTCGAAGATGTTTTCGATAACAAAGGTGAGTAGAATCACCACGCCCATTCCTTTCTTTGGTCACTCAGTCGTCTTCATATAGACTACTTACTCCGGGTGGGTCCAGAGAGAATGCCCTGGCTAACTGGAGACAAAAGGCTGAATCCGGATCAAGCTTTGTCCTCCCATGTCCCGCAAGCTGTCAGTCAGGCAATCGCGCTACTGAGGACAGCAGAGTATGTCAGCAATAAAGTCCCGGTATCCTTTCTCATCTGAACCTTGGTCATCTAGTCTTGAAGTTGTTCGTTTCTGTCCGACAGGCGTGGCTATTCTTGATACTGAGGTCTGAAGATGGGATCCTGACGTATTACGAGTCAGCATAGCGCCGGTTCGACAGATACACTCTGGGGTCTTCTGGCAAGGAGTTACGTGAGATTGTGCAGCTTGTCTGTGAATGGGTAAGTCTCCCTATATATTCGCTGTTCAGTTCTTTCGACAGGTTTATAACTGAGGCCCACTGCGACTGATCTCTTTGGATTAGACGGCAGGGACTGCCTAGAAGATTCATGATATGTGATGTGCTGTAAGGGTCTCAATTGAAGTGTACACTTAAGTGGTCTATTGAGTTGGTCTACAGCGCTCTTACCTGTGTACCTCATGCGGATAAAGTCCTCCGCTCGCGATGGAGGAAGTGGATGTCTTCGGTGGGTAAATGACCCGTTCACCGTAAGTATTTCTCTCAACTATTGCATCTATGATTTGTAGAGATAGGGTGTGGCAAGCTAGTAGAAGCGAGTGTGGCGCGCGCATTACACGGTACCACAGTATATTCAGTCTGCACGGGATGCATGTACTCAGACCTCGTCTATGAATGCATCAGATCTCAGATCATCTCTACGTGTAGGAGCATTGTGTTTCTTACTCGTAAGTATTGCGCTCCGCGGAAACCTCCCGCCACAGATTACCCGATATGGAAGGGTAATTTGAGTCGGAGTCTGTCCGAGGCCGTCTTCCAAGGCAGGCTTCCGCTCATCGACATTCACGACCCCGCCGCATATCAAGATGGTGAGTAACGTCTCTCTGTTAATGAGTGTCGCAGAGTGTAGTTCATCACGTTGCATGGCCACTTGGCACTGTTTCTGTCGGTGCTGGGCCAGCAACGGGGTGGATGCGCTCCGTGTCATCCGGATGAAGTTCTCATGAACCGACGCTGACTGCTCGACCCACAGGCCAAGGCTAAGGCGGCAGCACCCTCATCCTCCGGCGGAGGCAAGTCTGCAAAGAAGAAGAAGTGGTCGAAGGGCAAGGTCAAAGACAAGGCGACTCACGCCGTTGCCCTTGACAAGGCCACGTACGACCGCATCATGAAGGAGGTCCCGACCTTCCGCTTCATCTCCCAGAGTATCCTCATCGAGCGTCTGAAAGTCAACGGCAGTCTCGCCCGCCGCGCGATCGCGCATCTGGAGAAGGAGGGTCAGATCAAACGGATTGTACACCACAGCAGCCAGCTGATCTACAGTGCGTATTTCTTCGTTTCACTGGAGCTAGGCAGGTTCTAAAGGGTGATCGTCATCTAGCACGATTAACGACCGCCTCGGACTAGAGGGTCTCGCTGTTCGTCGTTATGCTCCCTTCATAGGCATCTATATCTGTAGTCCTCGCATGCACATGTACTTTCGCGCTCTCCACCCAAAATCTATGCACTGAGCAGGCTATCTCGGTGAGAGGATTCCTGTGGGCTCCGGTACAAGCAGGTTACAAGGCGGCTTGCGGAGCATGAGGTTCGGAAGGGAATGGATGGCGCGGCGGAACGACCCTATACTGCGTTGATCGAAACAGTTCATGCTTTTTCTTCCATCCGCTGTGGCTTACTTCGCAGAGGTGACAATCGCCTCTGCCTTTCTTCCTGGAAGTTAGGTCCAAAAGGGTTGCACTACTTAAGTGACGAGCGGAATTGTCGAATTCAAGCTGTTCTGTGCCGGTCAGAGGGTCTACAATATCGCTGCACAGGAAGGGTGTCATCTACGCGCCAGTTGAAGAGGAGGTGCCTGACGTGTTAATGACACCCAGAGGATGTGCTCCTCGGCCTGAGTGCGGCAGCGGCTTCGAAGCACGACACTCTTATATGCTGATTCCATCTCTTGAGTAGGCGTGCGCCTGCTCAACTCCAGTCCGATACCAATCAGAGTCGTAGCGCTCTGAAGATGGCACGTATCAGAAGGATGGCTTCAATATGACTTGCAAATGACTCACAAGCCGCTTGGCAGGTATATAATTCATGATCAGTGTGCAGTCTAATTACAACCACCAGTCTTTCCGCCTACTTTTTCTGTCCTCCCCTCGCCTTCGACTTGCTCGGGTGCTATCCGTTTTGTCGAACAGGTCGATGCATGTGCCAATCAATGTCCTGCCCTGGATGGTGATACCACTAGGACCGTATTGGCCACATTCACCGATCTGTTCGCCATTGCCAGGATTGCGAATATGTCACATTCGTAGCTCTTCTCTACTTTTCTTCGTAACGGATCACCAGGAACCACGAGCACCAGCGGCGTGCCTGGCGCTGATAGCCTGTACACTTGCTACCTGGGTCGGTCAACAATGTTGCAGCCGACATCGGCGGGCTATCTCTCGCGATTTCAGCGACCAATCAATACCCGCACGAATATGATGCATGTCCATCAGCAATTGCCGTAGTCTCCTTCGTGGATCCATGTAGGGCTGTGGTACAAATTGTGGTACGCGGGCATGCGACGCCACCATGGCACGAGATCGTTGGGTTGCAAGGCTGGATGTACAAGGTCTTCTCGGGGGCACTAGCACACGACCGCCTTATCATCCGTGAAGCGCCGCTACGAGATGGCTCCCACAGCTGCACTCTGTGGAATAGTTTCTGGCCCCGAATCTCGATTTCATGGGCTCGTTTCCCCTTTATCGAACAACCACATGGGGATGGCTTGCCCGACTGTGGTGTCCCCATTTCCGACCCATGCACATGAGTGTCTTTACCAATAAGCTTAAGCTTATTCTCGGCGGAGTCAATCTTCGTTCGAGGTGGCGGCTCTGACGCTAACACTGCACGATACGAGTGCCGTATCGCGTGCTCCGTGCCTGCTGATAACGAAAGATGTAATGATGGGCCGTTGCCATTTTTCTCAGAGGTCCCGCAGGATAAGAATAAGAATCCCTGGCGAGGGACCTGCCTCCCGGCTCCGCGACGTGGTCAAACCCCCCACTGCTTTGCCTACCTTGGAACCCTGTTCTGAAAGGAAGCCAGAATGTGTATGTTCTCAAACCTTGCGGTTTACTAATTATAGGCTCTAACGCGAAGCTATTCGTAGCGGGAGTCGCAGCTGAGCACGTCACGACGGACATCCTGTCGACGCAGGTCCCTCGCGAGATTATCCAGCCAACCCAGCCCAACGCGCTCGTCCTCGACAGCTTCAGCCAGAAAGGCAAGTCATTCGATGAGAAGCGGGACGATGTGGAAGTAGTGGGCTCGATCCCCTCGCATACCACCGACCACGGGCATGAGGCCGACCCATACCCGGTCCCCACAGAGGAGGAGCTGAAGACTCTCCGCAAGGTCTCCGATTCCATCCCCTGGGTCTGCTGGTTGTTCTGCTTTGTGGAATTCTCGGAGCGAGCTTCGTATTACGGGGCTCAGACGGTGTTCTCCAACTTTATGGAGTACCCATTGCCTGTGGACGGTGCGTACTTGAGCGCTATTCCGAAGCTATTTACTTAACAATGCATCAGGTAACGGTGCTGGAGCTCCTCCAAAGGGCTCGGAGGAGACAGCGGGTGCTTTGGGCAAGGGTCTTCAGTTTGCCAACGCATTCGTGCTTCTCTTCCAGTTCCTGGCCTACGTCGTGCCCATATTCGGTGCATGGGTAGCCGACACCAAGCTCGGCCGCTTCAAGACCATCGTCATTGGCGTCTTGGTCTGCTTTGTGGCGCACATCATCATGACACTCGGTGCTCTGCCGAGCGTCCTGAAGGCAGGAAGGGGTATTGCGCCGTTCATCATCAGCTTATTCATCTTGGCTATCGGCGCTGGTATCTTCAAGCCCAATGTCGCTCCGACGCTTCTGGACCAGTACACACATCAAAAACCGTACACCAGGATCGAGAAGTCGGGCGAAAAGGTCATTGTGGACCCAGAGGCGACGATCCAGCGCCTGATGTTGATATTCTACGGTAAGTTACACCCCCTCTTTCCCGCCAGAATGGATACTGAGAGGCGGACGTTGCAGCGCTTATTAACGTCGGTGCCTTCTTCGCGCTGGCGACGACGTACTCTGAGAAGCTCGTCGGATACTGGCTTGCGTTCTTGCTGCCGACGATCATGTTCATGCTTCTCCCCGTTCTCCTTGCATTCCTGTATTCCCGCACGGTCCGGGTACCCCCCAGCGGCTCTGAGCTTACAAGAGTCGTGAAGATCGCTAGCCTGGCCACCAAGGAGAACAAAGGTCGATTCTGGAAGAAGGGCTTCTGGGATGCCGCGAAGCCGTCGAAACTTGCTGCGAAGGGCATCACCACACTTCGAGGCAAGCCAATAGACTGGAACGATAAGTTCGTCGACGATATCGTCCGGACGTTCGACGCGTGCAAAATTTTCCTGTACTTCCCCATCTACAACATCAATGACGGTGGTATCGGCAGTGTCGCTAACAACCAAGGTCAGCTCTCCTTCTTCCTACAGCTCGAATCATCAGCTCATGGTAATTCCCAACAGGGTCTACGATGACCACGAAGGGCGCCCCGAACGACCTGCTCGGCAACTTCAATCCGCTGACCATCATTGTCGCCATCCCCATCCTGAGCCACGTCATCTACCCCCTCCTGCGCAAGTACAAGATCCAGTTCGGGCCCATCCGGCGGATGACGCTCGGCTTCTTCATCGCGACAATCTCGGGCGTCATCGGCGCGATCGTGCAGTACCGCGTGTACGAGACGAACCCGTGCGGGTACTACGCAACGACGTGCGCGAGCAACGGCGGCGGCGTGTCGCCCATCAGCGTGTGGTGGCAGGTGCCGAACTACGCGCTCGGCGCGCTGAGCGAGTGTCTGTGCAATGTGACGGCGTACGAGATGGCGTATGCGCGCAGCCCCAAGTCGATGAAGTCGCTCGTGATGTCGATTTTCCTGTTCACGACCGCGCTCTCGTCTGCGCTCGGCGAGATCCTCTCTCCCGCGATTGTCGACGTGAGTTTATTATTGCGCGCTTTGGGATGGGGTAGATGGTCTAACCGCCTTTGTTTCTTTGCCAGCCTCATCTCATTTGGATTTGGGCCGGCCCGGCCATCGCGCTTTTTGTCCAGACCGTTATCTTCTGGTTCAGGTACAAGCACATCGATAACGAGGACTTTATGACTTACGAGGAGGAGGAGGAGACGAGCCATGGGTCCACTAAGACCACCGGTTCTTACCCTGATGAGAAGGTCGCGGCCTAGGCACTGATAAGCTTAGAAAAGGGTTTTCGCGGGTGTATCGAGGTGTATCCCTAGTTCTGTGTATTTTGCGTAGTGACAATGATGAAGGCTCTTGGTTCTCGGGACAGGCAAGCCTGACGGATTCTACGTTGAGTCTTCAGATGCTTTGGGCCGGAAGTGGTCCAGAGGCATGTTGCCTTGATTGCAAGTGTGTGTAGGAGGTTCTCGACACTCGCTTGACGAACGCAAGTATGAGAGAGCCATGCAACACACCGAGAGACTATATGCTCCTTGACGTCGGGATTTTCCTAATGCAGCCAATCCGTGACGGGGTGGCTGTGCGACTTCTCGCCCGATGCATCTCTGCCAGTCGAGGGGCTTCATGCCGCCAGCTTGGAAACACAATCAGCATCGCAGCTGCATTATTATTTTTGCCTGAGCAGTCGCACTACGAGAAAGGTCGGGCTGGCTGAAGGTGGAAGCCCCCGCCTGATGTCACGGACGGCCCGGATAGCCGGGCCTCCTGTATGTAATCCGGAACTCGAAAATCTCTACCACAACCATGGCCAGCGAAAGCTACTACATCGGCGTCGACGTCGGCACCGGCTCCGCGCGCGCAGGCCTTGTCAAGAAAGACGGCACGCTCGTCGCGTCGTCCACGCAGAACATCACCACCTTCCGCGACCCGCAGGACCACCGCATCTTCGAGCAGTCCACCAACGAGATCTGGGCCGCCATCGCAAAGACCATCAAGGCCGTCCTCGCAGAGTCGAAGGTCCCCGCGTCCGCCGTCAAGGGCCTCGGCTTCGATGCGACCTGCTCGCTCGCCGTCACCGACGAGAACGCAGAGCCCGTCGTCGTCACAAAGGGCGACCAGCTCGGCCAGAACGGCGACCGGAACATCATTCTCTGGGCCGACCACCGCGCCGAGGAGGAGGCCGAGCTCATCAACAGCACGGGCTCCGTCGTGCTCGACTATGTCGGCGGTACCATGAGCGTAGGTTTCAACCACGACGTCAGTCGTCCCCCTGAAGTTCTACTAACAATCTCACTCCCCCCTGCTGCGTAGTTGGAGATGGAGGTCCCGAAGACGCTCTGGCTCAAAAGACGCATGGACCCCAAGCTCTTCGCGCGCTGCCAGTTCTTCGACCTCCCCGACTTCCTCAGCTACCGCGCGACCGGCTACAACACGCGCTCCGTCTGCTCCATCGCGTGCAAGTGCTCGTACGTGCCCGCCAAGGGCGGCTGGCAGGGCGACTTCTTCGAAAAGATCGGCCTCCCCGAGTTCTCCAGGGAGAACTACCGCCAGATGGGCGCCGCCGACGGGGACGTGCTCAGCGCGGGCCTGCCCGTGGGCAAGGGCCTCAGCAAGCGCGCGGCACAGGAGCTCGGGCTCGTCGAGGGAACCCCTGTGGGGAGCGCTGTGATCGATGCGTGAGTCGTAGTGTTCTCTGGCCGTTTCGTGGGGTACTCAGGGGCCCATAGCTATGCGGGCTGGCTAGGGACGATCGCTGCGCGGTATAAGGAGAATGGTAAGCTGTCAGACGTTAGACCGTCCCTCGACGAGTCCAGACAGCGGCTCGCCGCCGTCGCTGGTACAAGTACATGTTACGTTGTCCAGGTAATCTCTAGCCTAGGTCATGCTGCCCGTTTCTCCTGACAATCGTCCGCAGAGCCCCGAAGGTGTGTTCGTGGATGGTGTATGGGGACCTTACAGGGTAAGCCAGCGCGTCAACACCCCTATTAGTCGGGTGCTGACCTGTGCTATTGCTATATGTAGGATGTGCTCTTCCCCGGATGGTGGTGTAACGAGGGCGGCCAGTCCTCTACGGGCCAGCTGATCGACTTTATGATCACCACCCACCCTGCGTACAAAGAGCTCCAAGAGAAGGCGGAGAAGGAGAACACGAACATCCACGAAGGTGAGCTCCATCAATCCTATCTCCGCCTTTCCTGATCATTGGCTGCAGTGCTCCATGATACCCTCGTGAAGATGAAGGAGGAGAACGGGGTGGAGACGTTCACCGAGCTCACCAAGGACCTCCATTTCTACCCCGACCTGCACGGTAGGCACATGGATGCGATCTCCCAGCTCGCAGCTGATACCCAATCTGACTTAGGAAATCGCTCGCCCATCGCCGACCCGCGCATGCGCGGCGCAATCATGGGCCTCACCCTCGTAAGCCCTCCCCAGTCGCCCCTCTCCGCGCTCCGCACCCCGCTAACCCCCCGCGCAGGACGCCGGCCTCGGCGACCTCGCGCGCAAGTTCAACGTCACCCTCGAAGCCATCGCCCTGCAGACGCGCCACATCGTCGACGAGATGAACGCCAAGGGGCACGCGATCCGCGCGATCTACATGTCCGGCGGGCAGGCGAAGAACGGCGCGCTCATGGCGCTCCTCGCCAACACGTGCAAGATGCCCGTCGTCACGCCCGCGAACGCGGGCATCGCCGTCGTCCTCGGGAGCGCGATGCTCGGGCGCTTCGCCGCCGAGTGGGAGGAGATGGAGAGCAAGGGTGCGAAGGCGGACGCGAAGGCGCAGGCGCAGGGCTTGTGGGATATCATGGTCGAGATGACACCGCCAGGGACGCTGATCCCGCCGGCGGCGAGTGACAAGGAGAAGAGGCTGTTGGAAGCCAAGTATAAGATTTTCCGGGAGACTATTGAGATCCAGAAGAGGTGGAGAAAAGAAATGGAGGATGCTGCGAAGTGAAGTGATGAGGTGAAAATGGAGGAAGTGCATTTAGAACAAAATCTTGTATTGATACTTCATAGAAACAGGCTATAGAATCTGAGGGCAGTTTGGGTCAAACTTATGGGTATTATCGCCAGCTTGAAGCTGTGTTGTCTCCACGATTCCACCTCAACGAGATGCTGGGCAGCACCCACCCAGATACTCAACGTAAGTTCGATCCAGATCCCATTCGACCTTGATTCACTCAGAAATACATCAGCCACAGCAAGGCAAGTACAAGTCTGGATTGCAGAGCGGCATAGCATGGGGCATGAGCGTGAACGCATATGCAAGTCGTTGCATACAATGAGTTTTGTAAGCGACGGGTAGCGAAAGCATGGTAAGGAGTAAGTGAAGAGATCCATCTCTGACAGTCCCTTACACATCCTTGACCTTGACGGTACCACGTAACAGACCAGTCTAGCACCTCACATGAGCCAGATGTACGAGTTGTACCATAGTGTGATTTACGTACCCGGCGAGCAGCAATAAGACCGACTTTCTGACCAGGGACGGCAGAGCGGGCGATCGTGGACGCCTTACCAATATGTTGGTGGTTACCACCACCGTGAGGATGGTCGACGGGGTTCATAGCAACACCACGAGTACGGGGCCAGCTAGGAGAGGGTTAATCGTCGACAATTGGACTATAGTACACTTATTCGGGAGAACGTACTTGTAACGCTTGGCCTTGTACTTGTGGTACGCCCGACCAGCCTTGAGCAAGGGCTTGTCAATACGTCCACCACCAGCGACGATCCCAATCGTCGCACGCGCGCTGCCAGACACGGTCTTCTTCGACCCGCTGGGCAGGCGGATGCGCGTCTTGTTCTCCTCGGGCGAGTGGCCGATGACGGTCGCGTAGTTGCCGGACGTGCGCGCGAGCGCGCCGCGGTCGCCGACCTTCTCCTCGACGTTGCAGACGATGGTACCCTCGGGGCACTGCGAGAGCGGGAGGACGTTGCCGACGGCGAGCGTCGCCTTCTTGCCGGCGTAGACGAAGGCGCCCGTGTGCATGCCTTCGGTGGCGATGAAGGTCTCCTGGCGGAGCTTGTAGCGGTAGGGGTCGCGGAAGACGACGCGGGCGAGAGGCGCACCACTGGGTGGATATGTCAAACTGGGGTTTAGAGAGTGGATTGAGAGAATACGCACCGGCCAGGATCGTGGATGATCTCCTTGATTATCCCCCGCATGTAACCATTGCGCTCAGAGTAGTCGAGGGCGCGGTACTGGGCAGGGGCCTTCCTGTGGTGGGTGTGCGACTTGAACTGTTGGGCGCAAATGACCGGTCAATCCGACGAGTACTTGTGGAAAGAGGAGGATGGGACGTACGATAGCGTGCGAGCGCCTCTGAGCCCTGATAACCCTACCCATCGTGAAATCTGCGAGCGTTCAATGAGCACAACAATCCAAGCCGTCGCCCCGTAGGAACCCAAAGATCAATATCCCGAGACGTCTCCATCCGACCCGCACCCAACGCATCCACCCCGTCGTCCTCCAATTTCGCTCGTCTCATTCATTCAGCATCGGCCCAACAGCATCTCGGAACCACTCTAGACGTCGCTCGACACGAAACGGAGGCATGTACTCACTTTAAAGTCTTGACGGAAACTTGGTGTACGCCGAGCACACTCGCGATGCACGATCCTGGATGGGTGTTTTGGCGTATTTGGAATGTGGCGGACACCGGCAAACTCCGTGGCTTCGCCTTCCTTGTGGCAACCGCGAATCGTTGGACTTTGCCTGTGTCCGAGGCGTTTGGACTGTTGTCAGATAGTCTGTCCGACACGATCGCGGTTGTTCCTGGTGTCGACTGGGTTGGTCAATTTATTGTTGCTCACTTGGGATATGCCCGCGAGGAGTTAATAGGAAAACACTGCATTCCAGGTATTCTTGGCACCGGTGATGGTTATTCGCTTGAATCACGCATGTGCCTCTGGGATTCAGAGCAGTAGAGGAAGACAATAGCTTCCTCTTCTGGTTCTCGATCCCGAGGGAAGAATGCCTACGGCTCTTGATGCAGGTATACGATTTCGGAAGATACTGACTTCAACACACGGTAGATCCAACCTCTCTGTTCTGCGAGGTGTCCAACGTATCTCAAAGAGGCGTTGTGCCTCTGCGGTGATGGCTGGCTATCACAGTCAGTGATCCCGCGCCGTCAGATGGGCCGGTATGTCCTCTGGGCTATTTGCGATAACTGCGACTTGATCTTGATGCCAGGCTTATCTCCAGGTGACAAGAATGGCCGGTGGTATATTCTGCGTGTACCAGAGCGCATTATACAATTCTGCTTCCGGCATCAATTGCATTTCCCGCATGTCACAATGAAAACCGGTGATTTATTGGGCCGCTACTTGATATACGAGTTGTAGCTGGTACGTCTGCGACCTATTCACGCACTGATCTGCTCTGACTGAACCAGGCGGCATCCAGTAAACTTTGACGCTGTCCGGTCTCCGGAGATTCCGCGGCAGAGCGCGGTAAGCCCATCGAGCAGGCCACTCTCAGGTCCGTCAGCTGGGAGTATGGGAAGACCAGGATTGGCCGAGAAGTGTCGACTAAGGTATGGGAGGTCGCGAAGCCTAGCCTGGAGATCTATGACGCCTGATCAGATATGGATCCACTTGTCGGTGGTGAGGTTCAGAGGTACTGGCTCCGTTTCTTCTGCGCGACCTCGAGGCTGGCATGCATGGGGCTGGGAATAGAGTGTGTACAGATATTTCTGCCAGAGCGAATATACTTAGCCCGGGGGCGACGACTGCAACGGTTGGTGGCATGTCGACCGAAAGAGACCGGAAAAAGCCAAGTGTGGTTGATGGAGAATTGAAAATGTATGAACGGGAAGGTCGGTCGCGCCGATCACGCTAGATTGCGGTGTTCTTTCTGGTATGTAATACGTCAGGGTGCCTGTTCGCTCGTATCTTACTTGTGGCGGGTCTCACATGTATATAAGTAGCCTGTGTTGCCGCTGCCCCGTACTCTTTCCTGCGTTCGACCGTCGCCGTCGTCGTCGTCGTCGTCGTGCGGCACGATGGCCAGCCCGGTCTGCCTGCGCCGGTGGCTGATTCATGCTCCGCCTGGCAGCGCTCCGAGACAGGCACGCAGGTCACACGCCGCGCAGCCACCGCTCTGCTGTTCCCAATTCCCTGCGGAAAGAACGCAAATCGTGTTATCGAGCTGCAGATTACGCTGTAACGTTTCGGACAAGTCCAGATAGTTCGTAGACGGGTGCTCTGCTGCCAGCTGCTGCTCTGATCTCGGCTCGTGCTTTGGTTCGGCTGCTTGGCACGGACTGCCCCCGACCGCCCGGGGCTCGCTCTGCCGCCTGCTGGCAACGCCAATCTTTGCATAGCGTGGACCGTCCAGTTCGACTATTTCGGGAGGAACTCGTCTCGTTATATTATGCTGCATCTCGATCACAATCACCCTCATCATCTCTCCCCAAAGGCAAACCTCATCTTGCAGAACGACCCGCTCCCCTCCTGGGCGCCCCGCACCCGCGACGACTCCCGCCACCAGGACCTCCCCTTTGACAACGCTGCAAAGGTGTTGGTGCACCCTAACCCCAGCCCCGACTTTTACTCGTCCCATGGGCCCGTCACCCCCGTCGACGGCACCGACCCCGCTCTGCCCGGCACGTCCCCCTCCTCGCCCGCCGAAGTGCATGACGAGACAGCCCCCGCACCCGAGGCGAGCGGGCACGAGCCACAGAACGATGCAGATGCATCGCATCCGGGAGCGCCGTCAGGCGCCGTGGACAGTGCATCGCGGCAGTCTACACCGCTGAGCGAGCTCTCAACTGCCCCCGACGACGAGCCGCTGCGAAACGAGAAAGAGGAGAAGCAACAGGAAGCTGAGCAGCAGGATGGATCCTCTACAGGTAACGCGGCTTCCACTTCCGAAGAAGCACCGCCAGCGGACCGAGCGGACGCCGCATCTAGTCCTCTCAGTACACCAGCCATGGAGAACTCGGACGGCAACGTGGACGAGTCCAAGGTTTCGTCCTCGCCTCGCGCTGATGCACCGCTTCCTTCTCCACACCCTGCGCCACCCACGGGCGGCTCTTCCGCGCTGGGACAACATCAGGCTCAGCAAGCCCAGGAGTCTCGACAAACCCCTCAGAACGAAGCCAGCGCGCACGAGAGCAATGCATCTGCAGGTCCTTCTTCTCAGGCCTGGCCGGGATCCCCGGCCCTCCGTGCGCGCTCGCACCAGCAGTCGGGTGGCTCGTCGTCTGGCCACCCCGCCGAGTCAAAGGTTGTTACCATTTTGCAGCTAAATTCGGAGCTTCTGAGGTCGGTACACTTAGTTTAACTATCTCCGTTCTCGGAGATTGAAGCAATGCGATTCCTTGTTAGGATATACATGGAGTTCCACGCGCGTGGTATCCCGCTCACGGAGGCTCGTTGCCAGCAGTGAGTGACACCGTCAGTTATCTCCATTTGCTCCGTCTAACTCTAACTCTCGGTAATTAGGTACTCGGCGCGAATAGAGTCGAATTTAGCATGGCTCGCCGCTGCCCACGACGAGAGCAGCAAAGTGGTGAGTTCATCCCCGGTGGCCATTTCCTAACGAAACTTACAGATGATACCAGGGAAATCATCAGGGTATCCGTCTACCTACTATGAACCCGCCACCACCCGTCGAATTCACGTCCATGGAACGCATCAACCAGTTGTACAGCCAGCTTCCTATAGTGTTTGCTCACGATATTGCCCGCAATCAGCAGCAGATTGCTGCTGCGACCGTGTCCCGCATGACGTCTTCTGCGTCGCCCAGTCTTAAACGGGAGAGAACGGAAGAACCCTCGCAGGGTGACTTGGCCGGCAAGCGCAGGGACACCGGCGAGAGTAAAATCATGCCCGCCCCTCCAAGCGGTATGAGCATGCCTCCGCAGCAACCGGGCGCCATGGGCGCGCCGTCTACGCCCATACCCTCGAACCCAGCGCAAATACTCCCCAGAGCCCCCCAGAGACCCATGACGAGCGCAAGTCCGCCGCATATGATGCGCGCGCCGTCGCAGATGGGCACGCCCATTGTTCCGTCGCCGTCGATACCGCCGTCTGCGTCCCCGAGCCACGGTATGGATGCACAGCGGATGCGCCAGCTGCAGCAATACCAGCAGGCGATGATGCAGCAGCAACAGCATGCCCAGCAAGGTGTCGGTGGTGGTGGTATGCCTGGTGCCGGCGGGAACCATATGTCACCGCCACCCGCTGGTTCGCAGCAGCACCATGTCCCTTCCATGCCACAGGGGATGATGCCGCAGAATGCACACCGTTCGAGCCCACCCAATATGTCCGGGCCCGGCTCGGCTCCGATGAACAACTCCATACCGAGCAATCTGACGCCGGCGCAGATCGCTGCGCTGAACTCGCTCGGGCCGAACGCGATCCACAACTACCAGATCCTGCAGAATCCGATGCACCCGATGATGCAGTACTTGAGTCAGACGATGCCGGGGTTCATGTCGCTGCCGCTGCAGTTGCAGCTGCAGAGAATGCAGGCTCTCCAGGTGCGTGTGATGCCTTTCGCGAGGCCCTTTCTCCGAGCGCTGACTTCTTTTTCTGCTGTAGACGATGGCACGGCAGAACCAGATGAACCAGCAAGGGGGTGGCGGCCAGCGACCGCCCGGCCTGGGGCAGCAGCATCCTGGTATGTCAGGGATGCAGCAGCAGGCACAGAACAATAACATGCCGGCGAGCGCTCAGTTCTTGGCTGGGAATAGCTCCAATCCTCTCGGCCCGCAATCGGGGATGGGCCAGCAACAGATGCCAGGGCAGTCGATGCAGGGAAATCAGCTTCCTTTCGGCCATAATCCGAACCTTCCTAACATGGGTGGCGCGGGTCCCTCTGGCATGGGGCAAGGGCCGAATATGTCTGGGATCAACCTCAATAACCTGACGCCGCAACAGAAGCAGCTGTTGCTTATGCAGCAGCAGCGAGGGAATATGCTGCAAAATATGAATCCTGCGATGATGAATGCCCAGATTAATCCCCAGCTGTACGCTCAGATGCGGCAGCAGCAGCAGCAACAACAACAACAACAGCAGCAGCAGCAGCAGCAACAGCATCATCATCATCAGCAGCAGCAGCAGCAAGCTCAGGCGGGGTCGCCGCCGCAGTCGGCTCGTATGGGGTCTCCCATGGTAGGGCCAAATCATGGTGGGGAAGGAAGCTCGCATCAGCAATTCAATCCTTTGCGTTCAAATAATGCTGCGATTCCCGGGATCGCGCGGAGCACCCGGTCTCCTTCCGACAGTGGTCAATCTCCGATGACGCCGAGAGTCCCTATGAGGGCGCCTTCGGCACAGCAGATGTCGTCGCACCCTCCAGGCCAGGACGATTATCAGCGGATGATGATGCAAGCTCAGCAGGCGGCAGCCGCTAGGAGCGGGTTTGTCAATCCGCAGCAGCTTGCCGGGGGAAACCACTGGCAGCAGCAGATGAGTATGGGTATGGGCCAAGGGCAGGCGTCCCAGGGCTCGTTTAATATGCAATCTGCCGGTGGCGGTCAAAGCGGTGCTGGGTCTGCTGATCAATCGCAGGCGTGGCAGCAGGGTGGCGGATATCCGTTCGCTGGTTCGCCATCTGGTGGTCAGCAACAGATGCAGGATCCGTCTTCTGGACGCGCAACCTCCTCTACCCCAATACCCATGTCGGCCTCGCAACAGTATCAGCAACAAAGTAATCAGGGTGGTGGAGGCCAAGGCTCAGGAGATAACTTTGATTCCATGTTCAACTGGGGATGATCCTGTATAATCGGGAGCGTCATGCTGTACATACTCACCTTGTTTCGAGATTTTTTATTAGTGACACTGCTTGATACACTACACCAGGATCTTATGTCTAAGCCCCTCACCATTCTGTCCCCGTCGCCAAGTCTGTATGCTTTCTTGTCTGTCTTTATGCGCGTATGTACTCTCTAGATGATTGGAGTTGCAAGTACAATATCTTAGCATACCTGCCTCAAAATGTAAACTTATGGGTTCTCTTTGCCGGGCGATATGAATGGGTATATCTGGTCACCTCGGTCCACAACATTGTGTGAGTTGTTCGCATTGATCGAGATGGCCTCTATCCGGATCGCGGCGCTTACTCCCAAGTGCTGGCTCGATGGTTTTCTCGAATCTATCATCGGACGAAAAGGAAGCTTTCTTCTCTTTATTGGACGAGTTGCGTAGCTATAGCTTGGCGGAGTGTTTCTAGGAATCTGAACTCACGATCAGGCTAACGCCACCTTCGTTAGGTACTTCTCGTCCCGACCCGACGTTCTCGGGGGCACCGCCGGAGCAGACGCGAGTGGATCAAAGGATGCTGCTGGTGCTGCTGCATCTGCGGTGCATAGGGCATTAGCATCAAACCCTCAAGCGACGTCCCAGCTTGTGTCCGCAGGCCTGAGGCATGGCGTGCCCAAGTCCAGCCCTTATGCTGCTGCTGTGAGTCTTCACAGTGTCTACTGTGTTCTGGAGATACATTTGCAGTCCAATATGTAGAGCATTGCCTTGTCACTGATCCGCATGACCTCTAATAGGCATCAGACCCTGCGATAACGAATTCCGTGGGACGAGTCGCGGCTGCAGCTGCAGCCTTCCGTTCTTCTCCAAGCAGCGATGCGTCGCTGGGCAAGCCTCCCGCTCCCCCTCGAAGGACTTCAACTCAGTCATCGTCTGAACACGAACCCCATGAGCGCGTACCGAGCACCGCTACCTTGACGACTGTTCGTGTAAGTACACTCGCTACAAGCACTGTGTGAGTAAGGGTAGCGGTGACCCAAGTATTGTCCACAGAAATTCGGCTCTGACGTCGACACGTCCTCCGCGAAGAACCTGTTCACGTCGCTGCGAGGCTCGTCCGCCAACAAGGGCAAGTCCCCGCCGGCGCTTGCCCCGCCGAACCCGCCTGCGTTCGCCCCGCGCAGGAACAACTTTGCACCACCCCCGAGGCGGGCTGGTTCTGAGGAGCCGCCGCATGCGCCGCAACCTGAGCCCGAGCCCGAGGAAGAAGAGGCGCAGGGGGAATGGGCAGAAGCTTTGTACGACTATTCCAGCGAGGTAGACAAAACACTATACATCTGTTGCTTCATGACTGAGGCTGATGTATTGCCCAGGACCCTGGCGATCTCCAGCTGCAGGCGTCGCAGAGGATACTCGTGGTGGAACACACTTCGGATGATTGGTGAGATAATCCCTTACCTTTCCCGCTTGCCTCGTGATTGACCGTGCACATCGCAGGTGGACCGCGGAGCTGAATGGCAAACGAGGGTTAGTCCCCGCTTCGTACGTGAAGGTCTTGTAAAGATGAACATCCGCGGAAGCGATGTCCGGTGCCGGAGGATGTCTGACTGGACTCGCCTCACTCGCCTTCGTAATTATTATGTTGAACACAGGGTATATTTTCTGGGTCAAAGTGTAGAATACAAGGGGGCGCCGTGAGTGGTCATTTAACCACCGGCAGGACGGATAGTCGTACGACCCGGGAGGCATCCTGTCAAACCCGGATGAAAAGCATCTATGCAATAAATTGAACGACAGCAACTCCATACAATACAACAAGATATCGGGACACCGCGCGTTGTCTACATGTATGCTCTACTGTGTTTTCTTCTCCTTCTCTATCTTCTTGCCAGTCGAACCTCCAATAGTATATCCCACCGTCCCGACGCCCACGAGCGCCGCGCCCAGCCACATCATCGTCATATCCGCCTGGCCCTTCCCAGCCTTGAAGAACAACACGCTGATCATCAGCGACACGGCTTTACGCACGGTGAGCACGAGCGTGACGGTGAGCGAGGAAACGCGGGCGGTGAGGCGGTGCACGCCGGATATGCAGACGAGGGAGGTGATGGTGGTCAGCACCAGTGAGAGGAGGCCCACTGGGACGGAGAGGGACGTGGGTGATGCGGGCGATGGGGATCCCGGGGCGGTGGTATTGGACAGAGGAGGCGGCAGCACGAGAAGGTTCGAAGCTGTGGGATCGAGGTTCACCTGGATCCGAGGGCCGGACGCGACGCTCGCGAGCTGCGCGCCGAGGTCCTCCCTGACGAACCAGAACATCGGCATGGCGAGGAAGTGCAGGTAGAACATCGACTCCTGCCACTGCGGCTTCTCGTCCGCCTTTCTCTCCGTCTTCTCGGGCGCCGAGGGGCGCGTGTACTTGGAGTACATCCTGTCCTGCGCGAGGCCGAGGAAGCCGGAACAGAGCAGGGCGAGGGCGAGGATGGCGATGCCGGTGAAGTACGTGAGGGTGTCTGTGGAGGCGGTGGTGGTGTTGAGGGTGGAACCGGACTTGGAGGGGTTCTTCGTTTGCGAGGCGGAGTAGGTTGTGATGATTACGCCGGCTGTTACTAGGAGCACGGATAGTACTTGTGTAAGGGTGTACCTACGCGAGCAGGGATGCATTGAGAAGCGTCCCGGTGCAGGTAAGATGGCAATCGAATACTCACTTTCTGCCCATCACTAACCAGCCTAGGCACATGCTGACGACCAAACCGCCACTGCGGAATATTATATGTACTGGCATAGGGATCTTATAGGCGAACGCCATATTATTCAGGATGGATACGAAGAGAAATAGAACGACTTGTATGATGTATGCTCTGAGGGGTATACGTGGTCGTTTGAGGTGCGGTATGGGGACATAATGAAGTAGCCCTGTGTCTTTGCTGGGATACGTAACCGAGACCAGGTTTGGGAGGCCACGAAGGGAGACGAGGAGGTACTGGGCGAACGTGATGATATGTCCAGAGTCGGGATACAGAGAGGTAAGTTGTTCTAGCGTCAGAGCATTACTGTAGCCTAGATTTCAGCAGCGTAACTTTATGCGAAAGAGCAGGTCCCTCACCTGCAACATCCCCCGAAAATGAGACCCAACGGGGCGAACCAGTCCGATACAACAGCGAGCATGGACGCACTATGCCAAACGTGTTCCAAGTCGCAAATGATGCAGCTACTTGGAAGGGAAAACGCTGTAGAAGCCCGCCATTATCGCCTTCCCGCTGCGTCTGCTGTCGGACACGCGTTGCACCGTCATTGACGCGCCGGCACGCGTAGCGACACGTGTTTACTGAACGCCTACTTTCAAACTCCGCGACGCCTGAGTACGAGTCTGCGCCCTGGACAAACTGGGACCCACAAGCCCGAATTACCCTTGCAAGCCAGACTGGCCGGCGCAGCACCGTCAACCGCAAGACAGCCGCTGCCGTGCCAGCCATGAGACATGCGAGCCAGCCGCCGCTGGGCGTATAAGTAGCCGGGCGCCCCGCCAGACATCCTTACCTTCTTCCTTCATCACTTTGCACTGGCAGGGCCGGTTTCAACCCGCGAACTAGTTCAACTACTTTGCACGCTTTCGGCATTGTTTCACGTCCCGTGACCGCCCGCGTCCGCTGTCACGCCTATAAAAGCAACCCGCCCAGCGTCCGGCTCTCCTCGCGTTTCTTTCTTTTGCCCATATTCTATACACCTCCCCTCGACGGGTATCCCCTCTTTCGCCACACATTATGTCTTCAGACCGTCGTCACCCCGCTTCCCTCCTCCCCCGCTCCCAGCACGACCCTGCCGTTGTGGACCTCATGCGCCAGCCCGTCTCGTTCGACATGATAGGCTACATCGCGCAGGTCTGCAAGCAGGTCATCAGTGTCGCTGACGAGCCTCCGGTTCAGTCTGGTTCCTCTCTCTTGACGCCCCCGCACACCCCGGCCAAGAAGACCTTCAAGGAGTCGCAAGAGGAAGCCCCCTCAACACCGGTGATGCCGTCGCTCGAGGAGTTCATCATCCGCCTTGTGCAGTCGTCAAATGTTCAAACCCCGACGCTCCTGACGGTCCTGATCTACCTTAACCGCCTGCGCTCCAAGCTGCCGACGATGGCCAAGGGTGAGCTCAGTCTCCCTCGTCGTGCACCGTGTAGCATACTCACCCCTCATAGGTATGGCGTGCACGCGACACCGGGTCTTCCTGGCGACTCTCATTGTGGCCGCCAAGTATCTCAATGACTCTTCGCCGAAGAACAAGCACTGGACTATCTATGCTAACATCTTCGACATCGCCGAGGTCAATCTCATGGAACGCCAGCTGCTCTTCCTCTTGGACTACGACCTCCGCTTCGACGAGGCCGAGGCTAGCAAGACCTACGCCATCTTCATGCCTCCCACAAAGGAAACTAGGGCCGCCGCCGTCGAGAAGGTCTCCAAGGCCAGCAAGGCTAGGACTCAAGTGCAGATGCCCCCGACCCCGCCTCACGATGCTGTCGCTCCTGGCCCGCCGGCACCATCTGCCCTCAAGAGCATCGCCAAGCGCCTCTCGAAGACGTACCTCAACGTTGCCTCCTCCTCTCGCTCCTCTGAGACTAAGGCTCCTTCTCCGATGTCTACGTCTTCCAGCTTCAGCAACAGCGGTGCTAGCGGCTCTGAGTCCGACTCTGGTTCCTTGACCGAGGATAGCGGTGCTTCGTCGGCGACATCTGAGGACGAGCTCGAGGAAGACATCACGAAGCAGGCGCCCAAGTTCATGCTCAAGCCCGTTCCCTCTCGCGCATACAGGCAAGGAAGGAAGGCCTCGACGTCGTCGACTGCCACCGTTAGACCCGACGGTAGCCCAGCATCCTCGCGGACTAGCGCTCGCTCTAGCTACCTAGCTTCTCGCCGCTCGACGTCTTACAGCTACTCTCAGGTGCAGCTCTCTGACCACACCGAGGATGATGAACCTTCCGCGAACAAGCCGACTCCCAAGAAGGACGTCGGGTCCACTGGCGGCTTCTTCACTCGGATGTGGGGCGCGGCGACGAAGACCACCGTCATCGAGAAGGCTGAAGCGCTCAAGGCCGCTCCCACCGTCGAGATCGTCGACCCCACCGAGGCTACGACTAGTACCTTCCGGCGCCTGGTCCACACCAAGTCGGTTATGTTCCGCTCGCAGGCTAGTGCGCTCGACGTCTAGGGTCCTGGGCTAGGAAGCTCTTGCGTTGACGACGACATGCAAGACATACAGGGGATATCCACCACCCACTACCAAACCTTCGTTCGGACCTGTCTCTCATTTGGACTCGCGGAATCATTGTACACGATAAGCACCACTACACGACTTGAACTTTAATGCTTTGCACATCACTACGCCGACTTTCTTCTTCGCTATATGCTACGCGCACACCCTTTAATATCTTGACCCTTCTTCGTGATGCGTCGATTTGTTTTTGAGTTTGGACTCTGGTTATGCTGGATTTGTAACTTCGTATCGCGCAAACACACTAGTGTTACACATCTACCCCCCTCCACACGCCTTTTGTAGCCTTACTCCTTGTACCCGAGTAGATCTATGGAACAAATATAATAGATGTACTGCATTGGTCCCGCCATCTTTTGGATGAAACAGAGGTGAGTCTGGGGGCGAAAAATGACGATACTTTCGGGTAGCGTGCTGACAACCATGCTACGGCGGTCGGAAAAGAGTTAAAAGCTTCACGACATGAGCCGACCCGGACTTGAACCGAGGACCTTATGCGCCCTTAGTTGTAAAGCATACGCGCTAACCAACTGCGCCACCGGCTCATCCCAGTAAATGCAATATCACAATCAATAAAATTCATAGACAGCCCGACCCGCCTCATCAGGAATGTCAGGAAATATGATACAAGTTAAAACTGAACTATGGTAAAGGAGATGGAATCCAATGGACATCATGACTCTTCTCCAATTGAGACATTCCAGATCTTGACAATTTGTAACGCTGCGGGGTCTGTTGACCCCTCGAACTTCTTGAGGGAAACCGTGCCAAGCGTAGTAGAATAACTGCGGAGGTAAGGGGAGTACTGTAGGCACAGACGGTTTAGCAGTGCTACCCATGATAGACGGCGAACAATACTCACCGCTCTGCAGAAGTGTCGGTACCAGCCCCAGGTTTCCCATGCGTTCCAGTCATCGTCAGTCCAGTTCGCGCGATTGTGCCAGGCCTTTTCCGTAAGAACTTCACGCGCGTAGGGGTTAGCACGCCTATCGGATGACAAGGGTGCTAGGCAGGCAATGAATCCGTCCAGCGCTCGCGCCAATGCATTCTTTTGTTGGGTGGTAAGACTGGTGAAAGCCTTCACGGCCGTAGTCAGCGCAGCGGATTCAGGAGGCTCGTCTAGAGTCACCATCAGACAACTGAGTCAGAGAGGATGATAAAAGTGCAACAGACCTGGCTTAGCCTCAGCGTCGACCTCCATAGACGCTACGTCTCCCCCACTTGCTTTGACTCTGGCTCGCGTGTCGTCCTCTTCCTTTCGCAGGGCCGACACTCTCTTCCGAGCCACGAGCACTCTTCCATTAGCTTTATCTAGCGCACCCTTCAGCAAATCCCAATCATGTGCATTGATGGCGGAAGGTCCTTCAGTATCACCCCTCTCGTTGCCGACCCCGTTCGTAAACGTCCAGGCGACGACATCTGTCGGGTCCACGATCTGATACTGCATGAGCTTGTCGAAAACAATCGAAATCATCTGCCTGTTCCTCTTCCAGAACAACGACACGGCTGTCAAGATGTCGGTCCTGGCATCGATACCGCCGGTAGAAAGGCTACGAAGGACAGCGAGGTAACGCTCAATAGCGTTGAGGAAGTGAGAGAACGACCGAGAACCAATGTTCAGCAGGGACTGAACTGCGACAGAACGGATCACACTGTCAACATTGACATCACCTTCTGCGGTCTCGCCGATGGTCGTCTTCAAAGTCTCGAGGTGCGCCAAGACGTCGTCCGCTTTCGCGCGACCCTTCAGGAGGTTCAGGACACTTTGAGCCGCATTGTGGTAAGGATTCGCTACAGCTATGTCAGCACCATGACGTAGCCCAGCCTGCTTTCAGGGTACTCACAAGGCTCGTCGTACTCAAAGTCAGGGCCTGGGGCGTGCTCTGGCAGCACGTGGGCTCCCTCGGCCTGAAGACCTTCAGGGAGCGTCTTGGCAATCCGTTCGAAGTATGCCAGTCTGATCTCAAATTCCACCGCTCTGCGCATAAACGCACGCTTGGGGTGTTGATGCGTTAGGGACACGTCAGGTACCCTAAACGATGGCAAGCATTATAGTGTGACATTAGCGGCAAACGTCATCACCTACCATTCTTTCCAAACCCATTGGAACCCAAAGTTACTCATGTGGATTGCGAACCATTCGGCGAAACGCCGGGCAACCTCCACGTCTAGGCCATCCGCGAGGGACGCATATAGGCGGCGAATGGACTTCCCTACAGCAGGACCGACCGTAGACGGTGACAGTTTGCATATCTCAGTGATCAGGCCGATGTAATATATGGCTTTGTAGGTGGCCTCCGGTAAAACGAACAGGGATCCAAGGACAATCTGCAGTGTGATCAATTAAGATGAGTTATCGGCGAAGCCTACCACTGACCTCCATGAGCGTGCTTTCCAGCTGCCAATTTTTGCCAGGGGCTGGCTCGGGCTGCAACTCCGCTGGGGTACCAGGTCTCGGCTTGAACGTACCGGGCAGAGTCCATTTCGGGTATTCGATAAGAAGCCGGGCGCACTCTTTACGATTGACTTCGAAGATCTCCACGATGTCGAGCAGAGCAGAGCGTACGGCGTAACCGGCAGGAGACACTGGGTCAGGCGTCACCTAGCACATTTCCGGTCAGACACAGGAATGTACGAACGAAAGAGAGCGTACTTCATTATCGAAGAGCCGGATGTAGTATTCTGGCCATTCTTCTTTCTTTACTTGTGCATCCTCGCTGGTGTCGGCCGCAAGGCCGTCCAATTCAATAATCTCGGGGGGAACAAGGACTGATGGCAACTCGAACGGAGCCGCGCCCTCGGGCAGGCCTGGGAGATCAGCGTATGGCTGAGGATAGCTGTTTGCTGTCTCGGCAAAGTCAGAGGCATTGAGCGTCTTCAATACTGCCAGAGCTGTTTCCAATAACTTTCCCGGGCATAAGACTTCCTCGTTACTCGGGAGGGTAGCGAATACGTACTTCGTCAGCATTTTCGAGGGTATCCGACTCGGCGTGATAGTGCACTATAGGTTGCACCAAACGCTTTGCAGCGGACGTAGTTTCGATGTATATTTGAATGGCATTGATGATGTCGATGACGTTCGTTACGGAGTCTTCTTTCAGCACTTTCCCCGCCTACTCTCAAGCGAGATGAGAAAATTTGACATCACAAGATAGGCGGCCACGTACAATCATCAGACCTTGTGCAGCGCACAAGCCGGCCCTCTTGGCTCGCCCATGCGAAACACCGAATTCATCTAGAACAGCCACAAACGATTGCAGGAGGTTGAACATGGACTGGACTGAGATAACTTTTGCCATAGTAAGGTGGGCGAAGAAGTGAATCTGATGTGGTATGTCATACTTTGTGCATCCCGGAGATCACTGGCGCACTCACGCATAACCGTGTTTCTCTCCATGACAGCTTATCTAGGAACGCCTGGAAACCTTTCCAGAAATCCTCCAATATTTGTTTGCCTAGTGATGTCCCGCCACTACTGGAGGCCTCTGCCTCTCCTTCGGGGGGATCGTGAAGAAGGCGGAGCAGATGGGCATAGTACGGAATCTTGTACGGCTCCTCAGTGACGCTAAGAAGATACAGTTAACTGCCGCGAGGTAAACTATACGCATAGACAAGGGGACATTACCCTATTCGAAACCCTTCCGAGATTGCGGGGACACTTCCCTCAGCTTGTTCACGAATCTGCTTCGCCACTCGAGGGATCTCCTGTAAAACATCCTGAACCGGCACGTCAGCTCCTTTGGGCGCACAAGCTACCTCCAGACTACTCACCACCTCACCCAGGCGGATGATAGCGGTTCTTATTTTCTGCTCTGGCGTCTCGTACACTTCCCGTCGAGGATTGTCGAAGTCATCTGTAATAAGGCCATGACGCTTACTCTGACTGAAAGACGCGCTGGCCCATGGGCATTGTCGTACCTCGATTCCGCCTCTTGTTGTAATACGGCCTTTCGTAGCTCATGGGGGACTAATAAATATCAATTCCCGCTGATCCCTCGAGTTCCCGTCAACGGAGACGCTGAGCAAAGCGCAACCGTCCTCTGTAACTTGTGAAGTGTCGAAATCGACCGGGTGTCACGTGACATCTAGAAATGAAGATCATGTCGAGACCGAGGTCGGCGACGAGAACGCACGAAAGGTCCTTCTCAGACTACCATCGTCGTCTGTACCGGTCGTCAGAGGAATACTGCTACAGGGCCCTTTGCGAGCTCGTCGCACTCACTCTTCCGGGCCTGTTGGTACTCCGGGTCAGGTTCGAGGGCCTGGTGAGCATTACAACCCTCACAACACGCCGGAAATCATGACAATGTCGATATAGTTATGCTTGATTCATGCGATGCAATTGGTCCGCCATTGCCAATGCCTTCCATAGACTGCCTTCCTGTGGCGCCTCGCCGTTAGCGAGGGGGAATATTGCTGCGGCGAATATATCCAGAAATGCCTTGGCTCTGTCTCGCCATCTACCAGGGACATTATCTTCTCGTAGGCACCGCCGAGGGACCTCGTCCCCAGCTCCATCCATATATACACCATCTAGGTCATATGCCACTGCTACTCTTGCCTTCACGCCTGCTCCTGGTCCCACCATCCCTGAGAAAACGCCTGAACCCCTACCAGAGCCAAGACCCGCTCAACTCACAGACGCCCAGATTTCTAGGGCTGCCTCTCAAGCCGTCCGGTTATGTTTCAAGGAGGGTCAAATCAGAGATGCTTTCTTCATTCTCAATTCCATGGCTTTGGCCCAGTACAAGAACGCATCACCAGGCCAAGTTCCTCCGAAGCTCCGTCAACTCCCCGACCCAATCGATTTTTCGCGCCCTGTCTCTCAGAGGCTGACTGCACACTGTGTGCTTCATGGTCTCATTCGTGCAGGGTTGTCTAAGAAAGCCGTCAAAGAGGCTCATTCAATGATGGAGGGCGGGATTAAACTACGTGCCGCCACGATGAAGGCTATCATAGATGCTCTCACGATGCCAGGCAAAGCATTTCCAATGCATGGCGCAAAGGTTCGGAGACTTATCCTCGACCTCGCTCGGACGCCTGAAGGCCCGGAGGTCTTGAAGCTTCGCTCGAGCATGGTGACAGATCAGACTACGCGCATGGCTGTCCGGTTTTTCCTGGAGGCAAGAAAGTACGGTCATCAGCGCACGAATGGCATGTATGAGAGCCTCATCAATGCTTGTCTCCTTCAAGGCGAGATCCTGGTGGCGTGCCTGCTATTCGTCTTGCTGGTTAAGGACTGGCAGATACGGAAGGCCATCACGGAGCAGGTCATCAAATCGATGTCAGAAGCCAACGACGCCGCTGATGAAAAGGCTGCCACTCGGGTACATATCCCGAAGACTGGGCGCATGCAGCTTTCGCCGTTCCCGTCCCAGGGCATCCTCCGCTCCATCCTCAACTCAATATCCGCGTGCTGGGATGATATACCTAGTAACGATAATCCCACGCATCAGATTCGGTCAGCATTACAAGCCCTTGCCAACCTCGCTACCCTCCTGAACGACAAACTCTTACCTTTTTCGGATATTTCGAGGCTGGTCAAAACTATGTACTCTGTGCCTCGGTACAGAGACATAGATGTCTGGGTTGACGGGCCCAATGGGCCTCGGCGGGTGGAAGCATACTCATACATCCACTCGGCATTGCGGCGACTGTTCGACAACTTGCCGCATTCGTATAACCATGGGGATAGCAGGGCACGGCCCCCACTGAACATGAATACGTACAACTCGCTTTTGTATTATGCTCTGCGGCATCGTCAATCGTTCGGTCTGGCGAATAAAGTCCTGGATCATATGCAACGTCGTCGTTCCCCGCCGTTGCAGCCTAATCGTGATACTCTCAACATTCTAATAAGAGCTGGGACCGTCTTGCGTGTAAATGGCCTTACTGAGCAGGCATTGGAGGAATTGCGACGATGGGGCGAGGGTGCCGAACACCGCATCCTCACCTTAGACTTCCCGGATATGACTATCATTGGCCAGACCCGGCGGCAGGACAGTAGTCAAAACGCAACAGATCCAGCATCCTCGGTACAGGTACCGATTGATGAGGCGGAAGGAAGATCGGCGGAACATATTACTGTGACCATGGACGACAGTCAGCTGAACAGCGAAACGGACCATAGTTTGGCGTTAACGGCGGAGATTATACCTGCTCATAAACCACAAGAGGGCGTGGCGCCCGCATCCCAGGGCGGCGCATTGCATTCACTCCCTCATGCCGACTCGTACACTGTGATAGCTTATATTTCGCACCTCGTGGCGACAGGCCGACCACATGTCGTTGCAGATATTCTGTTCCAGCTGCTCCCGGAACTGCTCATCGTGAATCACCCTGCTCGGGCTTCCATGCCTTACCAAGATCCCGAGACTTCCCAGAGACAGCGCCTCCAGCGCGCAGTCAGTTATGGCCCGCATTTTTTCGCCGTCGTCATCAATGCGCTGCGACTAACGGGGCGTACGGGGCTGTGCGAGCGTGTGTGGCTGCTAGCACGGCAGGCTGAACGAGCTAGCTGGGAGCCAGATGCAAATGTCCAGCCCTGGTGTCTCCCGATACATGCATATACTGCGATGATGCAATGTTATGCCCAGGAGTCCAAGAAAGGTTTGCGGATGAAAGGCGTCGAGAGCTGTACAGAAGGTCAAGCTGGGTGGACACCCTACTCGTCCGACCATGTTATTGGTTGGGCTTCTTTCATTCTGCACCGGGACCGGCTGAGACCGCATCAGCTCAGCCGCCATGACGCAGCAGAGGAGATGGGTATGCTGTTGCTCCGATCCATGAACAGCGGCGCGTTGGCAGTCGTCGATGCTATGCACGAGATCAAGATGAAGACAGGGAACTCAGTCGCACTACAGAACGTTTCGGTCTTTCAACCTGATGCTCGATTTTTCAATGCCGCCCTCGACGTGTTCAGCAGACATCCTCGGATGTGTGCTCGCAGACCGCGCACCAGCCCGTCGCACTGGAGACGGCTCCTGCGCAGGTCCATCGCCGCTTACATGGACTCCGGACGGGTGTCGCCTGGATGGTCGCCCGGTTTGCAGGAGATTGCGGAAGACCTGGTTGCGGCTGGGTTCGCCGTACCTGTGGGATTCCAGCATATGCTCGTTGGAAAATGGCTGCCAACCCCGTCGGAACAGACGCAGCGCTCAGTAGTGGACGTGCGTCCGTACGGTTATCCTTCCTACTCGCCATCATTCCTTGCGCATTCTATCCCCACCTCGAAGACTAGAGGGCTTCCCGTTAGCAAGAGATACAGTCGGAACCGTCGGACAGCCCAGTCATGAGCATGTAGCATTAGCACCTGTAGTATTCTTGCATTGTATGAGCTGCATAATTGCGCTATGATTTCTTCAGCTTCTCGAGATAGATGACAATCATCCGCGCCGTCTGTTCTCGTGGCTTCCATTCTTTACCAATGTCAGCAAGGAGGTCCAGAGTCTCCTTCACTCGCTGCTCCCTCGCAGCAGGGCTCGGTAAGGGCTGTCCTTTCTTTGGTGCATATACCAGATCCACACGGTTCCCTTTCTCTAACTCCTGCCGGACCTTTCTGAGCTTGTGCTCCAGATCTGCCGAAGCGATGCCCCATGTCATCTGAATCTCCTTCTCCTCCATCTTGTTCTGAAGTTGTGCTTTTCGCTGCTGAACGCGCTTCCGGCGCGCCTCCTCCTTGTTAATAAGCTTAACGATGGGTTCCGGTCTCTCGGAGACGAGTTGAAGGAAGTGTGTTTTCCGGCTGAACGAAGCCAAGATCTCTTCTAGAGGAGCGGGTGGTCGAAGTTTAGAGGTCTCGGGATCCACCAGGCGAACAGTTCGATGAGGGATATTCTCGTTCTTCGGAGGTTCTGGATCGTTGGCAGGAGTAGACATGGGTCGTCGGAAGACACCCGCAGATGAAGTCCTCCGCCATACCAGATGGTTTAGGGCTCGAGAGGTTGAGGCTCCAGGCGTCATGGTCTTGCTTGGAGGAAAGACGGCCAATCCATCTGCAACAAGTCTAGCTGCGAAATCAGCGTAAGAACGTTTGGAAAATGCAAAGCTTGTTTCATCCACTTACCGAACATTGCGATCAATGTCGCAGATGAATACTGCCGCGTTGCGGGACGAGCTGGACGCAAGGTAGGTTGGATCGACGACTCGCGTCAAGACGTCTTCGGTTAATTCCGGCAATCAACATAGAGACCGGTGCTAGGATCCAGATAAACGTCCGAGCCTGTCCGAGCCATGGCACCGAGAACAGTATACTGTGAGAGGTCCGGTTGCAGAGGGGATGCAGAGGACCAAGTATTATCCATGGCGGCTCATGATAGCGAAGACATAGAAGCGAGTGTACATCTCAGTTGGATGCGACGCGCAATGCAGATGGTGTGTTCCCCTTGTATCCCGTATGCTCCGCGCGCGTTCACCGTATAATCACACAAGGCGGAAGAAGCATTAGCAGCGCAAGAAGTGCCTGTTGGATGCGTCTTCGTTAGAGGCGGTCGAGCGATCGCGGAAGCGCGAAACAGGACGAATGAACTCAGAAATGTGAGTGTCATTTGCATGAGTATAAAATCGATGAAGGTAAGGCATAACCAGGACTACTCCTCCAGGCTACGCGACATGCGGAATTAGAGGCGATTGATTACATTTTGTCTAACAAAGACCTGACCCCAGAAGTCACAGAGTATCCGCTATCCGATACAACGCTATATGTAACAGTCGAGCCATGCATTATGTGCTCATCAGCGCTCCGACAGATGGGTATCAAGGAGGTCTTCTTTGGATGCGAGAATGACAGGTTCGGTGGGTGTGGAAGTGTCCTGGGCGTGAACGAGAGGTTCGTCGTCACGCAAGGTCCGAATGACGACTGAATGAGATTATGATCAGTCTGCCCCACCCGAAGCACCCTGCATACAAGGCCACCAGCGGGTACTGTCGCGAGGAAGCGATCTTGATCTTGCGCCGCTTCTACATCACTGAGAACAGCAACGGTGCGCGCTAGAATATCCGTTTTTTCTGTCACTGATCACTCACGTTTCATACTAAGCACCCATGCCCAAATCGAAGACGAATCGTGTCCTAAAAACTGAGATCAAACCTCGAAAAGGTTCCCACTTGAGCTCGTAAACGCCTCGAGGCCGGCGAACAACCGCTGTCATTCTTATCGATTGCATAGCCAAGTACCGTGGAGAGCACCGCGAGTCAGCAGGTGTCCATATGATGGGGAGGTAGCCATATCATTGCTCATTCTAGAGCGACGCTCGCAAACCCTCGGCCGAGTCGCGCTGCCGCGACAAACCTTCGTTGGAGATCAATCGGCATGCCGTACAACGCACGTCGTAGGACCCTATCTACCTCTCCAAGTGAGTCCCAGAGATTGGGCAACGAAACCCCATTTGTCCGCCCATTCCTTGATCCTGTCCATTCGGATTCGCCATGAGAAATCTTGTAATCGACGCATGCTCAGAAAAGAAGGCGCACCGTTGTGCCGTGGCCTTTCCAGCTCCATGGCCGGCTTTCTTGTCTATGCGGATCACCAAGGGGTGTGGATTGTGAGGAAGCGTGTGCTGTAAAGTCGCTGCGAACTTGAATGAGTGTAGAGGAACCACGCGGTCATCATCTGCCGGTTATTCATGAAGGTTGTGTTAATGAAATGCGTCACGGGGAGGAAACGATACGCACGATCGGCAGTTAGGAGTATCGTCGGTGGCAACGTCTTGTCTGGCGACACATTATGCAGAGGCGAGATCGGATAGATAAAATCGAAGTCATGAGGGTCCTTGGGGTCCCCGAAATCGGATACCCAGGCCTTCCCTAAAGTCATTGGTCAATGCTATTTGTGTCTGCACCAGGATAGAACAGCACTGACCAATCGTAAAATCGGCGTACTTGGTAGAGCCAACCGTGAGTCAGGGACATGGGGCATAGAAAGAGTAACAAACCTTGAGCAGATCATGCACGCCAACTTCCGAAACAACTGCGCCAAATGTATCTTGCGGAGCGCGATTGGCACATGCGGCGACTAGCAAGCCTGGACCGCAGGGAAAAGTTCAACGCATCTCCTTGAGTAGCACTCGCAATGTCAGGGACACACCTCCATTAGAACCTCCGTTGATGGCAACTTTGCCAGGCGCGGCGTACTTATTTTTCACCAGGAATTCTCTGCAAAACAGATATCATTAGATGGAAACATCTCGACGTAAAGCAGGCAGAACGCACGTTGCTGCAATGAAGTCGTCATACGCGTTGACCTATTCATTGTTATCAATGTCAACATGGCTTAGTTGTGGCGAGCAGCGGCACTGACTCTTCGCTCTCGGACCCCGGCCAAGTGCCATGCCTCTCCGAACTCTCCGCCGCCGCGAATATTAGGCACAGCAAGAATGGCATTGTAGTTTTGCAGGAAAGTGAGCATCCCAGGATTGAAGAAGGGGACAATGGAGATACTGAAACCACCGTACCCTTCAATACTTGTCAGAGTCTGAGCCTACCGAAATGGAAGACCCTCATTCGCACCATATTGTATGGCCGGGGCGGTACCGTCCAGTTTTGTTGTTTTCAGCCGCACTATAAACATGGGTACCCTCGTTCCATCTTTGCTCGTGTACCACACTTGCTCAGCCACGAAGTCGTCCGCCACGATCCCTGCGACGGTAGTAGTCTTCAGGATTCTCCACCGCTTGGCTTCATCTTTTTCAGTGAAATCATACATAGCATGAATGGCGGGGTTAGTAAAGCCCGTCAGAGTGGCCATGACATGCGGATGGGAGCGGCGTCCATAAAGATATGTGGTGCCGACAAAATCGGCGGCAACTCGAATGAGCGGTGCCCCCTCGGCCATTGAACGAACATATATCTCATCCTGGACCTATGCGCAAAGGCGTAAATGATGGGAAGAACTCTTATACCTGTATCGGGATGATTAGTGCCTACATTGCGTTTGTAAATCAAGGCGAAGTTATCGCCGCCCACAGCCTTGATCGCTTCCAGCTTAGCATTCTTGTCCTCGGGGATAAATTCTTTGTATTCGCCCTTCGGATGAGCCAGGTCGCATGTAACCACTTTGTACATCGGCGCATCCTTATTTGTGCGGATATAAAGTTTGGTACCATCGTTGGCGATGCTAGAAAGCGATGGTAAATACTCGGAGACCAGAAGGCGACGACATCGTGCTTACACGTCAAATTCTGCGTCAAATTCGTCGACGAGCTTCGTCCACTTCATGTTTGGACCGATTTCATTCTCCTCTAAATCGGCTATCCAGAGCATGTTTTTCTGAATGCTTGGATAAGTCATGTATGCCAAGATTCTGTAGCAAAGTACTCACTCGTGCAGTGTCACGGTTAATGTAAAGAGACAGATATTTGCCGTCCATCTCGCTGACCTCGGTGGAAAACATCCACTCCGGGTTTTCGTCACTTTTCATAACTAATATGTCTTCCGCTGCAGGGACATAATTAACTCAGTGAAGACAGTGAAGAAAGGCGGATGGGACGGCTCTACACTGAGGTGTGCCAATACGGTGGTAAAAGACCATAGCGTTCTTATCATCTTCAGTCTCGATGCCGATCTGTTCTTCCGCTGAAGAACCGTTAGTCTGGCGTTCAGGGTAGCGCTGTTACAAAAGCGATTAGTATAGGCAGCGTACTCCGGTGTATCATAGTTGCCACAAACTTGGTAGAAAAAGCCCTTGGAGTCATGAGTCCATACAATGCCGGAAAACTTGACAAACCGAATCTCGTCGCTTAGCCGACCACCGTCCTTGGGGTCATTGTGGTCCGGGCCCTTGCCATTCACTTCAGCGAAGGGAGAGGACGTAGGTCGAACATAGATAGTGCAGAAATCGCTGCCCTAGAGAACAGTCAGTGTTTCGTTCTGTCCATACTGGTCTCGGGAAACCCCGACAAACTCACGGAACGAGATACGCCATACGCGAATAGCTCACCGGACTTCGAGAAGGAGGAGGTCGCGAGAGAAGCAGTGCCATCAGCGGCGAGCAGATTGGGCTTGAAGGATGGCCGGCCAGGTCAGAACGATTATATGCGTGGAAAAGGCCTGGCTCACGTCGAAGAACACTTCGCCCCCGGCGCCTTCGACTTTTGAGAAGTCGGGGAGAGAAGTATCTTTGGACCGGTATACGACTTGACGGAGAGCTCGGATCAAAAGTCTACGGGATGCGAGATCCGGCCTTACCGTTTTGGGCCTGCAACCCGCTGTTGTAGAACCAATAGTACCGTCCGTCATCCTTTAGACTAGGAGGCGTAAACTAAGTGCACCGAGTTTTTAGTACCTGCTCTAGCGTCAAAACAGCGCTTCATACCTTTTCGTAGTCTGTGTTCTTCCTGATCTCATCTTCCAGTTTCTGGCGGTCGGGGTTCTGGTCTAGATAAGACCGGGTAAATGCCTGTTGGGTGTCTATCCACTGATCTCTTTCATCGGACTGCTGCTCGAGCCACACATAAGGGTCATGGACGCGGACTTCGCCCTTTGCCTCGCTCTTGTACACGTCGAAGTGGTCAGTACGGCGAGTGGCGGGATACCGGTTTGGGGTCCATGCGGTGGGAGTCATAGTAGTAGTTGAGAGAGATCTTTTCGCGATACCAAAGGCACTATTTCGCAGACTGAGTAGATGGCGGAAGGGGCGGACGCATGATAGAGCTATCATGTGCTTTAAGGCTTTTTATGTCAACTGGACAGTCTCCGAAGCCAAGAGAGGGGACCGGAGGGCTAGAATGGTAATTCAGGGCATGGATTTCAGAGACGCGTGCACCGCAATGGTTATTTTGCGACAAAAGGTCTCACCTCGAGATACACTCTGCTTTCCATAGCAAAACGCGTGTAAACTCAGCGAATCTGTGCTGGGCCTAGGCTCTTCCGACCTCGAAGGTCGCGACATTCCCAAACGTTGGGAAACTGCTGCCCCGCCTCCTGGGAGGGGGTGATCCGGGTCCCGCACGCGCGCTCTTACGTCGATGGACGGCGGCAACTTCAAATTCCATTGCCTCCGTCCGACGTGAGCTTGCATGGCTCAGACTGGTCCCAGTTTCTTTCCGACAACAGCCTTGGACCATGCAGCGGCTGGCATCGGCGCAGGTACCGTCGCGGTGCTATGTATGCAACCGCTGGATCTCCTAAAGGTCAAGTACCAAGTCGCAAGAACTTCTCCGAAGGGAGGCCTCGGACGGGCAATCTGGTTCTCGTTGAAAGAAATCAAGGAAACGCAGGGGTGGAGGGGTTTATACAGAGGCGTCGGAACGAACATTGCTGGGAACGCGTCAAGCTGGGGGTTTTATTTCCTCTTGTGAGCTACACCATCCATATCTTACGCTGCAATAGTCTTAACGCGGCCCAAGTTATAATATGCTGAAGAAAAGGACCGCTGGAGACGACGTCAATTACCAGATGTCTGCAGGACAATACCTCCTATGCTCTGCGGAAGCGAGTTCGCAATTTCTCCGCATTTCCTCCATGGCTTTGCTGATGGTACCGTGCAGGCGCTGTAACCGCAGTCATGACTAATCCTATATGGGTGGTGAAAGTTCGTATGTTCACGACGCGGGCAGACTCTCCTATGGCCTACCGGGGTCTATGGCGTGAGTACTGGTGTCATAAGCAGTGGGTTTGCTGCTGAGCAAGTAATTTCCAGATGGGTTGACCTCCATCGTGCAGACGGAAGGCTGGAAAGGCCTGTGGCGCGGGACAACTCTCGCCCTTGTCGGCGTAGGCAATGGGGCCCTGCAGTTCATGGCATATGAGAAGATGAAGCAGTGGGGTTTCGAGAGGAAACGTGCAAGCTTCGTGAAGTCTGGAAGAGAATACACGGCCGCAGATGACAAACTAGTAAGCTCTTTGCACGAGGGTGCATTGATGATGTGTGACATCGTTATCTAGTCCAACACAGCTTATACGATCATGTCTGGTGCCAGCAAGCTCTTTGCCCTGACCGCAACGTATCCCTATCAGGTTGTGCGGTCTCGAATACAGGCGAGTAGACATCCGGTCCTCAGTATCTGGGAGCCTACTAATTCCTCTCTAGAATAACGCTACAGCTCACCTATATCCAACGATACCCGCCTGCATATCTCGTACATTCCGGGAAGAGGGTGTCAAAGGCTTCTATCGCGGACTAGGGACGAACCTCGTCCGCGTCTTGCCCGGGACGTGCGTCACCTTTGTCGTCTATGAGAACCTTGCATGGCTATTACGGACTACTGCTACAAAGCGGGAAGCCAGGAGAGCGAGCTAATACTAATACCGGCTGTGCACTACGACCGCGTTCTCTCATAGACAACCTTCCAAGTATATCTTATGTTGTATATCTTAGCCTCGGTAGGAAAAAGTATATCGCTGTAATCTTCAGAATGGCAGTTAATGCGTCATTTCTCCATACTATTCCATGACTTCCGTTCTGCGTTTGCTATAGTACTGACAGACCAACGAACGAGAATGACCACAATATAACCAATTTCCAATGGTGAAAACCGCCGTCACTTCACCGGGCGAGCGCCGACGAGGATGTGGCTGAACCGTCGGAAATCGAGAAGGTATCTTCGACAAGGTTTTCCGACGGTTGTCCGACGGTTTCAAGCTCGAAAAGGCAAGTTTATGGGTGAGCACGAGGCGAACTGTCGGTCAGTTCTCGGGCGACTCGGGCTCGGGGGCGCTGATGCGGCCAGCGATCCCATATTCAGTATGCTCTTTACCTCTTTCGGCCACCCACCGGACCACCCACGGAGGCTGAGTGCAGAGAATGGCTAATACAACGTTGCAGCTATACCTTCTTCTTCTCGATTTCCGACGGTTCAGCCACATCCTCGTCGGCGCTCGCCCGGTTGACTACCGGTGTCTCATGGGCAGCGATTCGACACACGTATCTAGTTGCGCCGCGTTCGACCGACAATATCCTGAATCACATTTAATGGGTCCATAGCAATATCAACCGCGAACGGACAGGCTACAGCTTAGAATCCAGATCCATTTAAGCAAGCAATAGATACAGCACCGCAACCGTCAACGTTCTACTGCCTCAAGCACTCCTACAACCTCGCATTCTTCGGCATCTTTTTAATCGCCTGTCTCACGCCCAGGTCTCCGAGTACGTCCTCCGCACCAGCCAGGATCGCATCGTACGGCGACGTGCGATGGTACTGTGTACCACACAACAACGTCAATACCACCGAAAGCACGCGTCTGGGGGACACTTACGTTTTCAATGTACTTGCCCATCCCACCCACCGTAATCCCCCGGCCGCCGAATATCTGCGTGGCATCCTCGGCCGTCTCACGGCCAGTGCGCGATACGAACCTGTCCAGACATCCGGATATTAACCTTCGCACTTCCCTTGGGGCCTCTGCACGTACTGTTTGAGAAGCCCAATGGGCCCGGCTAGCTTATCGGCCTGCTGCGCGTACGACATCTGTGGGCGCCCGTTGACTCAACATGCAGGAATCTGGGAAGCGGAGTGGGTAGTATACACACGTTGTTCATCTGGTGGGTAACGGACTCGAGCCAGTTCTGGCACCCCTCCACGCGGGCTATGATGTTCGCGAGCTTCGCCCGGATGACCGCCTGCGAGACCAGGGGTTTGCCGAATACCATCCGCTGGTTCGACCATCTAGATAGATTATTCACGATCAGCCCCGAGTTCCGAGGGCAGGTGGTGCATAATGAATAATAAATAATACGGACTTCAGACACTCCTCGAGGATCATGCGCTGCGCGCCGACGCTCGTCGTGGTCACCATCCACCGCTCGTGGTTGAAGTTGCTCAGGATGACCCCGAGGCCGCCGCCGACCTTGCCCAGTGTGTTACCGATTGGCACGCGGACGCGGTCGAAGGTGACATATGCTGTTCCGGCTGCAGAGGAGTAGGATGTCTTAATACCCTTTGTGGAGACACCTTCGCCTCGTGGGATGAGAATGACAGTGAAACCGCCCTGCATAACGCGACGCATCAGTATGATGGCATCCCGACAATGAGTTTCGTCTACCTCAGTTCTACATCCTGTCGTGAAGTAATCCGCGAAGGTACCGTTCGTGATCCACCTGTAACTCGTCGTCAGTCGGCGGCAACGTATCGAGGAACCTCCACTAACTTTTTGGTCCCCGAGATTACCCAATGATCACCGTCCTTCTCCGCCGTCGTCTGGAGCCCAGCAACATCACTCCCAGCAAAGGCCTCACTAATTGCCAGCGCGACAAATTTCTTCCCAGCAAGCACGTCGGGCACCACAGCTGCCTGCAGCTCCGGCGACCCGTAGTTTAGGACGGGCGGGAGACCGATGACAATGCCTGCCAATAACCCGTCGACATAACCTCGCGTACCCAGGCGACCGACTTCCAGGTTTATGATCAACTGAGCAGGAAAACGTTGGATGCTTTAAAAGTGGCACCAGGAGATGACTGCAGCTAGCATTACCTCGTGGAAGTAATCGAATTCCTCTGCTTTGACGATTCCTCCCATCAATGTCCGGCCTTGTAAGTGCTTCCCGGGGCCAAGGCGCATGGCAATGATATTTGTCTCCCTACCCGCTTTCCCATCAGCAATGAGACTCGTTGTCGATCTGAAGACGACTCACGCAAGTTTATCCACGACCTCCTGGCTAATCCTCTTCCCATTCTCCTCGCACCGGAGCGCGTCCGGCTGCACCACCTCCACGAAGAACTTACGCACCTCCCGCTGGAACCGTCTATGGCTGTCCGTATAGTACGGGCTGTGGAACCCGTTCGACAGCCAGGTGGGCTCGGCGTACGGGACCTGGGACGTCTCGCCCGCCGCGAGCGGCTTGATCGTCTCCTCCTGGCCGGCTATCGTGCCGATTTGCAGGCGCGCGTATTGGGGGCGGAGGAGCACTTCATGTCGGTGGAGGCCGAAGAAGACTTGCGTGGCGTCTTGGCCAGCTGTGAGACGGAAGGGTGGTGGTAGGTTGGGCTGTGGGAGGGACAAGCAGAGGGCTCACCGACGGCGGGTACGTAGAATACGGACGCCCCTCCCGGGTGAAGGTCCGCGAACCGGGATACATCGTAGACTTTGGAATCAATGACAATCCACTGCAGCACCGTCAGATACACCAGCGCTACGGTTAGAACTACGCGTTACGCACTAGATCCCCCTCCTTGTTATGCTAACGCCCCAAGCTGGTATCAGATAAAACTCAGCCACTACAAGGACTAAAGCACGTACCTTTGCGACGTCCTCGAGCGTGAACGTCTTGAGGGTTTTGGGGGCGCTCATGGCGGTCTGAAGTTGTAGACCGGACGTTGCCCGAGCATGAGCTTGAGTGCGGGGTAACGGACATTGGCCGCGGATCAAAGCCGCTGATTCAACGCAACCTGATTGGCTCTTAGTCGCATTCACATGCAGAGGCGCCCGACAAGTAACCGGACCCAGCAAGGACCCAGGCCTACGTTACGGCCGTACAAACTGTCTAATTGAAGAATGTAGTACGGTGCATATTCCATTGGATGCATTATCCATGATCATCACCCGCTAATAGATACACTCTTCTAAGGAATGAGGGGACTATTGAATGATACAGCAAACCCAAATTAATGATACATGAGCTCCAGCGGCCCTATCATGACCGAGATGAACGGCGCCCTCAGAATCCCAGAATGAAATCTGAATGGTTGAGTATCTGAACTCAACCTGCCTCGACCCCAACCACCGCTGGCATCGGTGGGGCGGAATCCCGACCATCATCTGGGGCTGACTGGGAAGGGGACTGGGCATTCATCTGGAAGAAGGGGATTGTGCGCAGGCCGTCTGGAGCAGGCCCTGAAGCCTCCAACTGCTTCCTTCCTCGATCCGTCTGAAAGGCTATGTCAGGGAAGTGTCATTAATGAGAAAAATGGATACTGACGATCCCAGCACTAGCCATCCCTCTTTCTAGTCCTTCAAGCAATGTGCACGCCTTACACAAGTCATTGGAGGACATGTACCCGCACCTCTTGCATGTCTCTATTCATCGATACTCGTTCAGTCAGAATCCAAAGAATAATATATCGACACGTACTCCGCTCCTTGAGCTCCTTGGTAGCCTCCTCACTAACCTCACACGCCTCACCGGAGTATATAATGTCGATGATCGCACTGGGTCGCGCTGCCTCGAGAAGTTTGAGGAATGACCGCGCGTGGCCGCGGTACGCGTCCGGGGAGTAAATACATTCTGTGGAGAAGTACGTGAGGTGCTTGAAGTAGGCGTACCTGGTTAATCTGGGTCAGGCTGGTGGATATGTTGCGACGTATATGTGCTTACATGACGATCTCCTTCTCATAAGTGTATTTGAATGGCTTCGACCTTTTGATGGTGTCCTCTCCCTTCGTACAGATGGCCGTACAGCGGCCCAGTCTCGCGATGTCTCCACGCATAACTGACGAAACATATATGAATTTCTACAATCCCACTCAGGAGATAATGGAATACTCACTGTTCATCAACACAGTCTCCGCAACGTCGTCCGCGTTATGCCCAGTTACGATATGGTCTACACCCAACATGGCAGCACCGCGGTCGAGTGCCTGGCGACGGAATACACCGCAGAACGTGCAGTTATTCTTCCGACCTACTGCCTCCACAATCGAGTCCATTGTCCAGCCATACAGCTCGTTGTACGATAGGATCTTGAGCGGCAGATTGTATTCCTTCTGGTTTTGCTTGACTGTCTGTCACAAGGGGGTAGTAGGTTGAGTTGAAAAGAAATGCACACGGTTCAGCGGAACCAAAGCCCGTACCTCGAGCGAGTCGTCTCGGTAGCCAGTTATCCCCTCGTCGATCGAGAGCAGGAACAGCTCCAGCCCATAATTATACCTATCATTCAGCGTTTTCATCACATGTGCAAGCACAGTCGAATCTGCGTCGGTCATCCATATTCCCATCCAACTTCACGTCTGACAGTAAACTTACATACCTTTCCCGCCCGATGCGCCGATAGCCACCCTGTCCCCGGGCTGGAAGAGCTGCGCCTCCACGATAGTGTTGTGCACTTCCGTCTCGAAGACATGGAAGAAGCAGGTCTTGCAGATTTGTTGGCCGGTCTTTGGACGCTTTAGAATGGGCCGCTGGGTAGCGCACAGAGCGCACAGACGGGGCATGGCGAGGGCTGGAGTAGGGCTAGAGTCAAGTCACTTGCAAGAGCTGAAGCAGTCCGATCCATTTGTCGGACGGCACGTGGAAGCCACGGGAGGCGCAAGATCGACGTCTGTTCCTCCCGCCGGCCATGCCAGGTACAGCGTCCACTGCTGCGCTCGACGTACTTACTTCGAACGTCCTCCGACTTAACAGTGTCTTTCGGACGTCCTTCGACTTTGGCTACCTCCCGAGGCTCATGGATTGAACGTTGCCTGAATTCCAGGCTACACGCGTCTGAATCCATCGTATGAATCTCCAAGTTTTGCTGAACGGAGATCGTGGACGGGTAAAATAGCTGTCCTGGCTATGCGATATTTGGCCAACCTATACCACTCGAAAACTTTGTGTACGTACGTGTCCCCGCTCACCAGTCTCGTCCCAACGGCAGAAGCACCATCACGTGTAGCGATAATCCCGAAATAACGACCATCGCTTGGTTCGCGTCCTATCGCGCCTGATGGTGATAGCGCCTGCTTCTCGAATGACCTTGAGTGAACCCTGCCCTGAGTACAAGTACTCGAGGCTAGCTCAACTGGAGGTTCTTCGAGCAGCCATGTTTGCCCTGCTGCTCTCGTTATTGGTGCTCCCTCTCGTTGCGAAATGCTACAACTTGAATGTACTGCCTCAACCCCGGTCATGGACATTGTCGTCAGCACCCCCGTTTCCTTTGTTTGCGCCCGTCACAATCGTCGTCGACGCGGCCTACCAAAATTACTCGGACGCGGACGGCATGACTCTTATTCCTCCCTCTTTGCACGCATTCGCGTCGTTATTCGCCGAAGACCTCGCTTCTGCATATAATTCCCAACCAACCCTGAAAGCCGGGACATCACCGCCTGACTATGGTATCTTTCTGACAATTACTCACAATACGACTACTCTGCTGGATGGAACAAGCACCGGCGAAGGCTATCGCGTCTCTTCTTCCGCTAGTCTGATCACTATTGAAGGGTCCGGCGCCAGAGGCGCTTGGTGGGCCACGAGAACCCTCTTGCAAGCTGCTGCTTTGAATGGGGGCTGGTTCCCTGCCGGCGAGATCGTAGACGGCCCCGACTATGGAATCAGAGGCCATATGCTGGACGCCGCTAGGCACTGGTACAGTGCCGAGGTATTGTTTTCCGCGCGGCAGTGGACTGTATGGTATTGAGAATTCTCTGTAGTACCTCACGGAATTCTGCCATTACTTGTCGTTCTTCAAACTCAACGAGTTCCATGTCCATCTTAGTGATAACGTGTATCCGGCTGCGTACGTCTTCTGATAAGCGCCATATAACGAACCAATGGTAACCTGATAACAGCACGGAAGAATGGCGGTCATACTATGCCCGGTTTCGCTTGTGGTCGAACAATCCAGCATTTTCAGGACTAGCTCACCAGTGAGTCACAGAGTCATGTCGCTGACTTTGCAGCAACTCATGTCATGTCTCTAGAAATGAATCCTACGATCAAGCGACATTCGCCGCCTTCCAATCATCTTGCGCAGCCCGGGGGGTGACCGTCATCCCGGAAATCGAGGCGCCAGGCCACGCCCTGCCCTTGAGTCAGTGGCAGGATAGCATGGGGAAGCAGGTGTACATCGACACTGACCCGGTGAGGCAGAACAGTAGGGCGTATTGCCCGTCTTCTCATCGCATATCCGTAGACGCTGCTCAACCTGTCTATCCCTGGTGTGACGGAAATGGTGGAGAATATATGGACTGAGTTCCTTCCGTGGTTTGAAACGCAGGAGGTATGTATTGGAGCAGGTGGGTGGTTATTCTTCGACACTCCTACGCGGGAACTTCACGAGTGACCTTGATTGCCTAGACGAATACCCTTCGGACCTCGCGGATGAGTATATCACCTTCGTCAATGACCTGAACACCTTGATCAAGGGACGTGGAAAGCACATCAGAGCTTGGGTACGTATCGCCAGATCTCCGACGTTTCATACAATTGGCCCTCGTCACGCTAAGTTCTACCGGACCGGGATATAGGGGACGGATGAGCCATCCAATACAACTAGTATTGACAAGGACGTAATTATACAACATTGGTGTGTTATTCCGTTATGAGGCTCGATTATGGGCTATGTTGTTTATGGTTGACCAGGGCTCTGTTCGCGACTGACCCGTATGCCCTGATCCAAAAAGGTTACCCTGTCATAAATTCACAAGATTGGGTGTTTTACGAAGTCAGTGTCGCAGATTGGTTTCCCAGCCCAGAATATCTGATCCATGTTTTAGGTTCTGAAATATGTGAGTCAACAGACGTGGTGGTACCACATCAAGTTCCAGTAACCTATAGAACTCTTTTAGAGCGACTCGTATCCTCCGACGACTAACTTAACACGTTTCTTCGACTTTGGCGATCCCCCAGTTCCGGGTCTCACATGGAACACGTCGCTCTTCAACTGGACTGACATCCCGTACAATCCCTCGCCGACGACACCCTTGCTTAGGGGTGCCATCGCACCTGTTTGGAACGATAACGGTCCCAGGGCTAGCACGGACCTGGAAGCATTCTACGAGACCAGGGTTCTTATAAGGTAGCTTATGCTATAGTGATTGCCTTGCTTCGCGCCTAATTCCGTGTGCGCCAGTGTCGCCGGCGCTCTAAGCTGGGGCGCCAACAGCTTAAAAATGGAAGCGTACGATTCGGTCCGGGAATACCTGGAGAATATCGCACCGGGGCAGAATCTTAACAGATTTGTTGCTAGCAAGGGCCCAACTGTCTTATCATACGACTTCTCCAGATCAGGGTTGACGGACCTGAGCGGAAACGGATACAACGCGCATGTATTGGGTCCCGTCAACCTCACTTCGTCAGGTCTGGTCATCCTCTCCGGAGGGTCTTTGATTACCCCCCTCGGGTCTCTCGGCTTGAATCACACATACGCGCTGGCCCTTTCACTGTCCTCCCCGTCAACGATACTGAAAATCACCGGTCCAGACACCTTGCTTACCTTGCAGAATGGACAGCCGCTGGTCATGCGAGCCAGTAACGGCGCCGAGTACCCTCTGAGGAACTTGACGACGAATGCTACCACTGTCATCGATTTTGGCGCGCAGCCGATCACTGTAGCCACGACACAACTGCAAGGCACGGGAGTCTGGCAGGCTGGAAAGCAGGTGGGCTGGTTCGGAGAGCCGTTAAGCCAGTACAATAACGCGACCGTCGAAGCGTGCGTGTCCTGACCGACATGATACTGCATTGCAGTGCTAACCCAACCGCCACAGATGGGTGCAAATGGCCTTCGTCGCCCCGTTGAGCAATATCAGCGTGCAAGGAGGGGGTTCGGCAACTGTCAAATCATGGACAGTCCAGTCAGGTTACTACGCTTGATCATGACAGCACCCCCTTTATGCTGTTTCAATCACACAAACGAGAGAGTACCCCAAAGGCTCTTTCTTACGTACGTCGCATTATTGATGTGACTGTAGAATATGTGTAAGTATCTAAGTCCGCGATGATGATGCTATGCGTCCGGGTCAGTCCAAGTTCGTCCCTCCGCTTCAACCAGCCCTCTGTACAACCTCTCGCAACGTTCCACTAACAGGGCAGTGTCGCGCTCGTTGTCCCGCCACTTGTTGATTTCCTGTATGCCTATTCGAGGATTTCCCCACCGGTCCGTTTCTGACCCAAATTTCACCGGTGGATCAAGCCAGCTCGGAGATGTCGCCGCCTTCATCCCATTTGCAAGGCCGTTAGCAGCTCCATTTCCTTGAGGAGTAGACTTCAGGTTGGCAAGGTATAGCGGAACCACTGAGAGAGAAACCAGGCAAAGATGGACTGCGGAGATGGCCCCCTTGAGCGGAGTGATAGGGTGATTGGGCGACCCAAGCATTCGGGCCTGACGCGCGATCAGTTCAGTGATACGACAGAAACCGACAAGAATCACTCACGAAGTAGAAGGCCAGAATTTTCAGTGCATCGGTGAACCACGTTAGCGCAGCGGAGAACACGTTGGTATGGACAACGCCTGGATGGGATACGAAATGCATTATTTTGCCCTTCGACGCGGTCTGACGCGATAGATGTGTCGCGATCAATTCCGTCTGATATTTGGATGCTTCGTATGAATGCTCAGTCTTCAGAAGTTGGTAATCATCCAGGTCCAAGGAACTGCGGTGACCCTCTAAAGATGACGTCCAGATCACCCGCGCAGGTCTCAACGACTCTGGCGTGGACGAGAGTAGTTTCTGGAGTGTCCGATACTGCGTACACGTCGCGGGTCAATTTACTGAATTCGGGAGGTCAAGCACCAACACTCACTAGGACATAATGTCCAAAGACATTGCACTGCCAGACCCACCCCAGGCCATCATCGCTCAGCTGGCCCACCGCTTGCCTGTAGAATGCTGGTGCGGTGACAGCGGTGAGCGGTCGAGTTAGCACCTCCTTGATGGCCTCTGGCCAGTCGATGCCAATAAGATTGACGACGCCCGCATTACAGATTAAGTGGGAAACATAGGGATAACTGGAAAGACGGGGATCAACGAGAGTTTGGTAATGTCGGGATTGACATAGTGCGGAAGGGTCACATACTTTTTAGAGATCTCATCTCCGAATTTGAGCACGCTGGACGTCTTCGACAAATCTAGGTATTGTATCTCTAGGCGCAGATTCCTCCTGAAAGTCCCCGCATGGCCGTCGTAATTGGATCTTTTCTTCCGCCTCGCGATTTCTTCGTCCAGCAGATTGAGCAGTTTAGTACGAGCCTCTTCAGCTTTCTTCGTGCTGCGACAGGCCATGATCAAGGTCAAGCCTGGACATGGGTATATAGGATCGTGTTCCTGGACATCTACCGGCTTGACTTTGGAAGACAAGTGATATTGCGGCCGAGCATCTGGAGGATGTGCTTGCGAAAGCTGGAAAAGTAGTCGTTGGCAGATGCCATAGCCTATCCCACTTTTCAAGAAGGCCACTCAGCGACATGTAGCTCTTCAGGCTGATGGGATCATACCTATTTGCCCCAGTAACCACAATTATAGGCCGAGCCTTCTCCATTGACATTGCTCCCCCTTTCAGAGTCCGGACTACTTGAATCTCAACGTTCTTGAGAAGGTCCACTTATTCTTGGCTCACGGAAGGCAATAAAGACGACCACCGGGACAGACTCTTCCAGCAGAAATATTGACGAACAGCAAGGTACGTACACGCGCTCCCATGGTGAAGTCGATCGTACCACTTACATAGGGGGGCGCGAGCGAAATCTCCACGGCATTACAGTGTGAGGCGCTCAAAACCGACAACTCGGCAATAGGCGAGCCGCGGATCCTATCACGGTCGTGAGAAAAGACTTTTAGGTCCTGAAAACTATACCAATCGATTCCTTTTCACGAGAGCTTTCGAACCATCTGATTATTTCCCCGAAATTCCCACTTTTAAGAATCTGGCCCTTCTCATATTTGAATTTGGGTCGGAGATGTAGCGGAGTAACCATAACGGGAAGCTTTGTAATCACGGCAAGCTGGGCCGAGCCACGTGGTTGGTTAGCGTTAGGGTGAAGACACTACTTGCTTTGGACCTATGGGACGCTCCCTATCACAGGAATTCCGTCCGAGACTTCATTTTCTGTATCATACAACCATATTGAGTGGTCATGGCACAGCGGGCTCTCAAATAAATGAGGTTAGGTTCGGTGACCCCATATTTGAATGCTTACGTAAGCACCCAAAAAAATGAAAATGCAGGATTACACATCTTTTGGCCAGGTTTATGTTTCAAATTTTTTTCTCGCCGCCTATGGCGGCCTAATTAAGGTGCCACAGAGGTGCCGACTCTTAGTGACATACACTGTACGGTCACCTGATTACGAGGACGCGTCTCCCGTCACGTACAAAGAGGAACGAAGGGGAAGGAAAGCAGATTATATAGCCAATAGTAGATGTACACTAACAAAGATACAGAGCAGGCGCAGGAAACTATTCGCCCTTCTTCTCCTTCTTCTTCTTTTTCTTAGATGACTCTTCTGATTCCCCTGCAGCGGCGGCAGCCTCAGCAGCAGCCTTTTCGGCTTTCTTAGCCTTTTTGCGAGCCTTGCGCTCAGCTTCCGTCTCTTCCTCACCCTGAGGAAGTCCTGATGAGCAACATTCATGGGTATAAACGAAACGGTTCACGTACCTTCGACTCCGCAGGGGCACCGTTCGCCTCGCTCTCTCGCCGCTTCCGCTTCTTCTCCTTTTTGCTCTCCTTATCCTCCTTGTCCTCGCCATCCACCTCCATAGCATCCTCCTTCGCCTTCTTCTTCGCCTTCTTCTCCTCCTTCGCCCGCCGCTTCTCCTCCTTCACGTCCAACGCCGCCTTCATCGCGACGTCTGCTGGCTCACGCTGCGTGGGAACGAGGTCGACAGCATCCGCGGCGGTGTTGTACGTCTTCGTCTCGCCGGTCATCTCGAAGCGCGCCTGCTTCTTGCCCTCCCCGTTGAACCGCCGCACGCCGCCGAGGTCGCCCGAATATTCCAGGGCGCGTAACCGCGACTCCAGCTTTGCCCGGTTCTCCAGACCTATTGAGGGTGCATCGGGTTCTGACTTGCCATCGGTGTCCGTTAGTGCATCGACACGTATTGACAAGGCTGCCTTCGTGGCGACCATACGGGCCATCTACGAATCCCCTCATCAGATTGGTGCCTCCATGAAGTGTGCCCACACTTACTTTGCCCTTGAGTTTTGGCGGTGCTTGGCCAATGAGCGAAGCCTGAAGTGGGTTTCATCAGCTTCTTAAACCAGTCGACAAGGAGAGTATCCCCACATGGTATATGAGACCATACTTCGGTGTATCATGCTTAGTCTTCAGCGCTCGGAAAAGCGCCTTCTCAGCACCAAGGATCTGGACGGTACTCGCAGGGTGTTTCGCCAAGTTCAACAAGCTACCAGCATGGCTGATTAACCTCGCTCCGACGAGCTCGCCCACCAAGGCCGTCAAGTTCGGTGCAATAGCGTTCATGCGATTCCGCAAGTACTCGGCGAGCTGCGTTCGGTAACCGGTGATAGCGATGACCTGGTCGCACAACGAGTGTATGTGGTTGATATCCGAATCGGAGATCTCGGTACCCATGGAGATCTCCGCTGCTGCCTTCACAGCTGCCTCCAGATCTTCAGGTAGGATGTGGGCGAAGTTCGTCGTTGCGGCGTTTGTACGGAAGCCCATTTCCCGGACGACCTTAGCGTATGCAAGGTTGTCGGAGATGATCTTGACGAGTTCTGGGAAATGCCAGCCGTACCATTCCTGCAGACGCACTAGCTCCAGCACGGATCTTCATAAATATAGATGCATCTACTCACCTTCACGCGCATAGAATAGATATTGATTTCCTTGTCCAGGTCGTCTAGTAGCGCGATAGCTTGCACAACCATAGTATCGACCTTATCCGGCGAGAACTTGAGCTTAAATCTGGGAGGAGGGTTTAGCGCAAGGTGACCCTGCTAACCCTGCAATGTGAGTGTACATACCGTGATAACGAATGACTGAGACCCAAACTCATGGTAGCCAAATCCTTGGGGTCCAATCCGTCGAGCAAGGCAGCTATCTGACTCCTTATACCACGGAACAGGTCAAGAGAGTCCTTGTCCGAGTGGACAGTTATGCCGAGCTTCTTCTTTATTGAGCTCCCTATTCGATGGGGAGGGTCCATGAATATCGGTCCGTTACCGCGACACGGACATGCGAGCCAGACATACCGAGCTTGCTTTCAATGACATATAGAGACTCCTTGCCCTTCCCCTTCTCAACCACCTCTTCGGTCAGAAACTTTTTGAGGCCCTTGCCGATCTTTCCCTCCTGGATGGCAGTGACTTCCTCCACGGCAGTCGCGGTGGTCGTGAAGCGGTGGAGAGCTTTTAATTTTAGTCTGCGGTTCCACAGTAAACAGTCCACGCAATAGCACGTAGCATTTTGTTAATAAAATGACTGATAGCTGGGAAGAATTCCTTTGCTCACAGTTTGTTAGCCTTCTCTGGCGTCTCAAACTCTTGCCATAGGTCTGGACTCGTAATCTTAGCAGTGTCCGTGACCTTGAACAGACAGAAACCAAGAGGGGTCTCGTATAACACCAACATAGCGAAGGTTACCACCGGTACCAGGAGCACAAAGAAATAGAGAAATAGACCGAGGCCCGAACGCTTGCAGCTCTGAACGTCTGCCGAACTGCAGACGATATTTTTCGAGTTCTGTATGCGTGGGAACTGTCTATAAACAACTTCGGGTTCGATCGCGCCGGCAGCAATCGAGCGTGCTTGCCGTGATAAGACGTGTATGTTGAAGTCAGAATAGCAGCTTTGTCTTGCTCCCTCGTTCAGAGATGCTGCTCGAGCAAGCTCTGGTACTTGTGCTTCTGCACTGTGCTCTAGCCAGTGTCCAACGCGTGTTTTCCGCTGGTTTCGTAGACAGCGGCGTCGCGTCCAATGGTTTGGGAGTAGAGGCAAACGTGTCGACTCTCCATTTATCTGCATTGTCTTCCGAGACTTACGCAGTTTTGAGTCACCCTCGATTCCCCTACCACCAGGTGCGGGTGAAGAAGACCAACTTCTGCGACCCAACTGTGAAGTGAGCTGAATCTAGCCATTCCATCGGAGAGCCCAAGGCATAAGACTATACGCAGCGTATATACAGGCTACTTGGATGTCGACTATGGTGCAAAGCACCTCTTCTTCTATTTCTTTGAGAGTCGACACGACCCCGATCAAGGTAGGAGCTAGCAGAACCTCATGGCAGGCTGGGGATACTGATCCCCCCTTAGATGATGTTATGATGTGGATTAACGGAGGTGGGCAAGGATCTGCGTAACAAATGAACGCTGAAATGACGGAGAAGTGATTTATCTGAAGGACCTGGCTGCTCCTCTTCTATGGGATTACTCATGGAATTAGGTATCTCCCCCTTCGAGATCGTATAGAATTGACATCCCGAATCCTGATCCTAATACATCCCAGGACCATGCCAGATCGACATGAAGAACGTCTCCTCAAACGGCACAGTGTGGAACCCTTACTCGTGGAACGAAAAGGCAAACATATTCTTCCTAGACCAGCCGTATGTTTCAAAGGACGACAGGACTGAATGCGACTCTAAGCAACATAATATACAGGGTCGGCGTTGGATTCTCGTATGCCGACCACGGTGAAACGGTCGAGACGACCGAAGAGGCGGCCAAGAACGTCCACGCATTCATCTCTATCTTCTTCGAGACTTTCAGCCAATTCAAGGGACGGCCTTTCCACATGTCTGGTGAATCCTACGGTGTAAGTCCCGTCAGTAATGAAGTGCTCTCCGTGCATTCGATGGCTGGCTTGTTACTAGGGTCGGTACCTGCCCGTATTTGCCAGTGAAGTCGTCGACCAGAACCAGATTGCTGTGGCTGAAGGCCGACCGACCATCAACCTCAAGAGCGTCCTTATTGGCAACGGAAATACTGGGATATCTACGTCCGTATAGTCCTTACTCCACGCCTACCCAAACCTCAGGGATCCTCGTAGGCTTTATGAAGGCCGGTATGAGATCGAGTGCGGAAAGGCTGCTTTGGATGTTCCGATCCAACAGATTAGCAAATGTGTGCGCATGAAGATGGCCGTGAGTGGCTCCCGCTTCACCCCATTCATCGGAGTCCGTCGAACAATTTCCTAGTTACCTCGTTGTACCAAGGGTATCGAGAAACATTGTGGTAATTACTTTGACTCGATCGACTGTGCCGCCGCAGTGAATTTCTGCGACAATGAGATAAGCACCAATTACTGGGCTAGTGGTGAGTGCCTCCTTCACGTGTGAAGCCTTCGCCGCCAACTAATCACACGCTTTCAAGGCCGTAACGTATACGACGTATCAAAGGTACGTACCGACACCCTGCCCAGTAATAAGCACAAGATCTGACGACGTGCAGATGTGCATTGGCGACGACCTCTGCTACCTCGAGAACGGCGCGATCAAAGCCTACCTCGACCTCCCCGCCACCCGATCCCTCCTCGGCGTCTCCTCCCCCAACAACTTCTCCGCCTGCTCGTCTGACGTCGGCCGCCTCTTCGTCGCGCACAGCGACAAGTGGTCCCACCCGACGGAGTACTACGTGGCTGGCCTCCTCGAACGGAGTGTACGGGTCCTGATATACGCCGGGACGTACGACTGGCAGTGTAATTGGGTCAGCAACAAGCTGTGGGTGGACAGGCTGGAGTGGAGCGGCCAGGATGCGTATGCAAGGGAGGAGTGGAGGGAGTGGGAGGTAAATGGCCGAAAGGCGGGGGAGACGAAGAGCGCGGGGAGGCTGACATTCGCGACGATCCGCGGGGCGGGGCATATGATGAGTGTTTTTCCTGTTTTCCGACCACTCGAAACAGTGGTGCTGACTCCCTTCTTTTCGTGTTCACGTTCCGCATGATAGACCAGCAGAGGCGTTGGCTATGGTGCAGAGATGGCTGGACGGGGGAAGTCTTTGAGGGGAGTTGGGATGCTTTATAGGGATCTACGAATACACTGGTGAAAATCACTGCGGTTGCCATGATGCGCCGGTGGTATTCAACCATTGTTGCTATGATTGCAGTTCCTGCGCTCTCTCCCGGGTGATGAACTTGGAGGTGTGTATCTGGCTCGTCTATGAAGATCTCGATAGTGTGGGGTGGGAACGCGCGGAGTAGTCCTCCGACAGGACGTCCGGTACCGCGCAATATGAGGTCGGGGATTTAAATGGCGGTTTCGTTGGGTTTCTACGTTGAGCTCTTGGGCGGTACCGTCAAGAGCGGCTTTGAGAGTCGCCTAACTGTTCCGTCAATACATGGTGGGCGTCCGGGTCTGGTGGAACCGTCCCAGGCATGCATGAGGATTAGCCTGCTTTACTTATATCTGGCTACCATGGTACAGCGCCCGTCTCTAGTCGAGGTGAAAGGATAGTACTGTTTTGCTACCTCCATTATAAACTGACCGTCAGTAAGGATGTATGTACCTGTGCCCAATCCAAAGAGGGCCAGTAGGGGCCAGTTCACTGTGGACAATGATGGGCAGTAGGAAAGAAAGCATTTGATTGGTGGACGAGCGTCAGGTGCGGCGATACCCCGAGGCTTCTCGAAACCTTCTTCGCGGCCATTGGCTTGATGTAATTCCACGCAGTAATCCTTCCGCCGCGCACTCCCATAGTGCCCCGAGAAGAGGGGAAATAATCCGCGACGAAGAGCTCTATTTACTGAGCACGTACATATGTACTGTAACATACTCACCGGGATCGAGTTATCAGATCACAAGGGCTGGTTTAGGAATTGATCGGAATCAGGCTGTCGTGATTTTGGTGGCTGTGGAAACGCGATAGATAGTACAATCTCCGAGTCCCCCATACCGTATGTAAGGTGTGCCATTGCAATGCTACGAAGTCAATACGCCAGCGCATGGATGGCGCGTTTGCATAGTGTACGTACGAGCCATAGCAACCACGACGAAAGGTCGAATTTCGCGGTCAGGGCAATCGGGGAATCACATCTGCTGTCTGCTTCTCCTTTGGCTAGTTACAGCCAATGACAGCGCTTAAAAGCCCGGAAAAGGAAAGCATCACCATAGAGATGTAGTCTAACCGGTGTCCCCGAACTGATCATATCCAGTGCCTTGGTACCATGCGCCTGCTATTAAGGGCATGGCTGCATCCAGCGCTCCCTTTTCTTCACCCTTCCCTCTCCGGCCTCCCCGTCTCTTTCGTTTTCTTTCTTTTAAGCCTAAGGTATGTTTTCCGTAGTTCCATGCTTTTTGTTTGCTGAGTCCGTTGCAGGCTCTTTGTATTTGGGCTGCCCGGCTGCGCCCCTGGACAACCTTCGCTTTTCACGCGACGCTTCCCCTCCTTTGACTCTCCAGCAGGCCCTGATCTCCGGCAGCAACAAACGAAATGTACTTCTCTTCATCCTTCTCCATCCTTGCCCTTATGGCGCCCGTCCTGGTCTCGGCGGCTCCCATGAGAATGAGCAGACGAGCGGCTAGTGCGACTGATCTCCTTGTATTGAGTGAGTTTTACCCCTCTTCCTTGGGTATACCGCAGCATGGAGAACTGACATGGTGTTGCTTCTAGAATTCGCCGACGTGTTGGAACAACTAGAGTCCCAATTCTATACCCAGGCGCTGTCAAAGTTCCAAGAGTCTGATTTTAACGCTGCTGGTTTCTCAGCAGCGCAAGTGCCCATCCAACAATTCTCCGTTATTGCCGGTGACGAGAAGACACACTCGACGGTACTCCAGGTGCGTTTTTAGCCACCCTGCCGTTGAGCGCAGGAGATTGACTCATCGGTCGGTCGCAATAGTCGCAAATCACCGACCTTGGCGACAAGCCCATCACGAACTGCAACTTTGACTTTTCGAGCGCATTGACCGATGTGAAGACCATGGCTGCTACCGCGCGTGTCGTCGAGAACGTCGGTGTCGCAGCGTACCTCGGTGCCGCGCACTTGGTGGACGATGCGAGCCTTCTGACCGCTGCAGGGAGTATCTTGACAACCGAAGCCCGCCACCAGACGATCCTCAACGTCCTCAGCGGCACCGGTACCGCCATTCCGAATGCATTCGATCTCGCATTCACCCCCTCTGAAGTGCTTGCCATCGCATCTCCGTTCATCTCTGGCTGTGATGTTGGCGTTGCGGGTTCGTGATCCTCGTTATCTGATACGCCGCATTCGCTGAGAAATGATAATCACAGCGAACCCCACATTGTCTGTGACGAACACAGGTGCTGTCACGACTGGCACGGCCTTGACGTTCAAATCTGATGCCATCCCCAGCGATACTAGCGTAGGATTATTCCCGAGTTCCCGGTGATGCATCTCCGCTAATCCACCCCATTACAGAAATTGAGCTGCCAGATGCTCACGGGTGACATGTCCTTCTCCGTCACGTTGCCCTTCGACAGCTGTGTCGTCCCGAGCGGTATCAACGGCCCCGTCGCCGTCTACATCACCAACGATACGCAGCCCCTGCTCGCCAACGTTGTTGAGCGCGCCACCGTGAATGTCGTCGCGGGCCCCACCATGGCCTTCATCGACACGACGCCGCAGATGCTCGGTCAGCTCGCAGTATCGTCTTCCTCTTCGGGCTCCGAGTCCGGGTCGTCCAACAGCTCCGAGTCCGGCTCATCAGAGTCGGCCACCGCGACCGCGTCGAGCGGCACGACGACGTCGACGATCACGCCCGAGCAGGCGAGCTCGATCATGGCCAGCGCCAGCGCCGCACAGGCGACCGCGTCCGCATCGGTTGGGGGCACCGCCGCCGCTGCCGCGGGCGTGTTGGACGAGACGCCTGGGAGCCGCAACAACTTCACTGGGCCTTCGCCGGACGGGCACACCTTCGTGAACGGGTACACCAACTGATCGGTTGGACCTGTCGTTTACTTTCGCAGAGAGGCGCCACCCTGTGTACGTATACGGACGCTCTCTCTCGGACTCTTCTCGCTGCTCTCGATGGACCTTTTAATGTACTCTGCCTTATTCCGCAAGGATGGACTGATGCATCGTCGCATTTCTTTTTGGCAAAGCCCGCCTATATCCTCGTACTTGGGCCGTATAATGTTCTTTGTCCTTGTTGCTGTCTTGGGGTTACCTGCTGCTAGTTAACGTTACGGAGAGTCGTGTTGTCTTTACTATAGCCTTAGCAAATTCGAGCTTGCTTGAATACCCATGGCCAGGCCGAGGTGAATAACAAATACAATTGCAAGTCTCGATACTCCGAGGGAGAAAACGGATCACTCGATGTCCGTGGGGTATCTTATCGAGAAGTACACAAGCCCAGAACGGCCAAAATTACTATCATTGGACCAGTAGTGAATAATTTGAACTGCTCACTGGTTAAGTCATCTTCCTCTGATTGTATGTACCCCAAAATTGGTGTGGATGGTTCAGATACCATTCTACACCCTCTGTAAATTTCTCAGATTTTTCCAGTGGGTGTAGAGGTTGTACGGCGTAAGGGGACGGGAAGTGAACAAGATGTCACATGTGTCACAATAGAGCTGTGGCGGGGCAGCAGTCACGCTCTGTCACGTTTAGACCTTGGACATGCAAGACAGTTTTAAATCCTGAGCGATGACCACTCCTCCGTTCCATATACAAACTTGGACATGGCATATGCAGATATCCATCATTACAGAAAAAAATTGCCGAAGGTATAGGGTAGCCACGAAGTCCCCAGTGCACAAAAGGGACGGGAAGTGAATAATTATTCACTACTGGTCCAATGATAGTACAGTGCTAGCAGTCCTAAAATACAATGCGCCAAGTCCGTAAGCACTAATAATATAGCAGGCATTCTTCAATCAATCATCGTCCTCGCTCTCGTCCGTTGATGAGTAGTCGTCGTCATCCAGGGGCGCCCCGCCCGCGAGCTGATTCAAGCTCATGGGCACTTTCGCAGGCGAGCCCGCCGCCTCCTCGAGCTCCGCTGCGAACGAGTCTAGGTCGTCGTCCTTATTCGACAGTACGTCATCTAGCTCGGCGGTCAGAAGGTCGTCGAACAACTCTTCAGCGTTCCCCTCGTCCTCTGCACCACCCTCCTCTTCAGCAGGGGCCGGTGGGGGGACGGGTGTAGCGGATACCGGCTCCCAATCATCGTCGTTATCTTCTTCAGAGTCCGAGTACTCTGGCATAACACTAGAGGTGACGGGAGCAGGCGGTGCTGAGGGTAAGGAGGGGGCTGTGGAAGGAGAGGGCAGTGCCAAGGAAATCGGAGCAGGAGCAGATTTGGAGGTGGGAAGGGCGAGCCCTTCCGTGGGTGATGCCTTAGCCCGCTTCGTGGGCCGGGCGGGCACACCGAATTCGAGAACCTCTTCTTCGAGATCGTTGGTCCGAGATGGAGCAGAGTCAACGGGATGTTCTCGCTTGCCCTTGCCTTTAGCAGGGCTGGGCGTCGGTTTGGAGGGTGCGTGAGATGCGGTGGGAGCAGGCGGAGTGGGATTGGATAAGGCGGGCTTTGGCTCTGGTGGTCTGGAAGCGGGGGGTTTCGACGGCGGGGGTTTGGAAGCAGTAGATTTGGCTGTGGAGGCCTTTGGCGCTGGCGGTTTGGAGGGAAGGAGTCTTCCTGAAGAGGGCTCGGATACAACGGGTTTCTTCGGTGGGGGTGGAACACCCTTCCGAGGGGGATCGCTCAGTAGAGCGGACAGGGGAATCTCCCCTTCCTCCTCTTCCTCTTCTTCTTCCTTCCTGGGCGGTGGTTTCGAGGCGCTGGCTTCTACCGCAGCTGAGATGACCTTCTCTATGTCGTCCTCGACCTCACCGTCCGCATCGACATCTGTGCCGAGCAGTTCTCGCTCTATTTCTTCGTCAAGGCTCGATATCTGAACAGGCTCCTTGGAGGTAGAGGCTTGCGAAGGCGTGCTGGCCGCAGCTTGAGAGCGTAAATTATCAGTATCAAGGCAAGGGGGCAGGTATTGCGGCTCACGAGAAGCGTTCGAGCGTCCGGCTGAGCCTGTAAGACGTCGTTCGTACTGTAATGTAATATTTGTATCCAGCTTTTCCAACGTCCAGCTCTACATCAACTGTGAGATCCCGCAACACGAGTATATCCGCCCTTGAACATACGTTTTGATCTTCATCATATATGAGAACACAATCCCATTCCTGTGCCGGCTCTTCGGACCCTTGGAACAGATGATTATCGCCTGCCTACCACGACGGTTCAGTATGCACTACAGTGACCAGTACCAATCGTTCTCACTTGTGTACTAGCACGCTCAACGGAGACGCTAGCGCCTTTATTTCCCTTCTTGGTTTCGATAGTGCCGGGCGCCATCGGGTCTACCGACGCGGGCTTGAAGTTGTCTTGAAATAAGCAGCAGACTATGAAACAGTCGTACTGTAGGAAAGATGCAACGCCACTTACATCGCATAAGATGGAAGTTCCGACCAGGGGTCTTCCTCGGAGGATTACTCTCTCCCCTCTTAGCTCTCAGCCAGCGTCCCAGAGATGGGCCGACTTTTACTTCAGCTTGGCCTTGTGGAGGGAGCCAGGACACGTCCATATTGCCAGATATTCCAGTTGAATGCTGCGATGGTGGTGGTGGTAGAAGTGCAAGTGGAATAAGGACAATGGCGGCGGTGAAACGGGTCCGGTACTGAACAAGGCCAAAGCGCTTGTGGCCATCCGCCACCTCCGTCGCGATCAGCATAAGTGGCCGGCGCTCTATTTTTAGATCAGCAACGCTGTCTTGCCACATTTGGAGTGATTCGAATGCTTTTGGCCGGTGGTTATACCTTCGATAAAAGGTCTCAGAGGAAGATTATGACTCGCGCAAGGATCGAAGGGGAGAATTCAATTTCATATTATTACTTCTACAGGTTTGTACATATTACCACAATAAAATGGAACGGGGTTAATATTGTAAGAATAAAGATGCACACCAAGGACAAGACAACGCAGACATTGCAAAGAGTATATCCCCATATTTCTGATGATGAAAGCCAAAAAATCCTCTGCAGACGTAGGCAGTTTAGAACGAAGAGAAGAAAGGGTCAGAGAACACTTGCCCCGAAGACTGCAGTGTAGGATCAAAGTCGCCGAACACCGATACACCCGAGTTATACAAGCCCATGTTCATCTCGAAGGCATCGTTCGAGAAGGCATTGGAAGCTACGACCGGGTGGACGGGCAGAGCGGCATGGTGTGCTGTAGCTTGAGGGGCGTACATCGAGGGAGGGGGGTAGACATGGCCGGGGAAATGTGAGAACTGCGGGGACTGCAGTCCGGAGTCGTCTGGAGAGACTAGGAAGGAACGCCGCGTTGTCTGCCTATTCCTGCGAGGACGCTCTTGCTCTTCCAGTTGTCTTCTAGCCAAATCCTGGGCATGCCTGCGCTCATGCTTGTCCCTCGAGCTCCGGTCGTTAAAAAGTCTGTCGCAAAAGTTGCAAGGATATCTGTATACACCGGAACTAGAACAATGTTTAAGACGCGTCAGGACAAAAGGAGCACATGAACTCACTGTACGCGCTCGAAGTGACCGTTAAGGTTGCTTTTCTGTCCGGTCTTACTTTGGCAACCGGGCACATGGCAACGATAAAATCTGGATGGGACGAAAATTATCAACAAGAGAATCCAGACGTCCCCCAAAAATTATTCACTGTCTCTCTGAGTCCGGCTTATGCGTCTCCTGGTGACGCTTGAGGTCGTAAGACCGGTCGGTGGTGTAGTCGCAGTCAGGACACTTGCGCTTCTTCTGTATAACACTGCCAGAAGGTCTGGGGCTCTGCCGGAGGAGCGTAAGAAACACCCAGCGGGAAGGGGGTGGAGCGACACGTACAGCAATAGTACCAGTCAGTCTCGGCATGATCGCTCAAGCGTGCAAGCTGCTCAGGGAGGGGGACAGCGGGGGACGGGCTCGATAGAATCCTTTCCAGCGGATGACACTGGTTCCCCATCGTCGTTGTGGGTCCCCATTTTAATGGGTCCTGTGGGTGCGCTTTGGGTTGACGCTTAGGCGTTACACTTTGCGCTTTGGCAGACGCTTCGACCGACGTTGTGGCAGTCAAGCGCAGACGGACCGTGGGGAACGCGAAATTACCGCGTATGGGCAACGCGCCACTGGGAAAGCAGCAAATATTACCGCACAAGGAGAAAGCCGACGCTTTATGCGCTTGGACGTGTCCAAGTAAGGCAAACACGTTTTGATGTCGCGACTTCTTCAGAGGAGGCTTCCCAGATTACTATACATAGTAATTTTCCTAGTGAAGCAGCAGCTTCCGGCCACCCAGAGGGAGATCGCCAAAGTACACGTCCAGATTCGTACTATGGCACTGGAACTTGACAACACGGGCCGAAAACGAGAGTTCACGAGGTTCAGGCTGGACGAACGCCTCCATTAATATTGGCATCTATTAGGATTGGTTGGTGACCACCTTGTCGTTCAAGCATTGAAGGCGGAACGTCGGTGGCATAGGTAAGGATGTCCGTTAGATATGACCTGCTAACGGAATATTTCTAGTAGTCCGGCTGGCACATGGAAGGGGCATTTTTGAGCGGATAATAGGAGCCCCCTTGACAACGAAGAAGAGGAGGTAAGGCTCGGAGCTGCATGGGCCCGCCAGATACGATAATGCACAGATCCTTAGTTAGAGTATGAGACGTCGCAGCGACTCCCAGCGATACGAGGGTATCGATATCGAGGATGAGGCACAGCGCGTCGCAGCAGCCCGTGGCCGTCGGACCGGTGGCGTAGCACGCTTGCAGTCAGAGTACGGTAGTAACTTGACTCGCTACCTCCTTTTCAACAAGGGGACGGTGCCTTCTCAGATCGTCTCCCACCTGAGTATAATGCCTAATTCTACGGAAGAACTCATTTTCGAAGTGCACGAAGTTTATGCCTCGCTGAACTTCAAGCCCCCGCCCACACAATTCACCATTCTGGCTGCATTCGTCCTGACCAGTGGTCTCCTCTCGTCACCCTTCCGGAAAGTGATATCCATTGGTACTGGGTCGAAATGTCTTCCCGCCACAAAGCTGCCGGAAAGGGGGGACGCACTGCACGATAGCCATGCTGAAGTCCTCGCCCGGAGAGGCGCGGTCAGATGGTTCCTCGAAGAAATACAGAGAAGCACAGGTTGTTCTAGTCCGTGGATACACAAACACCCAGCTGCACAAGAAAAATATTCCCTTCGAGAGGGCATCGAAGTGACTATGTACGTTTCGACGGTCCCATGTGAGGAACATCAGCCAGGACATGTCTCTTCTTTCCCTGAAGAATGCATATGAAGGTGGGGACGCCTCAACGCGCTATCTGGCATCCTTCCAAGACCCTGCGATGGCAGGTCTGAAAGACTCGACCGTCTGGCCAACACTACCGGCTACTGTAGCTTCGAGGGGCCGGGACAACTACTCTCTCTACGGAGTCCTACGCACCAAGCCGGGGCGCGCGGATTCGCCACCGACTCTGTGCATGTCTTGCAGCGACAAGGTCGCGCGATGGAATGTCCTCGGGATCCAAGGCGCCCTCATGGCCGATCTCATGAGGCCCGTGTATATCAATCGCATCCTGATTGGCGAAGTACCATCTGAAATGCACGAGATAGTCCAGGCGGATTGTGAAAGGGCTTTCTACGGAAGGCTCGACAGCCTAGAAGGTGACGCCACTTATGTCTCTGCATTATCGTGATACGAGAGTGTGTCCCAGATATGCCTGCTTCCTATGCATTGCATAGACCTTCGGTGGTCTTCACCGATAGACCTTTCATCCACTCCCGTTTATCTTTGATTTCGGCAGGGACTCCAAGTTCATGTAACGAATGTAGGTGCCATTGCTCTCCAGAATACTATCATGTCTTACCCATATCTTAGCATTATGTTGGATAGCAGACTCCTCACAACCCAAAGAGGTACTGATCAACGGCTTGAGGAGGGGTGTGCCTCCCAAGCATCGTTACAAGGAGAAATACAGGTAAGCCTCCGTGTCGACCAAAGATTTCACGTTTATCGGTACAGGGTAGGCCGTTACTCTCCAAGATATCCCTCTTCAACGTTTACCTTCAAACGCGACAGAAAGCGGGCCTCCCGACGACGTAAGCACATCCCCATGGTAGCTACACGCCAAACTAACTCACCCTAACCCAGGCCATATCCAACCTATTTCGCTGTCAAGCGAGCGGTGACGGAATATCAAGCCGCAAAGGACAGATTGTTGGGAAAGGGAGCACCCTTCGAAGGATGGGTAAGCAGTGGCGAATTCTGGGAAAGCTTCGACTCAAGCGGCGAGATCACACGTCCAATTGACGACGGAAGCTATGGAGGCACGGTATCATGAGTCTGGAATCGAATACAGAGATACAAGTAGTCGTCATAATACATGCGTACTTAAGATATCTATCTACTAGGTCAGGCAACGGGCCTCGTCGTAAAATCCACCTTTGAGAGCTAGTACCACAAACCGCGATAAAATAACATAGGGATGTGCGTCTGGCCGTGTATGATGGGAATATAAGACAGATAGAATATACTTACGTGATATGCGGAGTCATATAGCCGAGGAGACAGACAACAAACGAGAAACAGGGTAAACAAGCTGAGAACGGGGTCGTAAACAAGTCGTGACACAGGGAATACAGTCTTCTTCGGCATGCGGTGGGTTTGGGTCATCCATTCATCGGTCCTTCTTTTTCTCCTGGACCATAACGCCGTCGTGTAAATCGGGCGTAGACTGCGACTCGCCGTTGCCGTTCAGGCCAACTCCGATTAGGGTGGACGTAACGGGGGTCATCTCCCGAGGACGAAGCTTCGGTGAGCTAGCTTCGGATTCAAGGTCGTCATGGTCCAGCCCATTCGTAGGACTTGATCGACCCGATCGACTCTGAGCCTCTGCAAGCTCTTTCCTGAGGGCTTCGAGTTCACGTTCGAATCTGCGGGGGTAAAGGCCGACGTGAGATATGGCAGAGCACACTGAGGATCAATACGTACTTGCGACCGAATACCTCAATGTAGAATCCTCCACCATTCCACACACTGACTGCAAAGATGAACAACAGGAAGATATTGCTCCACCTTGGGCTATCATATAGCAGGAATACGGCAGGGAGCTCGGTTAAGACGGCATACACTACGCACAGGTCTCAGATGAAGATCAATCCGTACAAAGTGGCGCCCGCACTTACCCAGCTGACCAAACATGAACGCAGCCTCCCGATACTGCGGCTGTATTTTCGAGAGTGCGCGTCCAATGACGCCTCGCTTGTCGTTCAGGAGGAAGGAGAAAGAAGTCGTGCGTTGACCAGATTCGATCTTCTTTCTACGGTCAATCAGGACAAACTAGGAGAAATAAAAGATTTATTTGAAACCTTGGACAGGTGGTCAGATAACCGCGTACCTTCCAATATAGCAGTTGCCAGATGACATCTGATAAGTATGAGCAATGATGCTTTTCATATGAGCAAACTGCTGTACTCACAGATTAAGCCACTGAGGAAAAGAGCTTTGGCAGGTTGCAGATGTGGCAGCTCTTTGAGAGCTGGGAATCGCGCTTCGGCATTCGGATAGAAATGTCTGCAGAAGAGGCGAGTCAGGCAGGCGTAGAGCCGGAGAAAACATAGTAGCTCACCGAATGACAGTAAATGTGAAAGGCGCATAGATATGTATAAAAAGTGACGTGACTTTGTCGGAGTCGTGGAACACAAGACTATTCCTCCAAGTGATTACTGCACTGGCCAGGGAGCCGTGGCTGAGGCAATAACAAGCCGTAAACAACGATGGACTTGATGGGAACACCCAAATGTAGAGGAAGTTGAGGATAGTCGAATAGTAACAAAGGTCGAAGAGGAAGTAATGCCACGCGCGTTTCTTGTACCTGTAGGCACGTAAAGGAAGCAGATAGAGGGCTTGCAGTGTATAGGATATATGGACCCATCTGTATGATATTCAGACACGCAGTACAGAGCGCGTCAGATGACAAGGAACACTTACTCGGGTGCCATCCCATACAACAATGCCGACGCAAGAAGGGAATGCACGCCAAAGAAGAACGATATCTTCTCCCGCGTCCGGACCACTTTGGCAGATTGCCAAGCAGCTGCCAGAGACGTCATACGCGTCTGAATCTATGGCAACATGTTAAAAAATATACAGCATGATACCAGACTGCCACACACCTTGAGCTTGAACTTGCCTACTTCCCGCTCAAAGTCCTTAGACAACGCGTCACCAGAAGGAGACCTAATCTTGAAGTCTCCAAGTCGGAACGCCTCCTCCGCCTTCATCTTCAGTTTGTCGGTCTGTTTCGATAGCCTCCGCTGCAATAAGTCGATTCGGGAGTCGAAGAATGTCTCCATAGTATCTTCACTCGGCTAAGTAACATCATCCGAAACAAACGAACCGTCATACTCACCTAGCAGAGTAAATGCACTAGCCCAATCCGACGCCTCATCGCGAACAAAGCGCTCGAAAGGTAAGGAGAAGAATCCCATTCCACTGCTCGGCGTATCGGTTCGCGAAAGTGGCGGAGGGCTCGGTGGCCGCGAATTCGCATCGTCCGGCGCGTCAATCGCCATTGTAGGGTGCGCAAAGCGTTCTCGACAAAGGAAAAGCGCAGTTCAGCCAGCCACGTCGCAGGATTTGCAGGATGCCAGCAGGTCGGAGAGTGCAAGGCCAATCTGGAATGTGGGGATCGCAACGAGTCTCGTGGCTTACGTCATCGCGCTGCGACTATGAAAACACGTGCGTAACGCGGCCATTGTGCCCAGAATGATCGTTCTCTGCTCGGAGTCTCGGACAGCACTGGCACACAGGCTTGTCATGGTGTACCCTGCAGCGCCGCAGTGTTGTCTAAAGCCTCGACGTTACGCGCTGATGCAAGAGATGCACCAGTCTAACCGGTCAACCAAACCCTATCAGTACTTAAGAAGAGACAAGCGGAACGAGGCGAAAAGGTAGTTCATAAGTAGGACAAACTAGTACGGGTGGCGCCGACTTGCAGTGAACTTCTGCGATGATATATTCCTGGGGCCTTCTAGAGGTCATTGTGGATGGCTTATATTTACTGGGATCTACTCGATATGCTGCAGAATGTTGAAGAAAACGGCGATGTGCATGTACAAGAAGACCGAAGCCGTTCCGTCAGGTCCATGATCCCTTTCCAGGCTGTCGCGACATGCGAGTTAAATAATACAGCGCACTTACGATGAAGAGGTGCGTGGACCTCGACCATGTTTTTCTCTGTCTACTGACTGTCTTATTCATAGTACTAAGGGGCGGCGAACATGGACGGTGAATATATACTCAGCGTAGTGACGACGCCATACGCTTACCGGTATGTAAGATCTGCTATAAACGGGGCATGCGCTCTCGGGAAACTACAAATAGAGACTTTAAATCTACGGTAGCCCCACCTGACATCTTGGGCTTTTACAGGGATACCTCCGACGGCACCCCTTCACATTGAGTGCATTGGTCGTACAATGTATGCAATGCGAAGGACATTTGCTGGAAAATATGACCGGAACGGAGAGACAGCAGGGCTTAAGCTTGTCTCGCGGACAGGATCTGACCACACTCCTAGTAACGTGGTGGACGATTCTACTGTAATCATTGCGGGATGGTATACTGGCAAGTTTTTCTTCGTCGATCACTCTATGCTGGTCAAAGTGTTCATCGCCGTCTTTCTTGATGTGAGGAAACAAGCTTAAGGGGTTCCGGTGAACGCCGCGATATTCTACACAAAAAATGTACGAGAGACGTTGGATCCATAGATCACATGAAAAGGGGCACTCTCTTGCCCACAGTGAAAACGACAGCTGATTATTCCTCTCTATCCCGTAGTTCATATTATGTCGAAGAACTTCCACAGGTTAGATTGAAACTCCGGGCATTCACACATAACCCATGCCAGCATCCGAAGTCGACAACTCCCTTCCCACTCGCCTACAAGCCGGACGCTCCGCGCTAGCATGCCTTACTGTACACGATCGTTCCATCGCACCCACTTCCCGAATCTCGAACCTACCGAAGTCCAGTCCGACGACATGCGTGTCATAACATATACATAACATCCGCCGGCCCTGCGCAGCGTACCTCCGCTCGCGCTTCTCCATCCAGACCCGGTTCGCGACAGATCTCATAATTCCACGCTCAATACATTCCCCCAATCTGCCCTCCACGGGGCAATCATGGGGTCGCGCTATACATACGGCACCTCCGGTCCCCCAGCGCGGGCAGGCCCAGGTGCGTGTATAAGCTGCGAACTCTATCTACGTCCGGAAGGAAGCCGAGAGCGAACAGCAAACAGCCGAGTGCTTCTTTGCGTGGGTGCATCAGTCCGAGTGAGCGGGATAGCCATCTATGCATCGCTGGTGGCGTGGAGCGTGGCTTTTCATATCACACTGCGAGGGACCTGAGTGGGAACCAGTCAGAGGGTAATACACCCTGTGCGTGCTGCGTCCCAGGCTGTCCTCTTCGTATGACCAGTCGCCGCGGCAGCACCGAGAATCCTGGCCGGCGCTCGCAGCGACCGCGTCCAGCTTGCCTCTGCTCGCAGATGACAGAGGATATAGGGCAAATAAATACGCAATACACCTTCACCGCGTAGTGTAGTGGTCACGGCGGTACCGCCCTAACCCCTTTCTTGGTCCCCGTGCCACCTTGATATTTTGGACGACATAGTAGGGACAAAGAGGTATCAGTGCGAACAGCACCATTGGTCGGCCGTCGCGTTCATCAGCGGCAGATGGGTAGGCGGCCAAGCAACACCCGCCGCTCGATACACCCCAGGTGCGCGTCGGGCTGGCTCGACCGGCGGACGAGTCGGCCACGGGTCGCGCCGCTACGCAAAGACTTGGAATGTATGTATGCGCCCCGCAGCGCTCGCGCTACCCAACTACACGATATGGTGCGGCACCGTAGCGCAAAGTTAGGTGTCCAGAGACCCAGAGGACTCGGAGCGGGGGTTTGACCTGTGTGCACGTCGGCGCGTACCCGCGTGAGGGGTGAGCAGGACGGGCAGGCACGTGGGGAGCAGAGTCGAGCGCTTGCGAACTTTAGGACTCGGAGGGCACGCTTGCCGGGCAGCCAGTCAGTGCCATTTGTACTGTCCAGAGCCGAGAGATGTGCATGATCGATGACCATCGATAGCGCTCGGAGACGAGGACCGAGATTGACGTGACGAGAGCCTGCGTCGTGTCCTGGGCCGACGATGGACGGGGTCCATCATTTATACCGTTACGTCGAGACGCCGAAGATGACCACGCTGGGACGATAAGTGAGCTGATCGCTGCACAGGAAGATGAACGAAGAGTGGCAGTCTTCTCGTACTTCCAAACCGACTGCGGTGCCTGGTCTGGACGGCGGGAGAAGACTGGGTCAGTGTACATACGCTGGCAGTGCAGTGGTCTGTAAAGATAGCCCGGCCCTACCTCCGGGATGACTGGCGCCCAGCCCATACAAGCAATGACAGCTGGCCCTTGGTGCCATCGAGCAAGAGAATCCGCGCGGGCTTTGAGCGCAGGTTGGTCGATCCCAGCAGACGCGTGTTGTGGGGGAGTTGAGACCTATGTATATCAGATATATGAAGCGATACCCGAACCCGTACGTTCCACCGAAGAGCGAGTCGAGAAATGCAATCCGACGTTTGAACCGTGCGCCGTCATCTGCACACAACGAGGCGCTCCCCTTCGATTCCCGTACCAGCCCGCCAGCCTGTGCCTGTCGAGACAGGAAAGATCTGTCCATGCCTTTCGCACTTTGCGTAGGAGCGCAGTGCGCTTCGAACGAAGACGCCGCCCGGCTTCGGGGATTAGAGAGAGTTCTCGGCTGGTTTCGAGATTCGAGCAGCAAGGCAGGTCAGCAGGTCGATGGAATATGCCAATGGGTTAACATGGGTGTCCGGTACGAGGTATGGGCCGGCTGATTTGGAGGCGATACCGCAGGACACAGCTGCACCTTCGACCTGCCTGCTCGAACCGGTCAGGGATCTGGAGCGCGAGCTTCGAAGCGATCTCGGGAGGAGCTGGAGAGAGAAGGAGGACGGGGAATGCCAAACCTCCCGCCAACGGATTGTCGAATAGGACTGCGCAGCGCCCCAAAGATCTGGAGAACATCAGCTCCGAGTGCACGTTCTGCGAGTGTTCTCTCTTCACCGAAGATGTGCGTGGAAGGAAGGGTCCCTAGGAAGCGCTACCACGCGTCATGTCCGGAGATTCGATGAGCATCCAGGTGGCGGTTGTATGAGTGTCTTCGTACGCGAGACGAGTCAGCAGACAATATCGACGAAGGACGCATTTTGGCAGAGGCGAGGGTACCACAGGCCCCGCGGTCTGGATATGCAATTGGATGCAATCTATACTGTGCCTGTGGACATCTGCGCACTCGTGTAGGTAGCACATCCCGAATCCCGAATGATAATCACCGGAGCACGTCCCGAGATCCAGTAAGCTTTCGGAATCAGAGAATCGCTATGTGATCTTGATGCCTGTAAAAGGAGGACCATGGCAGATCGACCGCGGTACGACTTTCCGCTGTTGAACGCCGAACGGTCATGTTTTTAACAGCGGGAAATAGTGACGGTGAATTAGAGAATAGACAGGCAGTACATAGCCACCGGGCGTATGACCGACCTCGCAGATTAGAGTGGAAGCTAAAACGCCAGCGACCCCCGTTCACGCCAGAGCCACGTTTTCTGCATCGCATGCTCTAGGCCGGGCGAGGAAGAGAAGGGAGGTGGTTAATGTCGGGTTCGGCACGCGAGCCTATTCGCCTGATTCGCTATGAGGTAGTGATGATGAGAATGGAAGAACCGGGGTGCGGCGCGGATGGACGTACGAGGGTTAATCGGAGGAATGTAGTGGGGATTGAGGAGGAAGGCTAGAGAGAGTTTGGGCGTGCAGGATTGGTAATTGGGCAGCGGGATGAAGGGTGATAATCAGGAAACGTATTAGAACACGCAGGGGAGACTACCCATGTATGGCATTGCTACGCAGACATGGACTACGTCTGTATTGGCCCGGATGAGGCTAAATATAGGAAGCCACGCCGGCAGGGATGAATTCGATCCGCGACTCTGAAGGCCCAGACAAGTGGAGCAGCTGAGGGCGAGGGCGGATGGGATGCAGCATGCAGGAGGACTCGAACTGTGAGGAAGATGCAAGGCGGCGTCATCCGCAATGATGGCGGGCCGACGCTGCCCGACGCTGGTTCACAACCGTTCGCCGTCGTGACAAAGGCTGGGGACGACTGCAACGTGTGTGGTCGAAGCCGGCGGCTGTGGAGCGGGCTGACAGGGCCCAGGCACTGATGGGACGGCGGTTGAAACTCCGCGGGTATATAAGATGTACGTCAGAGTTCGTCATTGGACGCCGCGACTGCTCGCCCCTCGCCGTCGTCATTCTTCCCGCAACGACCTGACGCAAAGCAGACACTGACAACATCCAGCGCAAAGGCTATGTCCTCGCCCGTCCAAGCATCCCCTCCGCTCCGCCCCACCTCTGCTTCCCCCGAGGACAAGAAGGACTTTAATCCAAAGCCCCCCGTCCGCCCCCCTCCCCGCCCGCGCGCCTTCGATCTTGAGCCAAACCCCTTCGAACAGTCCTTTTCCGCCTCCTCCCACCACTCGACCACCTCCATCCGCTCCGATCTCTCCCGCGCCCGCGACTCTCTTGGGCCCCCCACCGACTCGTCCACCGCCGACGACCGCAACGCCAGTGCCAACCCCGACCGCCCCAGCTCCAGCGCGGACAATGCCGCCAGCAACGCCGGCGAAAAAGCCACGACCCCGCCCAAGCCCGTCCTCCCGCCCCTAGCCGCCATCTCCTCGCCCTCCGACCCGTCCTCCTACTCCTGGTACTCGTCCAGCTTCTCAAACTCCCTCCGCTCCGGTCCCCTGTCCCCCGCCATGCTCGCCGGCCCGCAGACCAACCCCCCCAACACCACCGCACCCGCCTTTGACCCCGCCTCCTTCCGCACCGGCCTCACCCCTCGCACCGGCCTCACCCCCCGCACCGGCCTCACCCCCGCCGGCACCGGCCTCACTCCGCTCATGGCCGGCCCCGTCAGCTTCCCCCCGCCCAGCCCCGGCACCGCCGCCTTCCTCGCCATGATGGGCGGCGGTGGAGCCCCCGGTGGCGGCGTCGCTCCCCCGGGTCCCACGATCACGCCCAACACCCTCACTGCCATCACCGGCGCCCTCGGCCCCACCAACGGCTCCCAGAACGGCGCTGCCCCCAGCTCCAACCCCTCCGCCAGCCCTACGCAGACTCATACGTCACCGACCTCTGCTCATAATCCCCATCCACTGTCGATCAGCCACATTCCGCAGCAGTACACGATGCAGCATATCCCGTCCCATCAACAGGCCGCACAGCAGCAGCAGCAACAACAACAGCAGCAGGGCGGCGATTATGCCAATTCCGCCGTGAATGCTGCCAATACCGCCGCGAATGGACTCTTCCTCCTCAGCCAGGCGCATCAGGAGCTGACTAAGCGCGAGGAGATGCAGCGGCAGCAAGAGGGCACGCCCGTCAACGGCAAGCGCGGGACAAAGAGAAAATCGTACGACGCGGGCTCCCATCAACAGGGCTCGCCCACGCCCACGCCGCAGCAGCCCCAGCAGCAATCGCAACAGCACAAAGCCCAGACGAAGCGCACGCGGAGCAACACCGGCGCGAGCGGCCGGAGTAAGAGCAACCGCGCGGAGAGTGTGGGGACCGACTTTGACGAGGACGACGAGGACGATGAGATGGGCGGGTCGCAGCAGGGCCAGAATGGGCAGAGCGGTGGGGGGCAGAACGGACGTGGGCAAAAGGTGCCCATGACCGAGGAGGAGAAGCGGCGGAACTTCCTCGAGCGCAACCGGCAAGGTACGTATCTCCCTTCCCCTCCCCCTCCGTCTCGACTCACCACCATCATGCAGCCGCGCTGAAATGCCGCCAGCGCAAGAAAGCGTGGCTCGCGCAGCTGCAGGCAAAGGTCGAGTTCCTCTCGAACGAGAACGAGCGGCTGACGAGCGCGCTGGTGAGCAGCCGCGAGGAGATCGCGCGCCTGAGCGCGCTCGTGGGCGCCGCGGGCGTCGCGCCCGTCGTCATCGGCGCGAACCCGCAGATGGCGGCGCAGCAGCCGGTCAGCGTGAACGTGAGCCTGCCGGGGCACGCGCATGCGCATGCGCATGGGATGCAGAGGATGAGTGTGAGCCCGCCCGGGACCGCGGGGGGGATGCATGGGAAGGGGTATGGGTATTAGGGGGGGTTGTTGCGATGGGTGTGGGTATACGTGATTTGTGATGGAGGGGACGCGCCCGGCGGAGGGATGCCCTTGCGACATATACACGGGCTGGGATCCCTCGGGCGGGGTATGCATACATATCCCTGCCCGCCGGCGATGAGACGGGGTGGCCCGGGGGTTATGGACTATGGTAAAATGTAAGGTATTGAGCAGATGTGTCACTAGGTCCGCTGTGTTGTGCTGCATAGTCTGAGTCTCAGTCTCGGTTTTTGATTTGTTGATTATGAGTCTACTTGGTGGTATTTTATGCAGTGGGATAAGTAGGTTATGATATGTGAATGAATGAATGAATATGAATATCGATCGTACGTGCAGGCGCGGAGGGGAGGGTGACGGAAGGTGGGGGTGAGAGTAGGAGATGAGGAGCAAACTGAGCGCTGTGCGACAGTGAAGCTGTAGCTGCCTCGAATAGCGAGGCCGGCGCGGGCGAGGTTAACGTCATGGTCAGGAGAGACAGGGATTCGGCGAGTTCGTTCGGTATAGAGGATGGATGGGGCGTGCCTAGGTGGCAGAGACCGTAGGTTGAGCAATTTGAAAATTTAAGGGGACGGGACGCGGCGTCTCTCTCAGGCTCGTGTTGAGCGCACATAAGTACAGTATGTACTTATGCGCGGGACCGGCTCTGGGAGTGCGAGATGATGCGGGACTCGGGCGAAGAAGAAGCCCCCGCCTGAGGCTTCACGCTGGACGCCGGGCGACGACGGACACCGAGCGCTGGGTAGCCAAGGTAGTACGAGTCGCGTCGACTTCCTTCGGCCACGGTGGACGTGACTGGGCTGGGGTGAGTCGGTGCAGCGACACCTGAAAGCCAAGCCGGGGTGGGAGCTGTGAGGAGATGGGGGCCGAGGCGAAGATTAGATGACGCTAGAGTGGCGGCCTCGGGAAGCCTCGGCTTGAGGCGTCACGCTGGTCGAGAGGATTACCACCGGGACGCCGAGCGGTGTAGAAGGTGTGGTTGGGGGATATCGATAGGCAGCAAGATGCCTTGATTAGTTATGCCGAGCTCCGTGGTGTAGCCCGGCTAGTACGCGACTCGCGTTAACGAATACCTCAGCCCACACAAGCGGCGGTGAACGGCGAATAGAGCCTGCGACTTGTCGCTCTTCGAAGTTTGATGAGACGTACCTAGGAAACGTAGATGGGACGTGACGTCGGGACCCTGAACGCAAAACTGGGTAACATGGGTACCTGGAGCTCACTATAATGGGAGGCTCGAGCGGCCGAGACAAAGATTAGACGGCGCGCTAGAGTGACGGCCCTGTAGATATCCAGTAGCCACTGGCTGGGGGTCCTGGAAATCTGCAGGGCCGTCACGGGGACGCAGAGGGATGGCCAGTGGTGAGAAGAGGACCTGGCCTAGGGCGATGAGCTTGATGACTGGATTTCCTTCGTGAGCTGGGATGGGCTTGAGCAGGGCCGGCCTGGAAGCGCAAGGTAGGCGCTCTCGTCGAGGCCCTGGGTGGCACAGGGTCTCGCGTCAGAGCAAGCCCGTAAGCCCGGGGCACAAAATGGAGTGGATAGAGGGTAGAGCCTAGCACTGTTCGTTGCACAGACACGTCTCAAGATAGTAGCAGGGCCGACAGTGTGGAGAGGAACGTCGGAGGGTGACGGAATTGAACACTGTGGATAGCGTTGAGAAAACAGACGGCGTGTATTCACAGAAGGGTTGGCTTGAATTCGGGTAAACCGATACCAGCAATGGCCGCGTTGGGAGAGATCCATATCGTTCTTTCTGGCGGTTGACTTCTAAGTTGTTGATTGAGGGAAGAGGCGGTCAGAATCTTTTCCAGTTAACTTGCTCACGGGTCTCAGAAATATGTGAGGTAGCCCTCAGCTTGTAGGTCACGGTGCTGGCACGCTTGAGGGAGAGAGGACGGGCTGGTTTGATATCGTTATGTCTTTTGTTATATAGTCGTTCAAGGCAGGAAAAAAGTGCTGCAGATAGCAAAGAGACAATGAGACTCGGAGACTGTGTTGCTATGAATCCGTGGATTTCGATGAACACAGGTCGGAGGGAGGGAGACGTTCGACTTTTCCAGCCACCGACCGCCAACGCGGGCTAGAGACGCGCGTGGGTAACACGTGAGTGGACTTGCCTAATTCGATCACAACACCGTCCAACAAAGCGAGACGCCACACGTTCCTCCACCCTGCTTTCTACTTTCTGCGCGACGACAGACAGCTGGTGATGGATGTGGTCACCGGCATCCGAGACAACCTGAAGAACTGGCGGACGGGCGGCGAAGCAGAATGGTGGGTACCCGACGTTCTTGGGCTGCAGTCGACGGTATTGACCCGCTGGCGATTTCGCCACCCGTCGCTCCTTCCAGTCGCAATACCCTCATTCACCCGCACAGTACCCCGACGGACCCGAGCTCTGCGGACCTACTTCTGACGGCGTACCACACACTCGTCAGCGCGACGCTCCCAAGCTTTTCGCCGCAGCCCGCGCTGACCCCGGGGGAGCTCGCGGCATTTGTGGAGGGCCTGCTGCAGAGCCTGCCGTCGTCTTCGAGCTCGTCAGAGAAGAGCGCACAGGCGGTAACGTTTGGAGAGCTGCTGGTTGATTTGCTTTGGACGGTCGACGCGGCGTGGAACGAGATTTCGCCTGAGAAGGACGAGAAGAGGAAGAAGGAGGAGGGCCAGGAGAAAGATGAGAACCAGGAACGGGAGGAGAGCCTGAGAAAGGATAGGGAGGCGCTTGCTGAGCTTGTCAAGGAGTTTTTGGTGCGTGTTTCTTGAATAGTGGTGACACGGGGATGTTGATCCAGGAGCGTGCCGGGGTAGGCTCGAGGCATCATCGACCCTCACTTGTGCAGAGAGAGATTGGATTCCAACACTCTTGAGAGAGCCGGTCTTGTCGTGAGCAAGGCTACCTTTAACACGAAGGAAGTCCGGGTGCGAACGGGGCTGTTGTATGTATCCTACCACTGTCTAGCTTCCTACATCTTCACGCGTCGGTTTCTCGCACAGCTACAAGCAGAACAAGTTCAACCTTCTCCGCGAGCAATCCGAAGGCTATAGCAAGCTGACCACGGAGCTCACCAGCAGTATCGGCCCTGCGCACTCACCCGCCACTGGCCGTCCCGTCGAGTCCTGGCAGGAGATCGCCGCTCGTGCACAACCCGTGTGGGAGCACGTTGTGAGTCTCATAGGTTACTTCGACCTTGACCCAAACCGCGCCCTGGATATCATCCTCGACGTGTTCTCGGTGCATATCGAGACGCATTACAGTTTCTTCTTGACTCTTTTGTCATTCTCTGCCTGGTCATGCGTAGAATGCAAGCCTCGGGAGGAGGATGCGAAGATGGACACAGATGGGGGTGACGGCGGTGGGCAGGAGGGGGCAAAGAAGGAGGAACCGGCGGAATCCGAATTCAAAGGCAAGTCGCTCGACGAGGTGCTAATGATCGCGGAGTCGAAGACACAGCCCATATTCGAACCCACCGCGGCTGCGAGTAGGCGGTCGAAATCGCGAGTGATGGCTCAGGTTTTGGGTTTCAAGTTTCGTTACTACCGAGTAGGTATGCCCTCCCTCTGCCCTATTCTCGGACTGACATTGTGTGAAGTCCCCCGGTGCTGAGGAACCTAAACGAAATCTCTACCTCATGGCTGCACTTCTCATTCGCGAAGGATTCATCACACTAGAGGAGTTGTATCCCCACGTACGCATTGCATATTCTGTCGAGAGGTTATTCTAACTCTCTGTCCATCACAGATTTGTCCTGAAAAGGAGGAAGAGGATGATATGGACAAGGCCTACAAGGAGTATCTCGCGTCTATTAACTCGAGGATAGACGCGGCGAAGCTCAGCCAGCTTGCTTTGGCGGCTCCCTTAGAGTCAAGCAACACGCCTTCGTCGAGCAAACCTCGTCCGGCGGCTCCCGCTGAGGCCAAAAAGGCTCCTGAGCCGAAATCGACGGCGGAGCAGAAAGCCCGACTTCTCGAAGCTCTTTTGGCTGTGGGAGCCCTCCGGCCTGCTCTCTCAATATTGTCCTCATATCCTTGGCTGGTGGACGCGCACACTGAGATCGCCGATCTCTTGATTCGTGTGCTCACGGAGAGCATCGAACCACTCCACAAGTCAATATCGAGGCAGCTGAACCCGAGCTTCCGTCAGTCTAGTATGCGGTATTCAAAAGAGGCAGGTCGAGTCGTACAACCTCCTCCTCGCACATTCAAGATCACCTTGTGGGCGCCTACACCCCCTCCCACCTATCAAACTGAGTTTGTATACTTCTTCCCGTATTGGACGGAGAGAGTCCCCGTCGCTCAAACCTTGGAAGACTTGGCTGATGTCGTGGAACCCTTGCTGGCGTTCGTTCGCGTTCACGTATCGCGTGATGCATCGTTTATGACCAAGATCGTACGCTTGGGTCGGCACCACATAGCAACCACGGTGAATACAACTGTTACTATGGGGCGGAATTTTGCAGCGTCTTACTCGAGATACCATGGCAGGTGGAAGTCGACCCGACGACGAAGAAGCCTATTGGCCAGCCGGACGGGGAACATCCCATTGTGAAGTTCTGGTTTAAGATTGCAAGACTCTACGTGCTGCCTGCATTGCCCCTTGTGCGCGGAAACGCAGTATTAGCCGTGGATGTTTGGACCCTCCTCAGGAACTTTGAAACGACGATGCGATGGCAGCTTTATGGGGAGTGGCGGACGAAGACATACGGATCACACCCAGAACTCCGGGTCCGTCGGGTCCAAGCAGATCGAGAGTCAAAAGCCATCCTACGTCGCCTTTCCCACAACACTATCGACACTTTGTCCGGGAATGTCGCCAAACTTGCACACTCTAATCCGTGCATTTTCTTTGCAAATGCTGTCAATCAGATCATGGCGTACGAAAATCTGGCGAACGTTGTTATTCAGGTGTTGCGATATGTGACCAATTTGGGCTTTGATGTCCTAGTATTCTTGATCCTGGATGCTTTTGCGAATCCCAACAAAGCTAGGGTCAAAGATGACGGAGTCAACACAGCCGATTGGTTGACAAGTACGTATTTCCCGTACATTGCTCTGTCCGCAATATAACCTGTCCCCAGGCCTCGCATCTTTTACAGGGATGCTTTTCCGTCGGTACAGCGCAGACCTGACTTCTCTGCTCAAGTATATCGTGAACCAGCTTTTCAATGGTGAGGTGACGGATACCATCGTCCTCCGGGAGTTGATATGGAGAATGGCTGGCATCGAGCCGTTGCCTAATTTGAATGAATCGCAAATAATCGCCATGGCCGGAGGACCGCTCCTTCGCATTGAAGCTGTAGCATCGACCACAAGAGGTGCTCGCCAGGATCCAGGAGACGCTGCGCTCAAAGGTCCTGTCAGGCTTGCAAGGGCCTTGCTGGACTCGGGTTTGGCTTTGCCGCTACTCATCCAAGTTGCGCAACTGCGACAGTCCTGCGTGTTCACTGGCAAAGACACGCACCTCAAGGCACTTGCGGGACTATTTGATGCGGTTAGTTGTTAGCGCTTCCCTACCGTTGTTTCCTAAAAATCTTCCTCTAGACGCATGGGGTGTTCCTGCAATACTTGGAACTCCTTTCGTCGCCGTCGGTGATCGAAGCCCATGAGTACGAGAAACTCATACCGGCACTCGCGGAACTTGCTCAGACATATGGCATTCGCGTTCCTGTCTGCATGCAGATCATTCGTCCTATCTTGCATAAGAAATTGCTAGTGCGTTGAACTTAACTGTATTGTTACCACCGGAGATCAACCAAGCATGACTGATACAGGCTGCTGCACTGGAGATGCAAGAGAAGGAGCAAGAGAAGGAACGACTGGCTAGTGAAGAGCAGGAAAGACGCCTGAAGGCTGCGCTCACTGCAAAACGTGAACCTACCTCTGCTACATCCAGGGTTGCTTCCCCTGCCGTTGGGGAAACAGCTGCGTCAGTGGACTCTCCGGAAGATGGGAAGCCCTCTGTCTCTGCTTCCAAATCTGACGATGCCACAATGGAGAATATGGATGTCGCGCCTGGGATGACTACTAATGAGGTATGAGCTCTTGCCCTTATACGGGTGCTTTGACTCAGAGTGGAATGTCAGCCCTGGATCCCCGAATTGCGCCTTCTTTTTGATGACGTTAGGAAGGTTCTCCCTAGGGAGGCAAGCCAGGTTATTGGGTACGTAGGCACACTCTATGATCTCGTACCAACACATTCATGTCTTTGTTAGTCCGGCGTTCTACCTCACGTTCTGGCAACTTTCTACGTATGACCTGTCCCCGCCAGGGATTAGATACGAGGAGGAAGTCAATACATTGAGATCGCTCGCGCGGCAGGAGGAAAATAAACAAAATGCCGCTCAACGGTCCTCAGACAAGGCAAGGAGGTCAATGCAAGGGTTACACAAGTCGAAGCATGAGCGTTACAACGACTTCGCTAACAAGTTGACTCAAGAATTGAAGGAGCAGACGGCTTCACGAGCGTTCACGCTCAAACGCCTTGCACGAGAAAAACAATATTGGTTCGCCCACAGTCCGTGAAACCTTTCCTGATCTGTTGGGAAACATACTCTAAAGTATTGAGCAGGTCGAACGGCTGGTGCCCTTGCTGCCGCATTCATCGAGTACTGTTTGTTGCCGAGGTGTCTCCTATCCCCGATGGACGCCGACTACTCTGCACAAATTATCAAGGTCATTCATAACATGGGCACGCCAGGATTTTCTACGCTCATGGTTTACGACAAGGTCAGTGGCGCATTTGTACCATGACTCAACCAAAGCATTGATCGCCGTCCCAGCTGCTTGGAGATCACGTTGGGGCAGTGCTTTTCTCGTGTAGCGAATATGAGGCAAGAAACTACGGTAAGGTTACCTGATATGGTGCATCCCAAGTCTAACATGTATATCGTAGGGCGGTTTCTGCTGGGACTCTTGACGGACACTTTGAAGTGGTATCAGGACGAGCAGTTGTTCAATCAGGAAAATCGTAGCAAAGCGGGCGGCAAGACAGTCTTACTCCCCGGCATGCAATACCGCTGGTCATATAAGGCCACTATCTCCCAAGACGATCTTATGAAATTCCCGGACTGGCAAAAGGTGGTGAAGAAATGGCATAGAAAGATAGGGAATGTAAGTTTCCACCTTTCGTGAGCATCGTTCCAAGCTCATTTATTTAACTCCAGTCGCTTCGCGCTTGTATTAAGACGGGCGAATTTATGCACGTATACAATGCTATCGTTGTACTGAAGGAGCTATTGCCTGTATTCCCTCTCGCTGCTGTAGTGCCGACGGCAGGACATGAGCTTGACAAGTGCATGCGAGAGTTCCTACAGAAGGAGGAGCGGGGTGACCTCAAGATTCTTGGACGGGCGTACGTACAATTTCGACGATTGTTGACATTCGCTTTTGCCGAAACTGAAGAGATTATAGGTACCACGCGAGTCTGCAAAAACGAGAGTCGTTATGGGCTGTACCGGAGCTTAAGGTACGCTGGTTGTCACGACAAGTCGTCATGCTTGCTAAATCACGCATACCTGTGTTTAGGACGCCCAGTCCACTTCGGCTTTGGCAAGACCTCCCGTCTCACAGACCGACCACACAAGGACGACTGGTCCACCCAATGGGGCCGAGGCCGGTGCGTCCAATGCCCGTGCTGGGGCACCACAGACAACAGCTCCTATTGCGCCACGCGCACAACTCGCGGGAGTAAATGGGGTGACGCATGGACCGGGAGATAAGTCAAACGCTGGATCGGGCTCTACCAGGAGTGCATTAGACAGGTATGCTCCAGGGGTCAGTGGTGAAATCCAGGCTAATGTTATGCCTTAGCATCCCGCGGCCTGAGGTCGTTAAGCGAATTCGGCCAGAATCCAGAAATGGGGATACCGCGTCTGCCCCTGATCGCCCCTCGTCTCTGCCAAATAAGTTAGAAGCTATGGATGTCGACTCCTCTCCTGGACGTGCAGACAATGTCCCCTCCGGGCCGAAACCCTCCGACGCTCCACCTCAGGCGTTCGGTGATGGTGGTCGAACAACAGGTGTGGTCTCTCCCTTACGCAAAGATGTGTCGCAAAGAGACATATCGCGACCCGCCACCCCTTCTAACACAGGGTCTCCTCATCCTCATGCAAATCGAGACAGGCCTTATGAAAACGGCGCTCATGTTGAAGCGCAACCCGTTATGCCTCCTCCGTCTGTGCCAAGTCAGACCGTTTCAGCTCAGGAACTCCGTGAGACGGCACGACAAACCATTGCACCAAGGTCTGCTGCTGAGAAGGACGACGAGGCGGTGCCACCCCAGGGTTCTCGACGGCGGCCGTCGTCGCCCCCAACTCGACCTGGTACTCGGCCACCGAGCGTCGAGAGTCGCGGAAGTGGGGGTCGGCCTCGGTCAGAGACGGGGAGGACGGATGACAGGAGATCCGAGAGGGATGCTCGGCGGGACGCCCGGGAGCCGGCGCCCTCAGATCGTCGTGACTCTCGAGATCGCAGTGCGCGAGACCGAGATGCCGACCGCGAAAGAGATAAAGACCGGGGTCGTGACAGGCATGGTGAGAGAGACAGAGATCATGGCCGTGATCGAGAACGGGAGCGTGATAAGGAACGCGACCGCGATAGAGATCGCGGCGAGCGCGACAGGGACAGAGACCGGGACAGAGACCGAGAAAGGGATCGTCACCGAAGGGATTACAAAGATCGGGAACGCGATTCTAGGAAAGACCGTGGACCCTCGAGTGCTCTTGGTTCCGTTGGCTTTGATGATCATGGGTTACCCCAGAGGCCAGATCCGTCAAGACATCGTCCTGCAGGCCATGATGATCCTAGTAGAAGGAGGCGCCTTGACGAAGATGACGTGCGTTACTTGTGAACCTGCAAAGAGTCTTTTGCTAACCGTTTTATTTAGTCCGACCGAGGCCCCAAGCGAGCGTCGCGAAGGGAAGGGCGTGACACCCATCGCGACGACCGAGCACGGCGTCCATCTGACAAGGATGGTCATGATCGAGCAAGAGACTCTGATAGGCGTAGAAAAGATCGCGACGGCCTCGACAGTGACAACCGAAGTGCACCGGTGGGTTAATTCCATAAACAGCGCAGTCGCATTTTTATAACGCTTTTTAGGCCATTGACAAGCGGGTGCCGGAAGGCCCCTCGACAAAGGCGTTACCCCCGACTACTCCCTCAGCTCCGCGAGCCATGGCTTCTGCTGATATATCCCGGAGCAGCAAGTCGGATCCCTTGCGAGAGAGGGATAGGAGACCCTCCAGGGATTCAGGTCCGCATCTCTCTCAGGGCACACCCCCTGCTGGCCGTCCTCCAGAGCCTGTTGGGGGTAGCTTGCGAGCCAGGATAAGTGACAAGGAAGGCTCGCGATCAAGCGGTCAATCCTCGGAACTCCCTTACCGGGTTGAGACGGACAGGACGCGTGCTGATAGTACAAGAGACAACGACCGTGATGCCGGCAGGAAGAGGACCCTTTCTGGTGAGTTGATGTGAATCAATGGGTCGTGTAAAGAATCCTGAACGCCCCTTTCCAGAGCGTGAAAGGGAAGGTAATGAGGCGCCTGTTAGTGGTCCACCAGAGCAGCAGGGGCAACCTCCCAAGCGACCTCGCGTTGTGCAAATTAATCGCAACCGTTACGGACAATCCACTCAGTCAAGTTCTGCCTCAGCATTGGCTCGGAAGGGACTACCTATAGATCCTGCCCGAACGGACAAACCCAGAGGTGGAAGGGACGATTAAATGCCCTGTCTATTCGTGTGTATCATAATTCCCGTTGTACATGAATATATCCAGTAATGTAATACTAATGCTACAAATGTTGAGTTTGTTGCTATATGAGTGACAAAGATGCGGCCGCCGTGTTGAAGGTTAAAAGAATAAAGATAAATGCGCAAAGACTGAATGCGAGTTGAATCGGAGGTTTGAGGTAAACGAGGGTGAAGCGTGGCTTTTAGAGTTCATCTGCTCTTTATCAAAGTCAGAAACTCTTCCCTCGTCTTCTGTTGCGTCCGGAAGCAGCCGAGCATACATGAAGTGACAGTTATCGATCCCGGCTTCTGCACGCCACGCATTGTCATGCACAGGTGCCTGTATGATGAGCGAATCAGAAGGACGTTTAATCAATGCTAATACTGCTGGACCCACGTTGCTTCCATGACAACAGCCACACCGCGAGGCTTTATTGCTTCCTGCACAGCGATGGCAATCTGCTTCGTCAGACGCTCCTGGACTTGGAGGCGACGACTGAACGTTTCCGCGATGCGCGCAAGTTTAGACAGGCCTAGAACCAACTGATTTGGGATATAGGCTATCGCAATCTATTGGAGTCAAGTTCACTCGGTCAGGAGAAACGTAAATAGCAAAGCCGCGGCGCAGAGGTACTCACTTTACCCATGAAGGGGACCAGATGGTGCTCACAAAGACTGGCAACGTCAATGTCTCGCACGATGACCATCTCATCGTGGTCTTCGGCGAATACCGCGTCGTTTATGACATCTGTTCGGGCGGTCATTTCTCAGTAAGGCTAAATACTGCGACAGATGGATGGAGACTTGAGAGGCACCTGCCAAACGTTCTTCGTACCCGCGCGTCATCCACATAATCGCCTGGGCATACCGTTCTGGCGTCCGCGCGAGCCCTTCCCTGTCCGGATCTTCCCCTATGCATTCCAGGATTGTCCGGACTGCGTCTGCCATCTTCCTTTCCCGAGCAGCCCGCTCGGCCTGCGTTGCATTTAAACGCAGGACGGTGGATTTCGCTTACGACAAATGGCGGAGGCTATGTCAGGTGAAAGTATATACCGGATAGTTGACAGCGACTCTCACCAGGCCAGCCCAATCCGTGCGGGTCGGGTAATGGGCTATCTCTGAGACCAGAGCCAGGCGTTAGGGGCGTAGATGCACCTGAAGTGGGACGAAAGCCGTATCCCTCTCGCAGACGATAATTCACGGGCCCACGGGGAGATTCCGCTGGGAGAGCACGGGCATCAACATTACTGTGTCCATCACCGGCCCCATCAAGGCGTGCGGCGTCTCGGTCGTCGCCACGCTCATCAGACACGCCGGAAGATGTGCGGGGGTCGTTTTCGGGATCCGCGAGCTGCAGACGCCGGAGACCGTCGTAGAGCATGGCGCTGTGGGCGAAATCGTGGTGGGATGGAGAGGCAGCGTCGCTGTGGGAGGTCGTATTTGACTCGGACGCCATGGCTGACGGTCGTCTCACACACCGAGGAGCGGATATAAAAAATATCGAGCGTATTTACGGCAGGGGCCGATGAGACTGAGAGAGTCGTGGTACTGCAGAAGAGGCCCACAGCGGCGGTGAGAGCACGTGCGCCGTCCCAGAAAGGCAGGAGTACCTTCCTAAAGCAGGGTGCGGTAAGTAGGCCATCTCCGCGCCACCTCCTGTGCATCCTGTGCCTCAGAACATTGTGTCCTTTTACGGAGATGTGAATGGGGGCGTATTAAATCTGTGGATGATGTTTGTCGGCTGTGCTGCTGCGTTTCGAGATTGTATCCTTCAGCTCATCCGACACATCCTATTTCCGGTGTCTCCACGCGGTATGTTGCGTCCTGTCCGTGTCGGGACGCTCATACCATATATCGTCCGTCGGGGCGAATGAATCCAGCCGGATCTCGCTTTCTATGTCCTGCCTTGTGAACAATAACAGGTTTTATGACGTGGAGCGCAATACCTTTGGGGTGGCCCGCTTTTTTTCTTTTAAGGCGGTGTACGAGCTTTTACGAGTCTTCTCCCGACTACTTAAGCTCTCCCGATGAACTTGCGCCTCTGGTTCCTCCGACTCGTCCTCCAGAGCCCCTTCCACCACCTCCTGCCGCCCTCTGCTAGCTTGGATCCGCCGCCAATGCTGTCTCAGGGCTCTACCTTTGATGCCTGGCTGGCTTCCAGAGCTGTCCCAGGTTCAAAGGGCCTCCTGCTGACCCCCGGAGGTCGGAGGCAACTGTCGTTTCGGAATGCCATGCTCGCTTTCGAGATTGCACAAGAGGCCGCACCCAAGGTCCTCAGAATGGTCTGGGGACGCCACCGACTTCGCGCTGTCATCTTGCTTTCTCTGAATTTAGCCCGAGGTGTCTTCCCCGCGTTAAGGGGCTATTCCCAGGCTCTAATCATTAATGAGGTAATGTCCGTGATCTGCTTTTCGAGAATTCATCCATCAACAAAGAAATGTCCACAGATACAGACTGCCTTTTCTACTGGCCGTTTCGATATGAAACAGTTGCCTTGGCTCCTCGCAAGAGAGTTTACCCGAATGACTTGCGAAAGCGCCTTGGATTCGCTCATGTGAGCACTTGTCCACATGTGCATGACAAGTTATTAACTGCTAATCCTGATCTTCATTTCATGAATCAGTAATTCAACAGAGCGAGTGGTCTACAATTCGGCTCGTCTGGAAGTAGAGTATAGACAAATGCAGTTGCAGCTGCAGCTCGACATTCCCACCCTCTCCGACCCTTTGGTGCGCGATGTCGTGCACGAATCTGATCTTTTTGTCCGCTCCTTTGCCCAGTCTGGCGCCGGCGGATTTGGGCTCTTATCGCCCCTGGATGTCGTGCGCCTACTGACTCTCATCTGCGAGGTCGTTTCCCATGTGTTCATCATATATTCTCTGGCACGGACGTCGCCGAGCCACTCATTCATCTTGCTGATCACTGCGGTAATTGTCTTGTTCCCCCACATTGTCTCATGGCTACGTATGTGTTCTCGGCCTGACAATGACGACGCGTACAACCCCCAAGAAGCGGCTGCGGCGGCGAAGCTGGAGAAGATGCGGAATCTGGCTTACAGCGAGACGCACCGACGGGAAATCCTCGCATGGGACTTGGCTCCGTGGATATTGCGCTGCTGGGACAATGCTCGCAGGACTATGCTCGGCCTGGAACAGATGGACTCGGATCTTTTCAAGGAGTTCAGCTTTGCGGCGCTCTTTGCACAATTGCAGCTCAGCCTTGCCGACATTCTGGCAGTCTCACAGAATGTATGTCCATCACAGTCTCAGTGTTCAGGCGAGTTTCGTTCATGTATGAATAACATGTTTCAATGTAGATACCGTTGCTGCTAATGCTGCAGAGCTCCGGAGGGTCCCTCGGCTCTGTGGCGTTATACCGCAATTCCGTTCAAGGGTTGGTTTATACTATTCGAGAGTTCCTCTCGACCTTCAGGATGCTTGCACAGAGTGTGTTCCTGATGGGAGCATTCTCCGCCGCCATGGATATCCGACCGCGGCTGAGGCCTGCAAAATGTATGCAAGTCCCATATCGCTCCCTCAAGAAGGGCATGAGAATCGAGGCAAGGCAGGTGAATCTCGCCGTTTAGTACGCTAAATTAGACTGAACTCCAGTGTGAACAAGAAATTTATGCTACACGTACCCTGGATGTGTGGAACCGGCTCTCAAAGGTGTCAGCTTCAAACTCGAGCCCGGCGAACGGCTGGCTATAGGTATGTACGCGTGTCCTCTTGACAATGTAGCGTATATTTCCTAACATGCGGTCAATACACAGTGGGGCACAATGGATCTGGTTAGCATGGCATATACCCCATAGCCTCCGTCGACTGACTTTTGCTGACGGTAATAGGTAAATCGACACTTGCCCAAATCCTCACCCGTATCCTCGACTTCGACTCGGGCGAGCTGCTCGTGAATGATGTGGATATCCGACGCTACTGTCCAAACGAGTACCACCGCCACATATCCAGTATATTCCAGGGCTTTTCCAAATTTAACGCGTCTGTCGCGAAGAACGTCGGGGTAGGTTACATAGGGAATGTCGATAATCACGGGGAGATTCACCGAGCGGTCAAAATGGCCGGCGCGAGCCATATTGTTGACTCTCTACCCCGAGGGTTGAAGACGAGACTTGATGCGAGCGGGTCGGACTCGGCTTATCCGCAGTTGTCGGGGTGGCAGGCGTACCCTTCATCAAAGATGAATCACGGACTATCCGGAGGAGAGGTACGTTTCAGATGATATGCCTGTCGGCGCAGATGGATACTAACTCCCGTTTCTAGTGGCAGCATATCGCATTGTCTAGAGCGTTCATGAGAGCGGACCGGCCGGAGGTTAACCTGCTTGTGTTAGATGAACCAGTGTGTGAGACGTTACGAATCGTGACAGGCTACTGACGTATAGCCCAGACATCCTCCCTGGATGCTCACGCGCAAAACAGGACTTTCGACGCTGTGGAGAAGATCTCCTCTGGTCCTCATGGGCGGACGAAAACCGTTATTTTCATCACGCACCGGCTATGCACGGCCCGCAGGGCAGATAAAATAGCTTACATGCAGAATGGGGTCAGCTATTTCCACTCTCTGCTGTTGATAGCTGCTGATCATCGCTGTCTCGTAGACTATTGTAGAGTTTGGCACTCACCAAGAACTTTTAGACCGAAAAGGTGCCTACGCCGCCCTCCACTACGCATCGATCTAGACTGTCCATCTAGGCATGTTCTTATTGTACACCCATACACTGTATACTGCATTCGTTCATATTGTACTGTATTGTTCTATAATTTACTATAGATTAGAGTAGTTGGAGACAATCTCATATCGGCGCAGCGTGATTGGTGAAGTTCAACAAGCCTTCTTGCAGGACGGCATCGACTAATGGACTAGAAGACCCTGCAAGCGCAGACAAGCTCGCCAGGTTGTCTGGGGATCCGTATGTGCCGACAATGAGTCCCATGTCTTTGATGCCTTGTATCAACGAAGGAACACGGGTCTGTGGAAAGTAACCGGTTACGTGATGGTAAAGAACGATCATGCACTAGCACTTACTAGTAACTGTGCATCAAGGCATATACCCAGTAGGTTATTGGCCTTAGCGAATTCTACGGCAGAGCCGAGATTAGATAAACGGCGATCATCTGCATCGTGCATCGTCAACGTCGTAGGACTTGCTTGATTCCCTGCCTGCCCGCATTGGGAAACGAAGAACACAGGATCTTCCGTGCTCCGTCAGCGAACGTACTCCTTTTGCCACCAGGTACTCACAGTTAGGCTGCTTCCAATTCAGGGACGAGCAAACGTCTGGCGACGAAGACATGAATACAAACCTCCGCCGGTCGAAAGGATTCTCCGCCATAGAGGAAGTGTGGTAGATTGTCCGCAGTACGCTGTCAACGGCTTCGTTCAAATCTATCCGATGACGGAGGGAATTCTGCTTCCGTATGATAGCCGGTGGATACGCTATGTCGATGCTCAAACCAAACCCGAAAGGCAACACCTATGTAGGGTAAGACAAAGACGTGTAGACCCTTGAGAGACAAACCTGCATCAAGGTCCCCAATGAACACATATGTTGGCGGAGGAGTTTCCAATCTTGCGTAGTCGCTACATTATCATACGTGTCGAGAGACCTATTCAGGCGCCTTGCCAAGACCTCAAATTGGGCTAAGGTGAGGTCCGATACCCCTAAATCGTAGTCTTGCACGGGAAGCCGCCAATTATCGTAGACTACAGGGTGCAGATCTCGCGTCACTTGTACGGTTACGTGTATGTGTTGGCCGGTGACGGACGACGTCGTGGAGGTATGACCTCCGTGCGCGATTGCAGACCGTATTGAAGGGGATGTTTGCGTTGACCCAGGCGGGCGGGACGGGGATGCCTGTAATCCGGGTTTTGGAGAGAAAGGGGGTGGCGCGGATGGCACCAATGATTTCCAATACGTCTCTATCGCCCCACCGATCTCCAGCTGGACACCTCTGAACGGCTTGATGATGTTCACCTCGAAAGATATCTGGAAATTGGTTAAAACATGCTTAAGATACTTGAAGGAACATGATTACCTCTCCAATCACTTGTAGACGGTGATCAAGCATTGGTAACATGAAAGGCTGCGTGTTCTCTACCTGACTGAGAGCAAATGGCAATGCCACAGCTCGGGCAATAGTCTTGTTACCGAAATTCGGGCAGATGGAGAACTCGAGTCGTAATGCGTCAATCGAGGGAATCTGGAACGTGAATACTTCCATCTCCTCCATCTTAACTGGCAAAGCCAGGCTAAATGGTGCAGTGGTAGCATCCGTGGCAGAGGTCATGACAAGCTTCAAGAAGGAAGATGCGAGAGCGTGCCGGTCCTTGGGCTGAGCTCCATTGAGACGAGGGTCCAGTCGAACAGCTATACTCGGCTGACGGGAATACTCGCTATATCTGGAAAAGAAATGGCCAACCGAAACCTGGACCAAGCAGTTCTTGTCCAGATAATTGTGGCCGTAGACACGATAGGGCATAATCGGAGGGGGTAAGGAGAGTGACGGAATCATGTCTATGTCCATATCCATTGGCTGAGACCGTCCTGAAGAGGGAGGGGATCGTCCTAAGTAAATCTGCGCCTCCAGGCTAATTGGCAGCCTTGTAGCAGCTTCCAGCAACCGGTCCACACAGTCTCGGTATCCATACCAAGCAGCGTAATGGACGGCCATATTTCCTGACTCGTCGAGATGATCCACGCAAGCGCCGGCACCCAAGAGAACCTCCACGCATGTTCTATGACCATAGCGGGCAGCATGGAATAGAGGGGTCCACTCACTGTACTTGTCTGGAGTGTCCCAGCCGTCGAAGCTTAGAAGCTCATGAACGACAGCGGCATGACCCGCTCTGGCCGCGAGATGTATGGGGTATTCGCCGTTGGTATTAGGTAGGCTTTCCGCGCCGTGCTGGAGCAGCAATAGTACAATCTCGACATATCCCGACTGGGCAGCCAGCGACAACGGCATCAAGTCACCCTGAGCCTCCGACGGCTTGATTTGAACCTGGCCTATGTCCAACAGTGCACGCACGCAGTCAACGTTTCCACTAAGAATGGCATACACAAGCGGACTATAATTGTCCATGTCCATGAGGACCGGGGATAGCCCCGCATTCAAGAGGCGACGGCAGACTTCTGCATGACCATTCATGCAGGCATAATGCAGAGCGGACCGCCCGTAGAGATCCGTTTTGTCCCGCTCTACGCCGTGACCTAGGCATATATCCACTAGGCGTAATATGCCAGCTATAGCGACTTCGTGAAGGCAGGTCCTTCCATTGATGTCGTCGACGAACTGGAAGTCGAAAGGATTTGTTGTGCTCGACATTATGAGGTCAGCAAAGTCAGGCGGCGCATCAATGACAGCTTTCCATAAGATACGGGTCACGTTCGTCTTCCCCGTTTGCTGCTGGGACAGCGTGTCTGAGTAGTGGACGATTTCCCTTATAGCTTCTGTGTCAGCATTCGCAACAGCTTGACGCAGGTTGCTTTCAAGGTCGCGAAATGGGCCTAGGCCAGGGGTGCCCTCGATTGAGAGCTGATGAGTGAATACGATGTCGTCAACAGCGGGTCGTTCCACCTTCAGCCCCGTGGATAAGTCTGTTATATCGAGCAGACAGGCGGCGACCGTGTCCGACATTTCAGATATTAACTAAAGCAATGGACGTGAGTCACGTTTACGCAGCAAACTATGGCCAAGGCGGACCTGTCGGTTGAAAACGGGCTGAACGTCGACTTGGCGAGCCAGGTATAATTCCTTCGTACTCGACTTGGATCGCTTATCCCATTTCTTGAGGATTTTTCGGAAGCCTGTAGCGTTCATCTCGATAAATTGCTGGAGAGCACCGCATTCGCATGAGTGAAAAGGTGGACAGCCGAGATTCTATACCTGCAGCTTCCCGAGGTCTCGCTCCAGAAGGCGGAAGCCTTCCTGAACAGCTATCCATTCGACGTGATTTTGGATGTTATCATCGTCAGTGTCGGGCAAGACGCGCATTGCGGCGGCCCTTCGCTTCGCTAGGAGGGTTTCCAGTCTGAGCTTAAGTTCCGCTTCCTTTTGCAAATAAAAGGCGTTGATCTGCGGTCATCGCTTAGCTTTGAGAGTCGTCACGAGAGTGAGAGGCTCCAACCTTTTCCAATTCTCGCTCGAGTTTGAAGAAAAAGGCTGCCTTGTGAGCTTGGAAGTCCGGACTCCTATCTTCGTCGAGCCCCAGTGACGAGATAATAGTGGGCGCTGCATACTCGGTAGTACCGACATGTCCGGATGCCTGGGGGCCTATGGGGGACTGTATGTCGGGTGCAGAAGCTGTCCGATGGAATAGATCTGTTGGGCGGACAGACGACGCAACCGTTGCTGTCGGCGCTGGGGTATCATGCGTCTTCGATGTTAGGAGGGAAATGATCTTCTTGAGGGCCTTATAATCCAAATAGTAGGCGGACCAGCCTGGTATCTGGTTAGCCTGGATCTGCTTGCCAAACTTCGGAGCCTTTAGTCCAATCCGACGCCCAAAGTATCGACTACGACACCAACCTTCATCGCTGTCGACGTCGACTAAGCGTGAGCGAGGGGGAAAGGGTCTTGGAAGGCGAATATTGAAGAGGAAATACGGCGGTGCATGAAGGTATGTAAACAGAGAAGGCCAAGGGGATTCTTGACATGTCCTAATGCGGCTCTGGCCATCGAGATCTCCTCGGAACGACGCACGTGCCCAGAAAGGCAACCGTTGTAAATTGGTTGTAAATGGACCGCTTCTCTAAACGAAAAACGAAATCGTTGTGTCCAGGCAGCCCTCGAAGGCGAGAGGAGTGATATCTCATCTTTAACTCATAGTATATGGCCAGCTTGTGCAGCGAAAGCTATATCAGATACCGCGACAGCGCTACGCTCGAAACAGCCTGGGCTGGACGTTCACGAACGTGCGTGCTAACTATATCACCCCCGAGGGATCATCAGACCAGCACTTTCCTCAACTCCCATAACCGCGCCGGAAGAAGCGTAACCGGACACCTGCCCTCCTTTTGTACCTGTTCGTACGCGCAACGATAGCAGAAAACATACCCCGACGGCAAGGCAGTTGCATTCGCAATTGCCCCCTTGCAAAGAGGGCATTGCCCGTACTGCGTGCCGTCGACAGCAATTCCCTTCGGATGTGGTGGGAGGAGCTTCGGAGGCGGAACAGGGGGACCGAGGGGAGAGGCCATGAGTGACCGGGCCGGAGACGACGGCGAATACCACCATTCGAGGAACTTGACGAAGAATATCGCCATAGGCAGGGCGACCTTCAGTGAGTCAAGTAGAAGTCGCGGTGACGTGAGGAGAAGCCTTCGGATCAGGGCAAACATGCTTTTTGGACGTGCTGCTGAGCTGCTGGCCTTCTGAGCAGCAAGCGCTGCTTCCCGCTGGATCAAGGGCGTCAGTCGGACGCATGTGCCGAGCGGAGATCATCCTTACATAGTCATCCGCACCCAGTCGACGAAGATCAACACCTATCCAGGATAGCCATGGCCGGTAGAATGGTGTCCGGTCGAAGAGGTATGCCACATCGAAGACGAGCAGCCATAACTCCCAGGTCATGTTTAACCAGGGATATGCCGCTTTAAAGGCTCTCCGACATTGGCCCTTAAAGCTCTGCTTCTCTCATAGGTCAGACACTCTTGTCTGGAGTGGAAAGCACAGACCTGGTCCGTCAGGGCGCGAATCTGCCGGCTATTGGCATTCTCATCCAAAACCTCCGGATCGATGCCTCCCCCGAGGTCTTCATAGTAGTCCTGCGCTTTCGAGCGAAGATATGGTACACCTATCTGAACCAAGTTGTATTAAGGTAGTACGGCGATGTATATTACACTGTAGTGTACGCACAAGGAAGACTAAAGACCTCCATATTTCCCGGCCACGCAACCTCTCCTCCTCGAGAATGCCCCCAATTGCTGCCTTAGCCCTCTCCGGCTCTATCAACGGCCTTCGTCTGCGCTTAAGGCCATAGAAATTCTCGGCAAACGAGGCGTCTACAGCAAGACAGGTCATGTCAGTGGAGATGAGAGACGAGTCCCTGCTTACTGTGTGCACGAAGATAATGCCGCTCCACGACCAGCATGATCAGAGCGTAGAACTCTTCATGACGGTTCACTATTCGTATAAGATACCTTGGATAACGCTGGGCAAAGACCTGCACTTCTCTTATTAGACTATTACAGTCTTGCATTGAAGAGAGCACTCCTGCTTACCGACAACACATATTTGAGAGCTGGCTGGAGGAGATCTCGGAGTTGTTCTTGAGCAACGAGTTCGAAAAGAGAAGGTTTGAGAGAGTCTCCGCCGACGTTGTTAAAGAACTCCATTTCCTCTGACGCCGCCGTCAACAGCAAGCTTTGACGCGCTTTGGGCTGCAGGAGACTGAGGAGTGCTGCAGGCGTCTGATGCGGGGCAGATATCACATGACACCAGCGCGGGAGTGTGGCTACGGCAAATGCCAGGATAGTGGGCGGCTATGGGTCCTCAAATACGCACCTATCAGTCTGGTCCTACCCTCACGGTTGTCCCCTGAAAGCTGCGAGAGCTGATCTCCTGCCGTCCCCCATCTAAAGCGGTAGCTGCTTGGACTCCTCCAATCTGCCCATCGGCTTACAGCTGATAGACGCACTTGAAATTCCTGCTGTACAAGGTGCTCCAAAGCCAAACAACCTACTTATTCGAGGGCACTCGAGCGCATAAGCGCCCAGCTTACCCCGACAAAAGTGGTGTGCGACTGCGGTGCGTTCCTCTCCTTCTGCATCAGGCGATTTTGACTGGCAGGCGCCACAGCAGTAAAAATACGAGGCCCGTCTATCGTTCTGCAATCAGCTGTGACAGGTGTCCGCTGGCTCAAATCCGCACTGGCATCGTCTGGTTGGCAGTTGCGAGTCCTGTGTGCTATAGAATCTCTTCTTAAGCGACGGCATCACTGGATGCACCCTGCGCTGCGCTCTAATCGCGAGCCAGATCTGTTGGTTCTCACAAAACGTGAATTTAAGCATGCTCGACGGACCGCGGTTGACCTCCAAGCGCTGATATCCCTGTGCCGAGTGCGTACAGATATTGGGATTGAAGTCACGATCATCTGGTTTACCTTAAACGTCAAATCTCCGAGAATAAGATTCACCCTTGAGGAAGGGCGGTAAGCTTGGCATTAGGTGAGCTGGATGTGGTAGGAGGCAAGGTCTATGCAGATCTGTCCATGGGCGATGCAGTGTGGCTCATTCTCGCCCACGAAATGGTTTGACGCCGACAAGGAGGTCAGTGCTATCTCATTCGTGAACGGGGGTGCGTCATTCTGAAGTATGTGAAGGGTGAATTCTAGGTTTAGTCTCCGATGAATACAATGAAGATGATGATACAAGCCTACTAGGCAAAGCGAGCCACGTCACTACAACGGCCACATCTACTTCGCGCTCTTAGCCAGCAGATCCTGCAATTCTTTCTGACTATACGCATTCACGCCGAAACCGGCGGCTTTGGCAGAGCTGAGGGCGGCGACGACCCAGTTCTGGCAGTTCCAGGAGGTGCTGTTCTTGGTGACCGGCACAGCCAACACAGTCTTCTGGAAACCTGGTCGGTGGCCTTCTGCGATCTGGCCTACTTCGACTTTGCCCAAGTAGGCTGACGACTTGTCGGTCTGGATGTCTTCGGGAGGCTTGACTTCGTAGGTTTGCGTGGAGCCGCTGACCTGATAGGCCGTGAAAAGCTGTCCATCCTTGGGGACGAGAATAGCCCAATGCCTTGCACCCTTGAGTTGGGGGAGACCGTAGTGTGCGACATAGACGGTAGGCATATTGGTCAATAAATTTTGTGTTGACTGATAGGCTCTATAGACCAAGGAGAGATTTCGTTAGTCTCGAGTTAGGAGACACTGTAAAGACATGTACCAGGTGAGTAGGGATTGCTGGAGTGTATGCTGAATCGTAGATAGTTTACCTCTTCTTATGTATCCCATGCATGGACAATGCCACAGTGGCCGCAGATATGTGAGCGAGAGCCTCTTACTCGAGTTTCGTGAACTGGCCCCGCATCACAAAGGAGACCGCGACGATTTGGGATGCTTTCTTACCGTTCTGGGATCAAGGGATCTGTGGCAGGCTTGGCGGCTACTTTCCCAAGTGAAAGGACAACAAATTCTCTTTTATGGGATGAAGGACGCGGTAGCAAGGGCACTCGAACGTAGCCCACGAATATCTTAGCGAGAGCTTTTCTGCTCGCATTTCGGCCGCTTGCCACATTCACAAATGAACGCGGCGGCGATCCGCGACGCTTTGTTACCATTATATGCCCGAGCGGTCTAATAGCCGTATAGCTCTGGTGTCGCACTGCTGATGCTTCTCTAGGTGCGAATAAATCAAGATATTTCTTGTGGGTAGCATGGAGGACGCGGTAGCAAGGGCAACGGATCAAATATATGAACGTGACCTAAGGACCGCGCTGGCTTGGTACGAAGGGGTAACCGCAGTCCCCATTGTTTAATCCGCCAGACCCATGCGGAGATGAACTGGGCAGTCTTTGTCTTCGATGCTTAGACTTGGGCGTCAGGATGTCTTCCACCGCTTCCCATGGGCAAACCTTCTCCAGTGCAAAATTCTGATAACCTGATGTTTGTATTTATCGATACATACTGATCACGCGAAGGTCAGAAAATTCGGTTTCTCTTGTTTTGACCGCTGGTCCGAATTCAGAGCGGATGGGGATGGAAGTGCAGTTCAACCGGTAGAAAAGAAGGACGAGCGCTGTAACCTGAGATACCCCGCTTGAAGAAGTAGGGAATGAATGAAATGATCCGAGTCGCCCACGTTGTGTAAGAACTTCAGGGGAGATGGCCACTCGCTTGGAATGTGGCAAGTGTATTAATCTCGTCTGCCTCAACGCGGCATCACGTGACGAATGCGTGGAGTCATTGTCCGGGTTATGGGCGCATATGGGTCCTTGAATACGCCACACGAAGTATAGACGCTCCTCCGAATTGTGCAAGCTTGATTGTTCTAGTTCTACCGTGAGCGACATGCCTTGATGCACTCTACTAGCTGACATTCCTCAACATATAGGAACTCCCAAGAGACAATACCAGCAATAACCGGACTGCTGGTTGTACTTATAGCGCCACACGGTACCACCGAACATCAATTCTAGTACTGAGGATCTCGTACTATGCATCCAGATGTTGCGCACGCATAAGTCTGTAAGGCTATCTCTCATTGCTTTGTTACTCGCTCTGTTCACTGACATCGTCTTGGACTGCTAGTTCCGCCTAGGGAACCTCAATCTCAACATCTCGGCTTTGCTGCGGCTTGAGATCGGCTTTGTCTGTCTGCTCACTCGAATTTTCAGCACGTCACTGTTGGAGCGGTACTCCCGCTGGATGTACTCCACGCCTCCTCGAAGTCGTGTCTATCGACTCTCCCGGCACACCGTGTTGAAGACAGGCTGGTTCATTCGTTCACTGGAAGCTGACACGATGCGCTTTATCGCGAGCAACACCAGTATTCCCGTTCCCACTGTCTTTAGGCACTGGAGCGTCTCACCTCGGGATGATGCGATCCTCATGGAGTGGCTTGACGACACGTATACCCTCCAAGACCGATGGACATTCTTGACTGAGGAGGACAAGCTAAAAATCGCTCGACAAATTAGAGCTTCTGTGGATCAACTCAGGGGACTGCGTCAGCCTGACACTATTCAAGGCATGATCTGCCCCATTGACCCCTCACAAAAAGTGTACGATGAGCGAGTCAAAGGTCAACCTTGCGGGCCTTTTGAGTCGGAACGCGCTTTCAATGAATACCGGCTCAGTCTATTGGATCACTTTCTGTGGGAACCAGGAGCTCAGAAAGACATTGAGAACATCAGGACCCACGTCAGGGAGGACCACCGTATCGTGTTTACGCATGGTGACATTGGCAAGCGTAATATCTTGGTCGACGAGCACAACAGTGTAGTCGCCATTATTGACTGGGAGATGGCTGGCTGGATGCCTGAATATTGGGAGTGGATCAAGATCGTCCACGGCCGGTGGGAGGATGAAGAATGGTTGGCGCTTGCGCGCGAGATGGTTCCCCCCTACGACGCTGAAATGGAGGTGGATGACCAGTACCTCATTGTTAACGGCGGTGCACCATTCTAGGGTATGCCAGGAACAGATCGCAATCGATATTAGCATAAACTCCGCATACATGGAAGGCAAGAAGAGCGTGGAGAACGGGTCAAGTCTACTTGGTCGCTTCCGCCAGCCGACCTTGGAGCTCCTGCAGACTATAGGCAGCGATGCCCAAGCCGGCCGCTTTCGCTGCGCTCAGAACCTCAATGACCCAATTCTGGCAGTTCCAGGATACGCTCCCCCTTGTAACGGGATTAGCCAATGCTATCCGCTCGAAAGCCTGCCGCTGGTTTTCTTCAATGCGGCCCACTTCGACCATCCCCATGTAGGTATTCGACGTCTCAGGCCTCGACTCTTCAGGCGGCTTGACTTCGTATGTGTGGGTAGAGCCAGTGATTTGATAGGCAATGAAGTCCTTGGGGCCGCTGGAAACGAGGATTGCCCAATGCTTTGCCCCTTTGAGCAGCGGGTGACCGTAGTGAGCGATGTAGACAGCGGGCATATTGGAACGGCAAACTCTACAGTCAGTGAAGACTTTTTGTCAGCCTTGAATTATCTTGATGGACCACAGCAACGAACTTACCGCGGAAAGGGGTCGATAGGGCTTGCGATGCGTCCAGTGCTGATAGTTCTTATAAAGCCTATGGGTTAGTTAGGATCAACAATGGATGCGACAGGCCACAGGGGCAGCGGCTTCTTGGCTGGGCCTTCTCTTCCTGCTTTATTCGGTTGAAGCATCTCAATAGGATACCTAGGCTACCAGTGAGGGGTCCCCCAATACCGCAGCGGGTTCTGCTGTGACGTCTGCACATGCCGCCAGGCAGATGTAGACGCAAATACCTTTGTAGGATGTAGGACATGGTAACGGGGACAAGGGAGATATAGAAGAAGTCTCATCAGTTTGCCTCTGGCGGTTTCAATGGTCTGCCAAGTCACGGTGCTTGCATAGAACCAACTATAGAACAGCGTCCCAATGAGTTGTACAGACATGCGGTATGAACGGTATAAAGACAGGTTAGGTACAGCTTGAGCTGTTGAGTATGATCTCCCGAGAGCCCGGCTGCCCTGTAAAATTTCATCGGGGGAGTACTCTTGTGCCAACACGTCCCCGCATGCAGTCGCTACTGGTACATGCTACAGACGACATCTCGATACCAATGTTGTCAATCCCTTAGATAACTACGCTGGTTTGGTGCGCCCTGCGACCGAGCCCCTTAGTGATTGGCTCAAGACTCAATGAATGGGATAATAGACGGATCAGAGGTGTTTATCCGAGGAAACCGAGGAGGAGGATGCATTGATGGGCTGTTGTGGACTTTGTGGCAGTTTGTGGATCAGGATTCGCACGCTCCTAATCAGCACCGCAGAAATAGACCGCCACCCAAGTCCGCGAACATCAATTCTACGATGTCTCCGTTCTGTCTGTCATTGAGATGGGATGATAATGGAACTGCGAGAAGACCCACTGGCAGGAACAGGACCTGAATGCTAGCTGCGTGTTCGGCGAGCCCAGGAGCGTGTTTGTTCCCGGTACATCACGTCAGCTCTTTTGTCCGACAAAAACGTGTCCGGTTCTCCTCTACCTCTCAATTGAGTCGTCGATCCTTGAGGCGTTGCGACTTAGACTCGGCTCGTGGTTAAGCCCTGCACGCTGCTTTCATGTCCGGGCCTTTCTAGTCTTGTCTCTTGTCCATTGTGTCTGTTCACTCTCCTCGTGTCGTGGGGCATCCTCTTCATCCTTGGACTATACAAACACTCTTCATCTACTTTCAATCTTGCATTGTTCATCTCACGTTCAGCGGACAGTGTACAAGATGTCTATACTAACAGGATTCCAATCGCCGATGCCGACGTCGGACGCAGAGATCGCCCAGCAAGTGCTACACGATGAGTCCCTCTACCGCTTCCCTTCCTTCAATGCCAACGACGCCGTCACCCTCGGACTATCTCTGCGCAAGCGCTTTCGTGCGTCGCGGAGACACGCAAAGGGCAAGGGGCTGGTCATTTCCATTCAGACGATTGCTGGACACACCCTGTTCGCGTGCACGGTCGGGGACTTGGGCGGGAATAGCGGGGTGGGGGACGTCAGTCTGGAGAGCTGGACGGTGCTGGAGGGGATGATGAATGTGGTGAAGAGGACGGGGCATTCGAGTTATTATGTTGAGAAGGGGATTGGGGCCTTAGGGAAGGCTGGTCAGCAGCCGCCGAATCCAAATCAGAATTTGCAGCGAGAATTCCTTTGCGGAGGAGGTGGGTGCTGCCCTTTTGCATCGAATTAACCGGCGCTCATCTCTTGGCCCCTTCCAGCTTTTCCGATATGGTTGGAGGTAATAGAGCACATGTTTGTTTCTCCGTCTGTGCGGTCGACTCACCTGCCCAGAATGCACAATGTTGTCCAATAGCGATCGTTGCCTGCTTCTCCGGCTCGAGCATAGACGACCACAATGTGCGCATCCCCCGTCCCCGCTCTATCCTTTATATGCCGCTGACCTACCCTCCATTAGCTGGTCGTAGCGGGCGTCCGGGACTACATCAACAAGATGTTCCGTAACGGGCCGCCACCACCGCCTGCAAGCTCCTCGATGCCGACGGGGGCGACGATGCCCATCCCTCACGTAGTACATACCTACGACCACAGCTCAGAATACATGTAACTCACATGACCCTGCACTAAAGGCTCAGCAAGAGACCGTGAAGCCGGTGCCGACGCCTTATCCGGGGGCGGGAGATGCAAGCACGGTATGTTCATGCTCATCACTTGAAAGCGTAGGAACTGGATGCTGAGTGCGGGCGTGCAGACGTGGCTGCTCAGGCATGCTGCTCCAAGCGAGTCGGAGTCGCCTCATACGGAGACTCCGATGCTGAGGCACCAAGGGAACTTCAATGGCCATGAACATGCTTGATGCTTCGTGTGCGTGCTGGTGTATATAGGATGTAAGAGGTGTACATATCGGAAGGCTTCGATGGACTGGCATGGCGCTTGCGCTTGTACGTTGTCACACATCAGAAGCGAGATGGGATATTAGAAGCTAGTGTAGTTGTTACAGTAAAACACAGGTCGAAGCAGATACCAAAAATATAAAGCACGGCAAGGTCCCAGTGACTTCACTCAATCACTGTTCGCCCGAGTCTGATTTCTGAGGTGGCGGACTCAGGACCCTCACAGACTCTGTGCGAGCAGTTAGCAACGCTGGTGACCGTGTATTACGAGCGGTGAGACGCACCATGTCTGAGGAAGATCTGGCGCTGTCCCTGCGGCGAGTCCGGGTCGGCGGTGGGGTCGGGCTGACGAAGCTCGAAGTTGGCTTCGACATACACGCGTGAGCCTTTCGTGAGGTTCTTGAGGTAGCTGTTAGAAGAGGGGTGGAAGGAGAAGATGGTGTGCCATGTCGTCCCTGCCTCTCGGCGGGCTATTCATCCCTGTCAGACCCTTCATAATGATCAGGAGTAGATGGTACGCACTGCCGTCGGGGTTCGGGGGAGGAGGGGGGTAGTTGGTCGTCGCGACGGTGTACCTAGAGCAAAGTGCAGATAAGGTGCGCGCGTCACGCTAGCAAAGGCTGCAACGCGTACGCTACGTATTCCTGGTCACTCTTCGTGCGGCGGACTTCTGGGTCCTTGCCCAGACGGCCGATTAGGATGAGCTTGGAAAGATCAGCCGACGCAACGCGCGAAGTAGAAAACGCCTGGAGTTTGTAGCATGACCGTCAGCAAACGCAAGCACGACTTCAAATGAGATGGCTCACGCGAGTGCTGCTTCGCAGAACGCAGGCGTGGCGCGCAGCGTTGAACATGTTCATTCAACGAGGACGTAAACGAGTAAACTTCGCTGAGCGTCGTACTCAACGATCGACCAGAGCCAGGCTATTTCTGGCTCGTGTGGCGTCACACCTTGTCACATCGCGTCCACTGGGCCTTGGTGCTTCAAGTTGCGCCTTCGCCTCGTTCTTCTGCTGTACATCTCCTCTGTATCTCCACCGTTGTATCGATAGCAGAGTTTCTTGCAACATGTCGCGGCATAGACTTGTCAGGAATATGAACATACATGGTGAGTCGTGCCTCGTCTCGTTCGGGACCCAGGAACTGACTGGTGCTGCGACAGAGGAATTAGATGACGATGCCATGGACGATGGGGAGGATGAGCTCACTCCCGAACAAGAGGGTGTGTAACATAATTCATGCGGAAGACGCTTCTGCTAATTAGAACGTATGCACAGAGCAATTGACAAACGGGTTGGAACAAGTTCGGAACGTCATAGGTTCTGAGCGCGAATCAGGCTTAGACGACAATACCATCAAGAGTGTACTATGGGATCAATATTTCGATGTGGAAAGGAGTGTACATCTACTACTAGGTGCGTATCAAACTTTGGCTCTTGGGGGTATAGCCTGATCTCCTACTATAGAGGAGCAAGAGAGAAGACGCGTAGCCCAGGAGCGCAAAGGTGAGCGTCCTGTCTGATTTTTATTTTCTCCGCTTTTCTGTAGTACCTTGTTTATTTCCCTTCCCCTTCCGTTTGCTCCTACCGTTGCGTCCTGCGGTAGGCTGGACCAGACAAGGTACATGTCCGTTTCAGGTCGTCTCAGGAAAGTTGCCCTCAGCATGCACTGATGCCTATCCATTCAAGGACACAAATCGCTGCCCCCGTTACCTGACGAGGACGCTGCGTCTGACAGCAGCAGCGCGTCGCCAGGCTTGATGCAGCGCCTCAGCCACGCCGTTATCCCAGTCCCTATGCCCTATGAAGGGGACCCCGGGGAATACTATGACCAGTTCTCTGAGGCGTCTACGCCGCGCCCTCCAATCATCCGCCTGAGCACGATCACGGAGAGGACGGAGCGGACAGAGGAGTCCACGATAGGTCCCCGGCTGTCGGCGTACGGTCCCCGGACGTCCATGACGTCCACCGTCGACTACGGGCAGCCGATCGGTGCGTGCTTCTCTGCTGCTTCCTCGCCCGTCACGCTGATCCGCGGTGCTTCCTTATTTATCTAATTAGAATCGAGCATCGTGCCAGACCCAAACGAGATCCCGCCCTCGCCCTCGCTGTCTGCCCTGCAGCGGCTGTCCATCCGCGAGCCTCCGCCGTCGCTGCCCAGGTCCGAGTCCGCCAGTCCGGCGTCGACGCCCACCCCTCCGCGTTCGCCGCCGCCGTCAGTCCCGCCGATAGAGACCATTCCCGATATCCCGGATTACTCGTCCGCGTCCGCCCACGGCGCGCCACCTCAGCAGCCGTCTGCGCCTCGTCGGCCCGTCTCCACCGTGTCAGAGAGGACAGAGAAGTCAGACACGACGGTCATGCCTAAGAAGCAGTCTAAACTGTCTGCCCTGGCAAATTCAAGATCGCGCGCAAGTATGACTTCGGCCACCAGCAGGACTACGTTAACGCATGATGATGGTGCTGACACGGCCTCATTCGTGACCTACCCCGCCTTGAGGCCCTCACCAGCATCGCAGATGTCTCTAGTCCCATCCGAAGCAGAGACGACATCAACGTCGATGTCTTCGCACGTGAGGAGAGCCATTCAGACGGCCTTGGAGTTGGAGAGACAGGACAAGGAGGCTGCTGCCGCCGCCGCCGCCAAGGGGGCCGGATCTGAGGCCGGCCAGTCCAGCACCATAGACAAGGCGGGAGAATCTGCCTCACCTTCTCGGGAAAGGAGCGTGGCCGGTTCGGAGAAGTCGCTGTCATCTGCACCGTCGACGCGTAACGGGAAGCCCCCGTCGAAGCTGGCATTGATGGCACAGGCTAAAGCGAAGCAGGGCCAGTCATACAGCCCGAAGCCCAAATCCCAGCCCAGATCGCCATCTCCGAGAAGTATGCTGCACGAGGCTCGTACAGAGTACCTAACGCCAATAGCGAATGGGGCCAGTGCGACCACTGCGATCACCACGCAGTATCAGACTTTATACAATCTCATACCCCCAAAGAAGTCGGCCCTTCCCCCTTCCTACCCTCCTCCTGAGAAGGCATCGTCAGAACCGAACGGCAAACAGTCTAAGTTGGCGATGAAGGCGCGAAGCCGGATGCAACAGCGCAGTGTAGCTCCCACACAGACGGAGGAAGAAGAGCCTATCGTGCTCCCCGATCTGCAATTGTTCTCGTCCAAAGCGACCCGCTCCCGTGCGTCGCCATCGCCTTTCGCTTTACTGCTTACTGGGGATGAGGGTCTGACGACTTCCGGTAATAAAGGCGAACACTCTTCCGCATCTGAAAGCGAAAGCAGGCGGAGCAGGCGCACCCATTCCGACCACTCGGTCTCTACCACCGGATGGTCGCATAGGCGGGAGAAACCCATGCCCGCTATACCATCCATAGGGCATACTGGCGGATTCACCTTCGACTCTCCCAGTCCGGACGATATCGTCCACAACGCGCGTCGGGGAACTTCGCTGGCCCAGGCGAGCCGCGCGCCTGGTTCGGGCTCCTCGCGCCCCCCCGCTTCCACTTCTTCTTCCACCCGTTCTTCTGCTTCTTCTATCTCCACCGTTAGACCCGTTCGCTCGAGGACTTGAGTTTGTTGTTGCTACAGTATCGTGATGTACTGATAATTGCTTGTAATCTATAGCTGCGAAGCAACGCGAGAAGGCGGAGAAGCTGGCGCAGCAGAAGAAGGCGGCTGAGGCGAGTGCGAGGGCGCCGTCCCCTGCTGTGAAGGCGCCTGCGCGTAAGAAAGCGGGAGCAGGGGCAACGTCAACGGCTATGCCTCTCCACAAGAATGCGACTGCCACTGACCAGCGCGATCTTGATATGTCCGGGCTGAACTTGAAGGATGAAGACGAGGGGCCGGTTGTCGATGAAGAGCCCCCGAAGATTACTATTGCTAGGGAGAAGCTGCTGGAGGAAGCGCGTAAGGCGCTTGAGGCGTCAGAAAATGGGAAAAGGGCGGTGAGCCTGGTTGTTATCGGTGCGGCCTGAGCGCTTTGAGATTGCCTGCTGTCAACGCTCAACAAGTTCAATGTGAAGGTCACGTCGACGCGGGAAAGTCGACGCTCATGGGGCGCCTGCTGTATGAGCTCGGAAGGATCGACGAGAAACGGAGGATTGCGAATGAGAGGGGGAGTAATAAGATTGGTAAGGGCAGCTTCAGCTGGGCATGGGAGCTGGACGGCACACAGGAGGAGCGTGAAAGGTGACTTGGACTCCGGCATCAGCCAATCCAGATGCTGAAACCAGCATTGCAGAGGCATCACCATGGACATTGCCCAGCAATCACTAACCACGCCGCACCGGCAGATCACCATCCTAGATGCTCCTGGACACAAGGATTTCATCCCTAACATGATATCGGGCGCGTCGCAGGCCGATTGTGCACTATTAGTGGTGGACGCCTCCACCGGCGAGTTTGAAGCCGGGTTTGAACGGGGAGGCCAGACGAGAGAGCATCTGCTGCTCGTCAGGAGTCTGGGTGTCTCCCAGGTCGTGGTGGCCGTCAACAAGCTGGACATGGTCAATCCCTTCTCTTGTGTTCCCATCATGAGAACTCACGCAGCAATATCCAGGTACAATGGGAGCAAAGTCGATATGACGAAATCTTGGGCCAGATGCAGCCCTTCCTCCTGCAATCTGGCTTCCAGCAGTCCAAGACGAGCTTCGTTCCTGTCGGTGCGATGTCCGGAGTTAACTTGGTGAACCGTGATGCCCCCGAGGCAGCAGCACTCTCCCGCTGGTACTCCGGACCAACCTTGGTTGATCTGCTGGGTCGGTCATATTCGCACATACCTTGACACTATCATGTTGACGCACCTTGCGCAGACGTTCTCGAACCTCCCTCCAGGAACATAACGGCTCCGCTGCGTTTCCCGATCTCGAATGTGTTCAAGGGGCAAAGTTCCGCGTACGGTGTACAGGGCCGAGTATGCGGCGGCATCGTCCAAGTGGGCGAACGTCTCCGTATATTGCCTGGGGACGAAAGTGCGCTGGTGAAATGTCCGTCGTTGTCCCTTTACGTTCCCTGGGTTGAATAGCTAACTCTTAATGCAGACATTGACCACGAAGAGGAAAATGTCGAATGGGCTGCAGACGGGTCCAATGTCACTCTGTACCTGACGGGTGTGGACCCTGTACACCTCAACGTCGGGAGCGTTCTCTGCCCACCGTCTGATCTTGTCCCGCTTGTGACGGTATTCACAGCCAGAATTCTCGTATTCGACGTTTCACTCCCCATCACAGCAGGCGCATCGGTGAGGTTCCATGTGCTAATGCGTGGGCCCAGGTCTTACATGAGACAAATCTTAGGTGGAGCTGTTCCACCAGGCGCATGACGTGCCGGCATCCATCTCTAAGCTATTAGCAACGCTTGACAGAGCGAACGGGACCATCATCCGAAAGAATCCTCGGTGAGTATCATACATATTGACTGTACTGGGCTTTGTCTCTGAAATAGTGCATCCAGGGTACTCACTAAGGGTGCATCTGCGGAAGTCCAAATCACTTTGCGCAGCTCAGTGTATTCTGGACCCGCTGCGAGACCACGTCCCATCCCACTAGAAACGTTTGCCTCAAATAAAGAAATGGGGCGGATTTTGATCAGACGAGAGGGCGAAACCATAGCTGCAGGTACGCAATATGAACACTACTCTCTGGCACTATGCTGACGTTGTGATTAGGCATCGTGCTTGAAATCCTTTCCTGAAGACCACAGCGAAGCGTTCACAACTGAACTCAACACGACCCAATAACGAAAAACTGTAGCGATAGATGTATTCGAAGCGCGACTACCTACTTCTATTCAGATGACATGTAGGATAGCAGAGAACAGACAAGAAGCGATTCATCCCAGATGCAAGCGAAGCAGCGAGCCAGATAGCGAGTAAGATATGTACATGTACAGATAGTGCGGATGCGGACAAGCGAGAGACCAAGAGCGACCTATTAACAGAAATATATCACATACGAAGGGGAATGCAGAAGCAAGCAGAAGAGGAGGAACGAAACATGGATGCGAAACCTACGAGGACATCCATCCTTACCCGACTAATATCCGAAAAGGGGCACAGCCGAACCCCTGCCCCACACCGACGTCCCAAGGGCCTCTAGTGTTCATCCTTGTCCCGGACTACCGACAACTCCTTGACAAGGGCATAAAACCTCACTTGCCCACCTTCTGCTTCTCCCCGCTCTTCTCCTTGTCGTTACCAAACACGTCTTTGATCTTTCCAAAGATGCTGTTCCTTTTCTTCCTCTCCCCGGTCTTGAACTTCAGAGTCCCGTTGGGACTGCCCGGAGGAGTAGGGCTGTTACTCCTAGGGACGCTGGAGGAGCTCGACCGCTTGATGGTCGGGAAAGAGAAATGGCGGTCACGAGGAGATGTGGGTTTGGAGGCTTTAGATGGTGAGGCTGCAGGCGTGGACGGTTGTGAGGCCTCAGGGGTCTTCTCCGTGCCGTTCCCGTTCACGCCGTTCGCCTTGGCTGGCTCAGCTGGCAGCGTCGACGGCGCAGGGTCAGTGAGTTGAGCAGGAGAAGCTTCAATTACGTCGGCTACACCACCAGTGTGCGTCGAGGGCTGGACAGCCTGCTCGGTTGCCTCGTCCTTCTTCTCGCTATCCACAGCAGCACCAGGGACGATTAACGTTTCCAGCGGCTCAGGAGGTGGAATTGTGGGCGCAGCAGGGATTTCTGGCGCAGCCGGCGGTGCTGAGGCCACGTCTGCGGAAGGTTCAGCCTGTTCCATTATAGGAACAACAGCGATAGGGACTTTGGGCAAGAGTTCAGAATCCTCTGACGTCCCGGGCACTTCCACGGGAGGTGAGGGCAGCGATGACGGCTCAACAGGCGCCGCAGTTTCGGAAGGAACAGCGGATTCAGCAGACGCCGGGGTCTCAGCAGGCGCTGCTTTCTCTCCCTCGTTCGCCTCGTTCGGACTTGTAGGCTCACCGACGACTTTGTCCGCAAACTCCATCGCGGGGGCCACGGCATTACTGACCGCCTCACCAGCGTTCCCCGCCATCTCGGTCACCTTCTCATAGATCGACCCACTCTCCCGCCTTGCGTGACCGTTCTCCAGCGTCAGCTCTGGCTCGACTGTTCCTGGAGAAGGCATTACGGGCGGTTCTGGCTTGGGCGGTGACTGATAGACATTGTTCAGGTTCCCAGCAGAGTCATACTCGCTTGGCTGTCCATCCGCGGTCGTCCATCGTCCGTCGACGACGAATTTGTACATGATCTTCTGTGACCAAGGTACATGGACCTTCGCCTCGAACCCAGAGGGTGTTTTGTTGAGATGGGTAGAACATGACCACTATAGACGACGCTCAGGATGTAATAAAACATTTGACTGATGAGTCTACCAACCTGGTCGAACGTGCCAGTGCAGATCACGTCTGATGCATCAGAGTGCGGCCTGTCGTGCAGGGCCAGTCAGTGTCCCATTGCATTTGTCTGCATAGCGAATACGGACCATCTGAACGTCGCCTCGTGGAAATCAGCCATATTATTAAATCTACTGCGAGATATCCGGTTCCGTCAAATGGAGCACGAGCCGACCTGCGCGCGTCGCATGAGGTTGGCATTATTCGGTCAATAACATCGACGACGACGACGAGTAGACCAACTGACCTTGCGGGCGATGGTGGGGGAAGAGAAGAGAAACGAGGAGGAACGGGTCCGCTGGAATGCGGTCAGGCTGGCAGGCGAAGAAGGGCCCTGCGAACTTGAAGTGACGTTGGCACCGGTTTAAGTTCTCCACCGACCGCAACTCGTGTCGACCCCAACCAACTTAGCCGGTTCTTCGTGATCGCCCGCCCCTCTGTCCTCGAGGCTACGACGGCCAGAACGCTCTAAGCCTGCCTCATTGCTGCTGCCATTGAGCGGCGGCGGCAAAATCGGGCGTCGGGCAGAAGATCTTGCGTCCTACTGCAGTGCTCATCCCTCGCCAAACAACACGATTTCAGGAACTCTTGATATCGGGCGGGAACGAGGACCAAGTTCTTGATCGATATAGATGTACTGCTTCCCGAAAAGCTGGGCACCTACCTGTTTGTCTGTAAAACGTTGCATACCCAGGGACTGGAGTGATACATAGTGCGAGCTCTCGTTTGCAACGTGATAATGAACTATCGACTACTAATCGATGCCTAGTCCGGCACGAGATGGACGACGCAGCGTACAAAGAGATCAAGGCGACGCTGAGGTCCTTGGATCGTCGTGCTGCAACGATAGAGGCAGCAGTCGAGAAACTCAAGGAGGAGCTTCAGAGCAATCGGGCAGAGCGTCAGAGGTTGGTGGACCTCCTCACGCCCATCAATGATCTGCCTTCAGAGACACTCGCGGACATCTGGGACTACACTCGCGAATGCCACAAGCATCCCAGGGTCGGAGGCGAGAATTGGTCCCATGGGGCTTGTCGCTGGAGGTTCAAGATTGCCCCTTCCGTATTGAAGATGTCTTGGGTAAGCCGTCGATGGCGAGGGGTGGCATTGACCAGCCCACTTTTGTGGAGTGATCTAGTTGTGTCCCCTCACACGTCCCTGGAGCTAGCGAGGATGAAGGTTGAAAGATCTCAATCATGTCCTCTCACTATCATTGTCAACTTTGCGAACTACTGTGATGATGAGGATATCCACGACAGCGACGCATCCGTAGCCCACTTCCTGTCGTTGATGGAAGTGATCCAACCTCACGTCGCGCGCTGGAGGACCCTGGAATTCATCGGATGCTTTGGGATAATGGAGATGAGTGGGCATGTCACCAGCATCAATGGGCCTGCCGGTAAGACGATTGTGGATGCGTGTACAGGTATCCTGGCAACTACTCCTGCAACTCAACTCATGAATATCCGAGTGCAGTATGACTCCGACTTGCCCGTGGAGTTGCCGGAATTCATGCGAGGGGGTCTCCCTGCTCTGAGGCGCGCGACAGTGCATGGCATGGATGTCCGATCATGTTTACCTGCGCTGACGAGTCTGACTTCGCTTGACTTGCGCATCCCCTCGGGTCAGCGCCCGACGCCGACCCAGTTGCGCGACTTCATCTTGGCCTGCCCCGATTTGTCGACCCTCTCTTTACACGGACCTCCTATGGAGTATTTTCTAGATCCACCTGAAGACTACAACTACCCCATCATAACTGCCCCTGCTGTGCGTTCACTCAGGATCGCATTCAATATCGATGAGGAGCATCTTGGTTATTACTTCTTCAAGGCCTTTTCCCTGCCCAACGTGGAGACCCTGCGTATCCATGACTCAACTCAGGAGCAGCTAGATCTCTTTGCTCTCCAACTGCGGGAAATTGACTTCACGGGACGAATAGACCGGTTCCCAAAGCTACGGAAGTTCTCCTCGCACTACAACCGTTTCTCTCCCGACTCGGCACGCCTCATGCTTCAATACATGCCTACCATAACTGATCTAGAAATGGACCATTTTGACATGCCGCAAGTCACGAGATACCTCCTGGAGTATGCGTCAAGCCAGGGACAGGTCCGGGCTTGCTGTCCACTGGTGAAGCTGAAGACGCTCACTTGGAACAACGCCACGAACGAGCCAGTGGCGACTGAAGCCGTTCTTCGTTATGTGGTCGCAGAACGTATAACGTGTGGGTTTCCAATCGCCAAACTACGCGTGGACCGCGGTTTCCTCCAGCTCCATGCAGACGTGCAAAGATGGTATCGTGAGCGTATTGACGTCGAGGTCGTGCCTTGGATCCCTCAGGATGAGGCAGGCTATTTTATTTAGCATGGCTCGCCGATGTCCAGCAAACCTGTGGAGTACATGGCTATCGACTCGACGCTGAGAAGATCGGCGTCACTTCTGCGATTTGCATCCCTTCGTCGGGTGTCGGGAGTCCGCAGCGCCAGAGGAGTCATTGCTTGTTTCTTTTGACTTGTGCTTTAGGTCAACCTACCTAACCACCTCTTAGTGAGTATCTAGCAGTATTCTGCTATGCCGGCGACCATGTCAGCGGATATGTGGATTTGTACATTCCGAGTACTGTGCTCCAGGATCTAGGCAACTCGCTTCAAAATTCTCTTTCGCCATCGGTGTCTCGAAGCGCATTGTAGAAACGGCTTGTAGTGCTAAGTGCATGCTGTGTAGTATATCTTATTTGATCATGAGTGCTTGAAAATTGATTTTGTGGCAAGTGAATTTGAATGGGAACCCAGCAGTCGGCAGCGGCCACCGTTTTCGCAGGCGTCCTTTGCGGCGTTCTGTTCCGGCTTGCACACATGCACATGCATGCACTTTTGCAGTTACTGGGCAAGGATATCGAGACTCAGGAGTCTTCACTTCTTCCGTCTCAGCGAAACAAACATGCGGAGTCTTTTCCATCGCTCGGCCTCCAGACTCCGAGTAGCCCCACCATAATTTGCTCGTCTGGCAGGCACGAGGACTCGTTCTAGTAAACTCTAAGCTCAGAAAGGCTATTGCTCCTGTGATGGCACTCTGGGCTGTTCTCCTTGCAGAGTGATAATGCTGCTCTTGCATTTGTCTATCACGACAGGGATGCTCGACGGAAGAGACGGTATGAGTTGAGGCGGATTCTTCAGCTTCGGCCCTCGGACCCGGACAGGGCGGGAGGCTCGGCGGCGTGTTCGCCCACTCTTACTTCCGTGCAGCATCCGCCCAGCATGGCCGCCGTTCTGGGCAAATCTGTTCCTCGGAGAAGAATACGTATGATGTCCAAGGCGGAAGACCCTCATTAAACCTTTGCCTATCTTGATCGTTCGCGAAGAAGAAGCTGTTGCCCTCCTCCGCTTTTGTGCATTGGATCAATTGCAACGCATGACGTGTGGTCCCAGGCAGCCCGCTGTGCGTGCGCATATAATGCGGTATGCCGGCATAGGTGGAGATTTTGTCCTTCACCCGTACGGCTTGCGATGGTTGCTGGAGCTACAGTACTGAGGTCCCTCTTGACTTTGGCTTCAAGCGCACCCGCGGGTGTCCAGGCGGGATTGAGCAATGACACCATAAGCAATGTTAGGTCGAGGCTTTTGGAAAGTGCAAATGCGAGGTGAGTGTATATCAGCTAGGAAGTCGAGGTAGGCATGCTGAGTGCAATGAATAGTTGGGAATTGGGAACAGCTGCGGAGGCCTTGACTGAGTTATACTGGCCTTCGCTCTCGGTCTTCCGGCCCTCCGCATTTCCGCCACCTACGACTCTGAACTCGTCAGACAGTGCGTCAGACGTGTTGGCGATTGCTCGAAAGTACGTTCAAAAGGATATCATCGTCTCCACCAAATATTAACGGAGTTCCTGCAGTACCGTCCGGACCCGACCTTCCCAGGTGCTCCCATTAGTGGCGGATGACGGTGCGGTTGGTGATCCAGCTAGTGAGTACTAGGCTTCCATTTGGGTGGCTCGTGATTTACGACGTCGCACAGGTATTGGTGTTGCTGTCCTACTTGGCGCATGGACATACGGCAATTCGAGTGGCAGCGGCAATGCTAGCAGCAACCCGTTCTGGGAGGCCGCAGGCAACCAGTTGGATTACCTTCTGCACGTCGCTCCGCAAACAAACGACGGTGCGATATCGCACCGAACAGATCAAGTGCAACTTTGGTGTGTCATAAAGCACTTGGCGACGTTGTTCGCCTCAACTGACACCCGCCAGGTCGGACTTCGTTTATATGGCCCCTCCTTTCATAGCGTACTTCGGTGCTCTGCAGGGTGGCGAATCTGGACTTGGCTTGATGCAGTATGCGTATCAACAATGCAAGCTATACCGAAATTACCTCAAGGACGACTCAGGCCTCTGGCGGCACGTCACCCTGGGATCGTGGCAGGATGATACTCATTGGGCGACAGGTAAATTATGGAGAGCATGAATTTTGAAAGGCTTCTGACTTTTACGCCCGCAGGCAACGGGTGGGCCGCAGCTGGGATGCTTCGCGTTCTTGAGACCCTGGCCAATTCGGATCAAGCAGACAGCCTAACAGAGGAGACCAACGACCTGACGATCTGGATACAAGAGATTATCAACGCGACCTGGCCGCTTCAGAAAGAGAACGGAACGCTATACAACATTCTAGATGACGATTCTTCGTTCGCGGATTCATCCTCCACAGCCCTTCTTGCGTCTGTCACGTACCGCATGGCATACATCGCAGGCGACGACACGCACTTGAATGCCGCAAATCGGGCGATGGCTCTAATAGAGAAGAGCATTGACGACGACGGTTGGTTGCAGAATACTGTCAACCCTTACACTTTCAGTTCCCCCAATACTGGTGAGAACCACAGTCCAGAAGGACAAGCATTTGTCTTGTTGCTTCAATCGGCGTGGAGGGATTATTGGTTGGCGCAACGTAAGAGTTTATAAATTTATTTCTATCGTTATATCAGACGATCCCGACATCGTTGCTTTGATCTTCAGTGTTTGCGGGGATTTTTGGAGTTACAGCGCAAGCAGGAGGATGATAAACAATTGTGTCGAGCTTAGGCAGTGTCCACGACGAAGTGTATTTTTATGCTGTGTGAGTATATAGTTATTGTGAGTGCCAGCAATATACAGCCGTAGATCTCGTGGTACCTCGGAGAAGCCTCGCGGTGGGATACAGTGGTTCGCGATCGAATGCCTATTCGTCTATTTGCCCTGGGCATTCTCAAGCTATACTGCAAGCTTTCGGTGTTATAACCTGAAGACTTCGAGCGTCGACGTCGACGAACAGGAGATGGCAAACAGGCGAAGCTGATACGCTTCCCAAAATGGCAGGACCCCATCGAAGCTGACCTGCGATAGAACCCGAGCAGAACCAGCCCAGCAACTTGAGACGCGACCACCACCCAGCGCGATTTCCGCTCGCCGTCGCCGTCCCCCGCAGGCCTGAGCGCCCTAGCGCCGTCCCGTCTCGTCATGTTCCCCATGCTTGTGGCGTCCCTGATCACGTCGTTGGTGCTGTGCTGCCTCCTGATACCCTCCGTCTGGGCGACACTCACGGCTGCCGACGACTGTGACGCCTGGGAGTCTGGTGCTACCCGCATTGCCTCGCGTTAGTATGGTTTTATAGCGTACTCTTTGACCGTGTCCTCAATATAATCGGTTTCGTTTAGGGCATCCGTTTCGGGAGACTGGACCTCCGGCATGTATGGCCAAGTTAATTATGCAGAGACATAAGGTCCGGGATACTTGCTCGCCACCCACAAGTGTCGACTGATCTCCCGCTCCTCAGATAAACCAGTCGACTACGAGACGACGGCGTAGCCCCTCCGTCAGCTATACCCGCCAGTCCGCGCGTGCCTACACCAACCTAGCCCCCTCTCGCGCCCGCATCACCCCATGGCTCCGTCTGGGCAGGAGATTCGGAAGGCAAAATTATTAGACGGGCTTCAGGCGTCACTTGGATTAATCGCGCTGCGTTGTTCACCTCTATATACCCAATCTAAAACACAAGTAACGAATATTCATATCTTATTGTTTTGGATGATTCTATGTTGATCTCAGGTTCTCGTTTTCCATGAGACGCGTTGTTTGATTACGGTACCGCCACATGAAAAGTAACCTTAAGTGATGAATACATAGGATGCACAGAGCAATACAAAGCAAGACAGAGCTACATAAATCGAGTTTGCGTGTCCATAACTTATCGTGATGTTTCTCCTAACCATCCCGTATACAACCCACACGTTAAGAGGCGGACCTCTTGCGACCCAGGACTGACGGTAGCATGCTCGGCTTCTTGGCGAGCTTGCCTGGCTGAGAACCAGATGCTGGAGCAGCCATCTTCGAGGACTTGCCGCTCTTCCTCGACTGGCCAAAGCCAGTGACAGTCGCCCCATGAGCAGACGCAATGGCGCTCGCCTGCCCCCGCTGTTTCTGTCCAGCGGCCCATGCCTGCTCCCGCCGCTGCAGCTCCGGATCTACAGGCTTCCTGAACCCGAAAGGTGCGTCCAGGTCTGTCCGAGGCTTGCGCGACGACGTCGCCTTCGCCCGGCCTTTCACCTCCCTCACCAGGACGTCGTCGAGATCATCATCGTCGTCTCGATCGATCCAGTCTGCGTCCTGTGGATCAAAACTCTCCTGAGGAAGCTGGGGTAAAGTCAGTCGGGATGCAACCACTGCCAGGAACACATCGACACTTACCTGCTTCTCCTTGGCAGCGGCGCGCAGCTCCTTCTGGATGTCGGCATGGGTCACCACCTCGGGCTCCTCTTCCTCCTCTGCATCTGCCTCGGGCCCGTCATCCATCTGAGCATCCTGATCCGGCTCTTGCAGGACGGCGAACTCGGGCTCATCATCGGGCTCTTGGTAGGCATTGAAGAAGGCCAGGGTCTCCGGATTGCGTTCTAAGAAGAATGTGTCAGACGCGTACAGCCGCAAGTAGACTGTATACATACGAAGCTCATCCAAAGTGTCTCCATCAATCTTCCGCCTCTTCAGCGGTTTGACCTTCGGCCGGTCCTCGTCCTCGCTTTCACTGTCATCACTGCCGAAAGCATTGTCACGCCGTTTGGTCCCATGGCGGTATTTGCCTTCGACGGCGTTCTTATGGATCTGCTCCAGCCGCTGGTCATCCTCCTCTTGGTGCTCCCTGCATCATGCTAGTCAGATCGTCACGCCTGCGCAGACCAAGGCCAGAGCTTACTTGTATTTCTCGATGACCAGCTCCTCCTGGACCTCGACCTGAGCGTCATCCACAAGACCCTCCAGCGGCTTATCGTCATCCGAATCGTCGCCCTCTTCGTCATCGTCGGCCTTCCTCTTTCCAAGACCAAACATCGCATCCTCATCGGACTCCTCCGCCTCGCCCTCAATAAACTCCGACTTTTTGAGTTTCCTCTTCGCAACCTTCTCCTTTGCGAGAGCTCCGCGTCGCATTATTTCAAAGGCATTTTCTTGCCTAACGGGATTGCGTTCTGGACTTGCCTCTGTGGAGTCCAGCTTCCGGAGTCGGCGAAGAGGTCCTGGTTGCGTCGGATCGATGTCCTCATCAAGCGCAAGGGTCCCAAGAGGAGGCCTCTCCTTCATTGACGACTGGGTCAGGGAAAAGTCGCCCTTCATCCTGAACCACGCGTTCAAAGGCGACTGTGTGGGGGAGAACTCGGGTGCCGCCTCAGCAGTCTCCGCCGGCTTGGTCTGAGTCAGGAAGCTAACATCATATAACACCGTCAGCTTCACCACAAGGTTCTTACTGAGCACAATTACTGACCCATATTCATTCACATACAGCTCCTCGTCCTTACGCGCCTTCCCTAACGCGTCCTGAACGACTGCCTCCTGCTCTTTCTCGAAAATCGCGTCCAAGTCCCGCTTCCGACTTTCATCGACCTCCAAAGCAGGCTGGAGACCCGTTTCGATCGTGAGGGGAACTTCATCATTGACCTTCCCCCGCAGCCTCGCAAGGAGGTCCAGCCCATCATCGTCCTAGCACGAACGTCAGAGGTTGCCCAAAAAGGAAATCGTACTTAGTATAAAGAGCCACTCACCGACTGGTTCTCTGGCCACACTTCGATTGGCTCCTCCTCCACCGCGCGTCTCTTTCCTAATGCTTTCTGGGAGGGCGTCCTGGACTTCGGAAGCGTTGGCTCGAAGAACTCCGAGAACGCCGGTAGTAACGCTGCGGGTTTGCAGCTGGAACTCCCTGCATTCTCGTCGTTCTCCACTTCGGGCCCATTGCCTTCGTTATCTGAGAACTGAGAAAAGCCGTTGTCGCGTCCCTTAAACTTGAGTTCCCTCGGTGAAATGGGTATGGCAGGGCCGGCGTCCGCGCCGCCAAACTGGATCGGTGAAGCCAAGGCGCTATTCTTGGGGGGCGATGTGAATGGATCGTCGGAGGCGGCATCATCGCCCTTTGATAGCACCTTGAAAGGCGTCCTAGGTCTATCATTCTCCTGCTCTTCTTCGTCACTGAAAGACAATGTTTCTCCACCACGCGAGGCGAACAAAGGTGCAAGAGGAGACGACCCGAAGCTAAGTGCCGGTACCGCCTTGTTCTCTTTGTCCTCATCGCCATCGTATACCTTGCTGGGGTTATTCTCTTTGTCTTCATCATCTGAGGTAGAAGGGAGGGAAGACGCTGCTGATAGCGTGCCCAGCGACGGCTCTGGTATGGTTGCGTACTCGTAGCTCAGGGTGGCAACCTCCTCCTCCTCAGAATCTTCTAGCGTTCGGAGTGCCGTGCGCGCACGACGATGAGGTGGAGGGAGTCTCTCCTGTTCCTCATCCTCGTTGATGTCTTCCGAAGGGTCCGCGTTGTCCCTGTACCGTTGGGAGGACTGAGGAGGATCATTCTCATCCTGCGCAACCGCGACGACCGGCCCCTCGTCCTCCTCTCCTGAATACTCGGGCCTCGCGTTCTCATCATTCTCCTCAGAAGCGTGCTCGTCGCCCGACATCTGAGGTCGCGCATTCTCATCTGCCTCCTCATCCGGCCGCCACTCCCCGTCGCTCTCTTCACCTTCGTCCTCCACATTCATATCTTGTCTCTCCTGCCACTTCTTGTAAGATTCGCTAAGGACATCCCTCTTTTCGCCGGCCTTCAGGGTGTCCTTGATCTTCCCGCCCCTCCTAACCCAGTCCTCCTCCTTCTTCTTTATCTCCGCCTGCCGCTCGGCCTCGTACCTCTCGAACAGCTCCTTATCCAATTTCTTCTTCTCCATAGCGGTCAAAGCAGCGCCTTCCTTGCGCTTGGAGGGGACGAACGGGATCCTTGCCGCAGCGGCCTTCTTCCGCGGACTCCGAAGCGGCTTGCGCATCTTCTGGTCGTCCTGCGCGACGACGAGCTCGTCCTCCTCGTCGCCGGAGTTCTGGCGCACCTGCTCCTTCATCTTTTTCTGCATCTCGAGGATCTTCAGTTTCTTGTCCTGCAGCTCCTGCTGCCTTCGCGCCTTCTCGCGTCTCTCGTCGTCGTCTTTCATGATCTGGTCGACCGAGGGGAGGTCCTCGTCGGAATCGGGCGCCAGCGCTGGGATGTCGAAGGTCTGCCCCGGGCCCCGGGGCTTGATGGGGGAGCTGGGGCCTGCGGGGGTTGGTGAGGGTGGAAGGAGCGCGGAGGGGGAGCCAAAGGAGAAGCTGTCGGGTTGCGACAGAGGTTCGAGGATCGATGAGTCGGCTTGGAGGCCTTTCCTCAAAGCTGGCGACGAATAATCTTGGATGGGGTCCGATGGCGGAATGGGTTTCTCAGGGGATTCCTCTCTGATTTTTCGTCAGATCTCTCGCTCGACTGACGCGTTAGCGAAATCAGGGGCGTACCGTTTTCCCAGGTGGGAAAGGAAAGCGAGCGGGGCGAGCGGTTTCGTGGTGCTCGCGATGCGCCCGTCTCTGTCGGCCATGAGACGCGCTTGTTCGAGGCGTGACTCCTTGACTTCTTTCTTGGTGGGTTTCTGGAGGGCTCGTCAGCGACCGTCCGCTCCGGGCAAGTACAAGGAAGACTGTACCTTGACACCCCCTAGCTTCTTCTTCTCCCTTATAGTCCTTGAGCGCGTGTCCCTCTTGGTCTTCGCGCCCGAGGCTGCATGGGAGCCAGAGCTCAGGTCGACTTCTTCCATCATTAAAGGAGAGACGTTTCTGATAGAGTTCCTCGCCCTGCTCTTGCCTTTATTCAACAACTTCGAAGGTTTAATCATCTCTTCGTCTTCAGAGCCAGAGGGCATCACCGAAGGTTTCCGTGAAGGTGAGCGCGAAGGTGAGACAGCAGGACGCGATGCGTGAGCGCGTCCACCCTCCTCTGAGTCCGAGTCCTGGATGACACGCCGCTTGCCAGAGTGAGCGCGGCCGTGACGCACGGGAGACGCGTCGTCTACTGACATTGACGACTCCGCGCCTAGGAGCCGCTGGCTATGGTGTTGTGAAGGGCTTTGGGTCAGAGGGGGAAGGGTGGCGGGGGAGAAGTCTGGAGAATCCGCCCCAGTAGACATATTACCGGATGCGTCTAGAGTAGCTGGTGGCATAGAATCCGACATTTGCGAGTCGTCTTCGCGAATGTTTCGTATAGGGAGAGCGAGAGAATTAACATCTTCGGCTTCGTCGATCTCTATCAAGGTTTTCCTCCATTCAAACTGGTAGCCTCCGTCGCCGTGTTCGTCCGCGTCGCTCCCGGAACGCGTGTCGGGATCGCCCATCTCGTCGAGGATGCGCTTGGGCTTCTTCCCCGCCTCATCGTCGCTTGCAGACTGGCTCGACCTACCGGCGAGAGTCGTGTTCGAGGAGGACGGCTCGACGAGCGTCCTGGACGATGTGTCGGGATCGAACGCAAACGACTCGGCCGCAGTCTCTTCGACGGCTTTGGGCCTGCCGTAGGTGCGCTTGACGCGCCGTGCTGCTGGTGGCGGCGAGTGAGACAGACCAGAGTCGGCGTCCATGTCGAGGACGGGCGTGGTTGAACTGACGATGTGGCAGAGGAGGTGGTCGGCTTGCCGAGTTTGGTCTTAAACTGTGACACAATGTGACGGGTCGCGTTCATTACGAGGAGAACGTCCAGCCGACTGGGAAGTTCGCCCGCCGAACGCGTTCGCGAACGAGTTCGGCGAACCTGTTAGCCACGTGAGGGGAGGCCACACCGTTGTCTGCAGTGTTGGCAGGGTCAAGCCTTGACCCCTTGTCTCGGTGACCCCGTCAAGCCGTCAAGACGGTTTGTCGGGGTTTGTCGAGTGGTCAAGGCGACAACGCGTGACCTTGCCAGGGCACGTGCTCCAATTAATGGTCCTTGCTTAGACTGTAGTACTAGTACTAGTAGGCTTAGCGGCATTATCGATACCTCAGTCGAACTGGTGGGCGTGGGGCAGGACAGTTACGAGTCCTTACGCGCAAAATATGCCTGCGTGCCGAACGTTGTACCCCGTGAGAACCTTTTGTGCCGAGAAGTTGTGGGAGTTATAGTTTGTATTGTAGACTACACTTTTGAAACTCCGGTTGAAAGTCCGTTTGTATGTGAGACTACAAAACCACTTTTGGCGCGTTTTTGTAGTCTCTGTGACCATTATTTGCTCGCTTGTGGGCTCATTTCTTCGTCTTATCTCTCTTTTATTTTCTCTAGTCCTGGGCGTATGCTATACGGGTCTACAAAAATATTTTGGTGAATTTATCGACTGTGTGTCTTGTCCTAGTCCGCATGGCGGTTTTACTTTTATTGCTTATCGTGGGAATTGACTATTGTAGTGGCTTGTAGTCAGTGGCTGAGGTGCGGGCCGCGTCGGTTTGGATTCCTGGACTCTGATTGGCTCCTGCCTTCTATGACATAGGCTCTCTGCAGGTTCACCCGATCTGCAGAGCCATTACATCATTGGTATCTGGAATTGATTGCAGGCTGTAGAAGGGCCAGAAAAATTGTGAAAAATGCGGGAAATCCATAATATATTCAGAGCTCTATAGCAAATCAAGGAATATACAAGATGATCCCGAGCGGTCTAGTGAAATTCAAATGATACTTCAAGAAAGATAGGAATATTTGTGTCAGCTCTATGATATACAGTGTAAAATAGGGAGTATCTTATGCCCAGCTCAGGACTCGTAACCAGCCATGCACAGCATTGGCCCACTCCCCCCAAGTACAAAAGGACTTAAGGCATCG